TTTGGAAACCAATCTGACAATGGGACAGTCTTCTAGTCAGCTGTCTTGAAATGCAAAAGTTTTGACTCTCCTGCTGTCTGAACAGTCACAGACAATCAAAACACCAGTTCTGTTCAGACAGCAGGAGAGTCAAAACCTGCCATGCCTTTATACACAGGCTACGCACAAGTCACAGGTCAGTCAGATCATATTTCTTGTAGGCACTGTGACTAGTCAAATTCCATCAACAGACAGGCTAGAGGGGGAGGGGTAACACCCATTTAAGTACATCTTAATTTTATTATCTTGTATCAAGAGGATTTTTGCTATGTTTTACCTTTGCTGGAGGTATTTCAGCAATTGTTTACAGTCACATATTTAGATGATTTTATTTACAAGATTTGGGATATTGTCAACTTTGCGCATGTCTTGTTAATTTTTCAGCCACTTTGCATACGTACATGTATATGTTTAAATCACCATGGATTATGCATACATGTACCGGTACCGCATGCATACAATGTACTTGTAGTCCAAAGGCTAACTGGTTTTTTTTAAATCACGTGTCTAGTTAATGCAAGGCGAAAAACTCTTAAGGCCATCTACTTGTGAAAATAGAGGGGAAAAGAAGCCAACATGATCCACTGAGATACTGTACCTTTCTCTGTTCTGTATTGACTGAGGCTTAAAAACAGTGCATAGGCAGCTGGCTGAGCAGAGATCAATGGAGCAGATCCTAATGGAGAGTTAAGGCACCATCCTGTGAATCAGAGTTGCCTCACGTTAGTGTGGCTGATGACCAAACCCAGTATCTATGGCAACCGATCCATTTGCTTCTAAATGTTTGGCAGGGAAGAATGTCTGCTTTCTAGCTGCAAGGACATTGAGTCAATTTTTACACATAGATTATGGGAGAGAGGGAGTCAGATTTTGATGGGAACTGTGTGTATGCTTCAGTTGTGCAAAATGAAATATTGTTTAGAGACATCGCCATTTCATTGAATTTGAAAATTATCTGTTTCCAAATTTTAAAGCCTTTAGGAAAGTGTTTGTCAGACTATGTACCTTCTTGTCAGGGACTTATAACTCTTAATTGTGTACATTTATGGCTCTGTCTACATGTAAATTGTGAATTTTTTTGTGATTTCTTTTTAGAGAAATTATGTAAAATATAACCAAATTGGTGAGAAGTTTGTCTTTATAAATGCAATCATCAGTCACCATGGCCTCATTTCTGGAAGGGAGCATGAATTTTCCAGATATATGAGCTATCTCTGCTAGCTTTGTCAAACTGTTAATCATTCAAACACCCATTCCATGTTTATTGGATCCTGGCCCCAAAGTGAATCTGGCTAAGACTATTTTGAAATATTATAGATTGTTTGCATCATCTTTAAAAAAAAAAAGAAAAAAAAAGGAAATGTTGTTCATGGAAGGACATTAAAATTGTTTTCATTGTTCTACAGACAAGTGCATGTGGTACATGTGTACATGTACAATGTATAGTGTTATGTGAATGACATGTACATGTACATGTAAACATAATGTGCTAGCCGGTATTTGTTCATGCATTAATTATTAGAGAGTACAGTACAGAGAGGCTTTGCTCAGTATATGATCATTAACTATCTTGCTTAAAATAAGCCCTTTAGCCCTGGTTACTGTGTCCATGGTAACCAGTCAAACTCATTTGCGCGCATGTATCGGTAGTTTGCTTTGTAATATTTGAGCTAGTGTACTAAAGCAATTGTTATTTAGAAGGAAAAAAAAATCACAAACTTGGGAATTTGAGGGGAGAAACATTGGTGCCTTGAGCATTGAAAACAAAAAATTTGTATTTTTGTTATTATTATTATTATTATTTTGTATAATTTTTGGTTAACAAATTTTGATTTTTCAGTTTATTTAGCTAAACATCCTATTTTATCCACGCTTTAATTAGATTTCTTTCTACATGAGCATGTACCGAACATGTCCATATTACCAGACCTTCTGTTGCCTCAGGAATCTTAATGGATTCAAAGGTTCATGTGGTCATGTTAGTTTCCACAGGAAGCGAATCTTCCCATTCAGTCTTATTGCTTGAATAACAGGTGACATAGGCAGACATGTGTCAGGCCTAATGAAATATTAGTTAGAGTGGCAATTCATTTTTTTCATCCCAATAGTGGCATTAACTGCCACTTAGTGACATGACATTTATTCAGGAAAAGAAGTACATGTAGCTGTCAATGTGAATGTACATGAATTTATTTATTGCTGGCGGATCTTTTAAATTTGCAATGGTTTATTTAAACAATTGTTCCTTCCCCATGGTAATGATATGCTAAACCCGCTTTTGTAATTTTTGAAATGTATCATTTTCTTTTTCTTTACTTTAGTATTATTTGTTTATGAAAGTTGTCCATTACAAGGCTGGAAAATAACTATGTAAAATAAAGTCAAAGACAAGCACAAAGCTGTAGAGGTAAAAATGAATCATTATTTGTAATGATTTATTTGTAATAAATGTTATTCAAATTGTAATTTGACGTACATGTACATTTTTATTTCTTCTGAGTCAAATTATAGCAATATATTTTCAGCTGTTAAAAAAAACCGATTTGATCAATAAGGACTAAATATAAAATGACACCATCTACATGTAGATGAGAAATGTCATTACAATATATAGTGGCTTTGTAAGTTGTTGAGGCTATAGGAACTACATGTACATGTTGATAGCACTGTGTGACCTTCTCATGAGACCCAAGGAAGAATAGGTCACTATGTGCTTCAGGCACTGCTCAGGCTCTGGTATGGCTGTAGTGTCTGACAACAACTGTTACAGTTTGTATTTTTGTCACATAGGAATAATCCTGCATAAAAACGTCTGTGAAATCTTGAGAGAATGTCTACAGACATATACATGTATTATATGTCTTTGCAGTTGTACAGTGTACGTGTACATCTAATAAACAAGGAACTCTATCTCAGCCAGAACTTCAAAAATCACTTGTACGAATTCCCACCTTCATGTTTAACATAAAAACTATCTACTGTATAAGATCTACATGTGTATGTTGATCTCCCCACAGACTAAAGCAATAATGAGACTAGTAGGCTTACAATAGGGAATGATCCAATACTTGTTTTTGGTTAAAACACTGTAGGCATACATTGTATTTGCAGTGGTGGATATGCCATGCAATTGCCCGCGGATATTATTCAGCAAGAATGACTGGCCAATGTACCTGCACCAGGTGTTAAATTGGGAAATGCTGATTCTGCTGGTAGTACTGTATACACTAAAATGTATCTGTTGGATTATATTCCTCACATAAATATAGGCCCCTTAGCCACTGTTTTAGAATGAACGAAACACAAATTACACACGTACATTATTGTACAGGTAAGAGACAGAAACAAAAGATTACAAATTGCAATAAATTTAGAAGGTTGATATACAAGATATCAGGTGTTTTTTTTCTCAGAGGAAAAGGATATGTGAATGTGATACATGTACTACAAAACTATAAAAATTGTTGCGTGATCATTGGATTTTCTTCTGGGTCACGTCAGTATGATTTTAGCACAATTTTAGCACAAAAGAATTCCATGTAAGCAAACGATCTGTCCAGGTGAGCAGTTGACATAAGCCATTCAGGCTGAAAAGAGGTACACTTTTTACTGCTGGTTGAGAAGTCCACCAGAGAATTATTATTTTTGTTAAAACCATAAATTAAAAGCAGTGCTTCCTTAAATGAATGCAGTGAACAATATTTTGAGTAAATGATTAACCATGTAGATATGCAATATTTGCTCGTGGTTTTGGTTTCATTTTTGTAAAAGCTGAACTCGTTCTTTCTTAATTCATTTACATCCGCTTTAAAAAAAATTACAAATTAACAATTCACCATAACATTAGGATCTGTTTATCTGTTTTACATGTACATGTACATGTATGTTGCTGTCTTGTTTTAATGAAACAATGAAATCCAAGTGATCAATTACAGGAGAATTCATTCATTTCACCAAACTGTACAAAATGTTCAATTAATACAAGGTACCTACATGTACATGTACATGCATTACAAAGATGTCACAGTAACTGGACATGTACATCCTTCACCATACCTGCTTCTTATCTAGTGTGTATTATTAATCATATCTACACGCATTGTAACTTATAACTTCCCTAGCTTTGTATCGGTTGTGGATTGAGGTCACCTACACGTACAGCACCAGTTCCTGCACAGATGCATATTGTCATGGATGTGTACAATGATTGACATGCATACAATAGGCCTATAACTTGAGTTTGTTACTCATATCTTTAGTTTTCAAATACAAGTAGTTACTCATGTGGTATTCATGTTTTAAATACTGGTCAAATGCACAATTTTAAATGTTAATTAACAAAGTAACATGATGTCTGAATGACGCTGCACTCGTATTACATTTGGGGGGGGGGGGACAGTGTCAGCTTAAAAAAAGTTATATTTTTAAACCCTAAAATAGTCATCACTGGATTTCAGAAGAGAATACATCAAAATTATTTGTCTTTATTGTTGTTTGTGTGACCTTCACATATTGATATGACATTTTTGTCCGCCAGTGTGTACATGCATAACGAATTATCTGCAGCCCAAATCTGCAGAAAGAAATGAACAGCCCACAGTGCATGCAGTGTGGGCTTGGTTGGTTCTGTTCCAGTGAATCTATATTGTGTACTGCCAAAGCAGAGTGAAGCCTTTGTCATAAAACACATACCTGGTCATCAGTGCATGTCAATTTTGGGAAAAAGTTGCAGTATTTTATCAACTTATTTATTTGCTATGACGACATGGGAGAGGCAACTCCCTAATTTATTGAAGAGAGATACGAACTTTGATGGTCAGCATAGCCACCATGCTGAGAGTTTGGAGGAGCTACACGTTTTGGCAAAATTCCCTAAGAATCATGGAACAGTTTCTCGGCATGTTGCGCAGGTTTCTTATTAATTGTTATTATCCATTTCCTTCTATTACATGTGCTTACAGTGATCCACATGAAGTTGAGACTCTGAGCTCTGTGGACCTGGCATCCAGACAGCCAGCTCCGATTGAAGAGAAACCTCAGCCAGAGCAGCATTCTCAGGAGCCTGAGGACTTACTCAGCTCAAGATCTGTGGCTGAGAAAGCTCGTCATTTTAACTTGAAAGTTGAGGAAGTGTCAAATGAGTCTTCCAGTAGAAGAACTAAGCCCATAGATTTGACAGGAACTCCTACAAGGACGATAGCTATTCAGACAGAGAAAGACTCTAGCGTCAGGCGGGACGGGAAATCCAAGCTTCCTATCGTACGCTGGAATACCTTAGAAAGCTCTAGCCCAGGCCTGGGGGCTTCACCATCTTTTCAACGTTCCACGTCCATCCCTGACGGCCAAGTAAGACCAAGGTTTGACATCACACCAAGACCCAAGGCACCTAGAGGTTCACTACGACGCGAGAAGTCCATACAACAACGACGAGAAGATGAAAGGCACATACAGAAGTCTCGAGAATTGAGTAACTCATATGAGTTGTCTTCAGATCTCAAGAATAAACAGGTAAGACTCACTGATGTTAACTTTAGAGTGAAACTAAGATAAGAGGCATTTGGTTTCATGTCCAGATGCATACATGTACATGTATGGTTGAGGCTTTATGACCCAATTTCTTGGCCATTGTGTTGAAATGATAAGGAAAAGTTACAAATTTATCCGAATATATCAGTTTTTGCATCTCTTGCAGATTCCATTCCAAGAAAATTGTAGGTGGGTTCATGTCGTTCCTATTCCTGAGCGAAAGATCGAAGGATTGCTAATATATATTTTTTTTCATTCATGTGTTCCATACACACTCAAAATCTGATGCAATTCAAGATTTGTATTAGGCCTGTTTCTGTAAAAAAGTTTGGATCCGTTGTGAGCTTTTTGACACAGCATTTCCTTTAATCAAATCAAGTATCTTGCGTGTACTTCAGTCATACCTTGTCTACTTATTCCTCTAATCATTATGGTGACTCTTGCGTCATTCAAACCATTTTCATGTTTTTTGTTTTGTTTTGTTTTATAAACCTCTTCAACATGTCAGTAAAAAATTCCACAAAATGCACATCCAAAAAAAAAAAAAAAATTATTAGAATTTCAATTCTTTATTTCTTACCCATACGTCGTGCTTTTAGAGGTGCATTTTGTCTCGCGTCATAACTACTGAGTGTCAATCATTTACAGCTCCATACATGGCTGTACTTGTATCGTGGGGAAATCTGTGTGTTATAAGGATTTTAAACAATAAAATGTTAACGTTGTATGAAGTCAAGACTGCACACATACATTTTTGGTTTTGATTCAACCCAATTCTTAATGTCTTATGATAATTTCTCATCACAAGCTATGTGTACTTTTTGTAAATTTGTTTTCATAGTTTTGTCATTTATTTGGGTTTAGTTTTGAATTAACTTAAGATATTGTTTTGATTGAGTATGGAATGTCTTGTTTCAGGTTGAAATGCTTGAGAAGCGGTATGGTGGTCGCATCAGAGCTCACCACGCTGCCAAAGTTATTCAAGAAGCCTTTCGACAGCACAATATGAAAAAGGAATTCCAGCGGCTACGTCGCACTCCATCAGAGAGTCGTATCTCGCGTTACTTAGACAGTCACTCCAAGCAGTGGGGCATTGGTGGAAGTCGTGCTAGGGTGATGGTTATTGGCAGTTCAGGCCCTACTTCCCCTGTCTCCACAAAGACTCCACTCAAGGGTATACAAGAACTGGGAGCTGTAGAGCAACTACGTGGAATTGAAACTGTAGGTGCAGAGAAGAAGAAGCACAAAGTCCATCATAATAACAGTAACAATGTCACACCTAAACGAGGTTTAGTTGCATCTGCCAGTCCAGACCTAAAGGTGAAAGCTGACGGTGATGCCTCCTCGGCAGAGAGAAGTCGTTTGAGTTCACAGACTGTTGTGGTGACATTGACTATGCATAGACAATCAGATGAGAGTGATACATGTAGTCATACTAGCACAGATTCTACACCACTTGGCTCTCGTGATGACTTGACTGCAAGGGGCGACAACCAAAGTTCTAGTCCCGCAAATGTAGCCACAACTGAGAAGACCATCAAGATGGTAATACAAAACACGGAATTGAGAGATGGTGGCGGTAGGGCTTTCTCCTGTAGGCTTGGCAGCCCTGGTCAAGTTGCTTGTGCTAAGAGACTTCCATTTGATGACTTAGACCAGACGCCTCAAGTCCGTGACTCGACCAAGAACGAACCAACTGCGCTGACAGAAGACAAAGCGTCTGTCGATCAGAGCGAAGCAACACAAATAGATTTCAAGGACGAAATAGTTACTGGTGAAGATGTTGTTGAAGTCGCTAACAAAGTTGAACATGAGATGGAACAAGATGAGCCAGGGACAGTAGTCCCAGCTCCAGAGGAGCCAGTGATGGAAACTACTTTTGAAGTGAGTGTTCAGGAGGAATCTTGTGCCAGTCCTTCAACGCCTACCGGTACCTCATCAGGTGAAGTAGAAAGCCCCTTGGTGCCAGCCATCAGTATGGAAAACAGAAAAACTGTTGTGTCTAAAGCTGTGATCAAAGAGGGTAAGGCAAGTCCCAGCACTAAGAGAGCCAAGAAAAGCCCCAAAAGTAAAAACGGAGAGGACATTTCTCCCAAGAAGAAGAACTGGCCATTTTCCCGAAGCAAAAGTGGCGATCGCACACGAAAGGGTTCTCCTACCAACTCTCCTAAACCACAACGGCACAATCCTAGGGCATCAGTGCAAAGGGAATCAACGGAGAGCGTACAGAAGCAGCCATCAAGCAGTGAGGAAGTGCATGAAGGAAATGTGCAGGGGAAACTCCATGTTGACAGTCCTCTGCAATACCGGAAGTCCAGTTCCTCCTCAACAGATAGTCAGAATATATCAATCGAGCCAAAACCGTCTATTACACAACCCAACGAGGATCCTTATGAAAGGCCACGCATGCACACTGTGGGATCTGTTGAAGCCCTTGCCAAGAAAAAGAGTGCTCAGGAATCAGAGAAAATGCGGTCCAACTCTCTAAGCAGTGGGGATCTGGGTGACAGATCAGATCAGATCTCATTAGCCTCTACGGTCACCACCAGTGATTTTGATAGAGAATCCATGCAGGATGTACCTGCCGTGACTGTAGCAACACCAGAGGGTTCATTGACGATGCTGGATAAGATCATCTCCACCTCCTCAATAGACTCGGACTCAGATGATGAGGATGAGGTTCATACACCTTGTCAGAAGCGTGCCTCCTTGCCAATTGTCAGCTTGTCCGGCCACACGGCTTCCACACCTCCAACCTCCGCATCCAAGCAGCTGGTTTCTAGGGTGCAGAGCGCCAGTGGGATGGAGTCCCCAATCTGGAAGAGAAAGAGTCAGAACACCAAAGTGGCAACCAGAAATGGGACATTGGTCAACGGAACCGCAGGGGTACCAAGCAAGACTCTGGCCCGATCAGAAACAGGAGACAGTATGAGTAGCGAGGGTAGTAACTCGTCTTGTCGCTTCACAGTTGGGGATGATTCCAGTATAACAGATAGCCTGGACAGTCTGTCCTTAGAGTCTAGTTTCATGGAGTCATTGGAGAAGAGACCCATAGACCCAATGCTTAGTATACCAATGACAGCTGTCCGCTGGAGGAGATATAGGATTGGTCTCAATCTTTTTAACAAGTGAGTTTCTCAAACTGCTTTTTTTTCTCTCTCTCTTTCTTTTTAACCAAACAATTCGTTAAAAAAAGTTAATTCAAGAAATTTCCTCATAAGCCACCACCTGTTTCGCTGCTAGTTGAAAGCCATATTCACCATATTTCCAAAAATGCAATAAATGAACCTAGTTGTGATACAAATTTAGTAAATTAACATTGTTACAAACTTGAATTGCTTTTGCAAGTCATCTTGGCAGAAACTAAATCACTAAACAATCAAACATGTACAAATGTTGGCATAGAATGATTACAATCGATATGCACACGGGAAATTTAGGCATGTTAGCTGATCTGTTGACCTGAGTTGACTCTATGCTGTATGTAATATGTTCAGAGATGATGGCATAAATTGGAATTGCCACAGAACTGAGATCATTTGGCTCTGATCTCAGCCCTTTCCTCTAAGTGTATCTCAGAGTTCTTAAGTTATTGTCTATTCAAGAATGTGAATTCTGTTATGGCATTTGAATTATTACAGTTTTGAGAGTTGGACAGCATCGAGTTCATGTACATGATTGACTCATGGCACACTAGGCGCCAACGACGGCTGTTGTGAAATTAATTACATCCTGTCCTTAACACAGAAGTGTTAGTCAAGATCCCCCTCCCTCTGCTGCAACTATTACCCGTACCTTCCATAAATCCAACGCTTGTCATCTCAAGTGTACATTTTAATGAACATTATCATGTTGGTCAGTTACGTTGTGTACACTTTGGGCAACAGGAATGTCAAGTTTTTTTTTAAATGAGTTTGTTTTTATTTAGGTCCCAAGAAACAACAGCCCTTATAAATTGATAACACTTCATGACCGTTCCCAAACACCCCAAAAGGTTTTTTTATACCGATTTATAAAGCTTTTCCAAATGTTCAGTTTTTTATCATGATCTTTTTAGTACTGCATCATAATAAAAATGTAGTAATTATTCACCTTGTCGTACATGCACATTCAGAGTGATACTAACAATTACATGTACTTTTTTTTTTCCCAAACAGAAAACCAGAGAAAGGAATCAAGTTTTTAGTAGATAATAAATTTGTTGAGAACTCTCCGAATGAAGTTGCCAAGTTTCTCCTGAATCGGACAGGGCTGAGCAAGGCTAAGATTGGAGAGTATCTGGGCAATCTCCAGAAGGAGTTCAACATGCTGGTCCTAGAGTAAGTACTAATGAGTAAGATGGGTGGTGTTAAAAAGACAATTGGTGTAGTTTACATGTATATGAATGTGATATACATGTATACAAATCTCCTGAAATACTTCCATATTGTCTTTCAAATCAAATCAACATGTAATTTGTATTAAGCTCTTTTAACAGTGTGTATTTATAAAGTTTCAAACAATACCGGTAGTTGACTTGCCCAACTTAAAATGTACATACTTCGTACCTGAATGATAATGTAACTTATACCACTTACTGCAGGCTTTTACATGAAATAAGGGCAAATGAGAAAATATGAAACAGATAAAAGAGGAAATTTCTGTCAACTGTTTTCTTACAAATAAATCTATCATTAATGAATACTCAATTAAAGGGAATACACAACATCTGCAAATATCAAAAAAACAAAACTACCAAATTATTTTGAAATACCTTACTGGGTTGTTAGTGAATGACAGTCGAAAGCATCCTATGAAATTGTGGCACTTGGTGTGCTGGCATTTTCAAGAAAAGTGGTATTTTGTATCATTTTCATTGTAAACATTTTGTTTACAATCGATTAATACACCTATGAATGGTGCAAGCCAGCAACATGTAGACTGGTTTCCTGATCTTACAATTCCCGAACGTTAATGTTCCGTTTCATCTTAAGTGGGGTCAGGGAACCAGACTACAAGAACATGATTGCTTTTCTTCGTTTTCCAGCATCTACTAATACAAAACTTCAAACAAGTCAGTGTAACAATACATTGTATTTGCTATAAACTACTAACCCCCAAATCCTTCCATTTCTGAAAATTACAGCAAGAGCAAATGTCGTATATTCCCTTTAAAACAAATGGGGGAGTATTTTGCATATTTTGTCGAAACAAGCTACATGTAGGTAACATGAAAGGGTTCTTCCTCCAAATCACATCAAAGCTGGCAGATAGATATCAATATACGTGGGCATGCATAAAATGAAATATTAAACACATAATAAATATATCTGTATAATGCATGTTTAATGAAAACAACCACCAACTCGTAGGATTTTTCCCACAGTTGCTGGCATATATTGGAGCGGGTCCTTGCAAATATTTGTATAGATCCTGTTCCACCTCGTTGTGGTTTCCTGTAGGAATAATACCCATGACATTGCCAGAGTACACTCATCCTGGCAACTGACGTCAGCCAGGCAAGGGTGGAGGGGGTGTTAGTGCAATCATTCAGCAGTTATTTTGGTCAGATTCCTCATACTGATCATCCGTGTCATGCGTGACCATACAATCCATAAATTCAAACACATCTACATGTATAAACACCATATACCTGTGGAATTTGGGGCAGGTGGTAAACCTACATGTAGGTTGGTTTTGAAAGGCTTGTTATGCCAAGTCAAACCAGGAAGTCATTTTATTTTCTAAATTCAACCTTTCATTTGCTTGTTTGATTTTGTTCAGTCTTTCTGAGAACCAAACCTCAACAAATGCCTCATACGCATGTGAAAAATTAGAGGTGAAAAGTTACTGAAGCAAGCAGAAAGTTGTAGGGACAAAAACTACCCAAGTATCTAAGTTTCTTTGCTTGTATTTTTTTTAATACTCAACTGATATTCAATCATAACTTAGAAAATGATCTTTTCAGTTTTTGGATTAGATGATAGATTTTTTAGTCAAATAAAGATTACCAATTCAAAAAGAATACATTGTGTAAAATTGGATTTTTCAGAGTGGCCCAATTGTTGTGGGTGTTGATTTTGTCTGATATAAATTGGATGATGGGTGGGGGGAAAAACAGGAGGATCTGTGTTAATCCGAGCAGCAGGAACTGTCTAATAGAAACATCAGAGTGCACCTGTATTGTCAGAATCAAGAGCCAACCTTGTTCCATATTGAAATGGATCCTATTAGTTCAAGGGCAATCATTTCATCATTTGTTCCTACGTCCAACTATCGCCCACTTTCCATAAACTCAAAAAAAGTTAGTGTGAACATTGCAGTTGGCTTTTGTGTAGTGCATGTAAATTCAAATTAGAATCCTTGCTATCAAATTTAAAGGGTAAAAATCTGTCAGAATATGTGTAGGGATAAAATGTACCGGTACTTCAAATTTTGCCATAATTTTGTTAACACAATAAATGTTTTTCTTTCACTTGAGAATGAATTGATTAATTTGTGGTTCCTCCAGGACAACTGTCCACCCACCTCTTTTGCCTGTTGACAACCACACCAACCTGTCAGTGCAAATTCAAAGCTGATTCACAAAGTTTTAAGGATCAGCCCCGGTAATTGGGATCTTTATTTGTAGTGCTCAAGGATGGTCAAATTGTCTGGGACAAGGTTAAGCCTCACTTCCTTCCTTTCTGGAAGCATATTACTGATTACAAACCCAAACAAAACGCCCTTACAGTGAACACCCATGGCCGTTTATTTTAAGCAACTGTTGCATAACAAGTGGTCAAAAATTGTTCAAATTGGTTAACCGCAAAGATATGGCAGTTATTGTGCTTGAAACTAATAAAATTCCAAAAGCTTTGGACAATAATAAACATTGATATTGATGACAGTTATCCTTGAACCCTTTAGTCACTGTAGTGCCCCAAATTGCCCTGCCTATTACTCACTGTAGTGTCTGAAACCGTCTGAACATGCTATAGTTTTATTGATTCTTCAGTGAATAAACACAATGTAATACAATTTAGTAAATTGGTTACCCATTAAATCACTAAACGACCCGAAACAGCTTTGCCTGTTGCTCCCTGTATTGCCTGAAAATGTCTGAGCACTCAGTGCTTTTATGGTTACTTCAGTGAATTAACACATTAATACAATGTAATACAGGTGCTTAGATAAAAGAAAATAAGTTTAGCCAAGTTCAGCCAGTGTTGAGATGAATGACATTTTTCAGAAAACAGGATTGTCTGAACACCAGTGAAATGCATATACTTCTCATGTAAGACTCGACTTCAAATCACTGTTTCTTTGCCTTTGTATTACAACAGGTGCTACGTAGATGAGATGAACTTCCGTGATTTGTGCATTGATGAAGCATTACGTAAATTCCAGACAGCATTCAGACTTCCAGGAGAAGCTCAGAAGATAGAGAGACTCATGGAGGTATACAAACCAATGTTATACAATGGTTGTCTGCTATGATGTAGTCCATATCACCAAGGGGTGCAAATGATTCAAAGTAAAATATTGCCCAATGTAAAGTTGTACAAAACTCAGGGAATACACCTCGACAGGCAACAATTGTTTTGTTATACCGTGGTATTATTTGGGTAAACTGATTTGAGATGAGCATTTCTAATTCTGAAGTCCAGTGCTTTGGTCATATTTTATGTGCATCTTTGTTACGTATGCACGTGTACACGTCTTGCCTATGTTGTACCCAGGGTCTGTTCGCGCTGAGTTTTGCAAAGATAGTTTCATCATATTTGAGAATGATCAAGTTCGTGTACGTGGAGCACACGAGGTGATCTACTCCGCTGAGTCGGTCAGGTCGTCAAACATGAACCTCTGAACCACATGTATGTCACATGAACTGTCCTCAACCAATGACATTTCCCACGTTAATACCATGGTATACCACACAATCCCATTTCCCTTTGGTAAACCTCAGCCAAGTACAGGCTTATGCAAAGGATTGTATCTGACGCTTATGTTGAATGAGTCATGTTGGCACCTACCCGGTGTATAGATTAATGAACACTAATAATTACAGATACTGGCACCAGCCAAACAATGTATCAGTTTTCCAAAACTCAATCTGATGATTCTTTTTGCTCTCTCATCCATCGAGTATTAACATTTTCCTTTATACCACAAGCCATTTCTCACACTGGCTTATATCTAATATCCATATTGTCTTTCAGAGTTTTGTCAGTGGCTGTTGGCGTGACAGAGAGACACTAAGTCACCAATTTGATCTAAATCTTTTATAATTGTCCAGTTCAAAGTTTTGATTGCAGTATTCTGTTCTTGTAGAAACCTTGCAGTGAAGCTAAGTTGCAAACCAAAGGATGGCTGAGAAGTAACTCTATTTAATATTTTAACCCAAAAAACTTAAGATCTTCAAGCTTGTATAACAAACCTACATATAAAAAAATATGTAATACACACCTTCTTTAACATAGAATAACATTGTAGCAGATAGAAAGGGCTTAACTAAGTTTTTATCTTTGCATTCAGGTTTTGTACCGTAGTTTTTTATATTCATAGAATTACAGTATGGCCAGATCCCACATAAACAAAGAATTTGCAAAAGCATTATTTTGAGGTCATAACAGGCCCCTTAATATTTTCTAGTGCAGTGGTTTGATGTATGTACAGAACCACATCAATCTTTCTTTGCTTGTTTATAACCTAGGCCTTTGCTCAGCGATATTGTATCTGCAATGGTGATGTGACCAGGGCCTTTCAGAAACCAGATACAATCTTCATCTTAGCGTTTGCCATCATCATGCTGAATACTGATCTGCATAGTCCCAATAACAAGCCAGAGAGACGCATGAAGCTCCAGGATTTCTTGAAAAACCTCAGTGGTAAGTGACCCAAATAGTCAGAACATGTGTTTTCAGAGACCTAAAGACCCGTTATAACTTCAAGTAAGTTGACATGAAAATGTAGAGCATTGAATGTTTTCTCAAAGGAACAAATTTCACTATGCCTCGCTGAACTAAAATTGGGCTCAACATCACCAACTTTCATATTATGTGGGCAGCTGCATAATAGAACAATTACTAACAGAGTATGCAACCCTTTCCGAAAATGCACAAGGACATGGTATTTTTATCCCTGTGGCACGTAAATTCAGCCCTTCATGTAAACTTGCAACAGTCTTGCCAGTGCGTATGGACGTACTAAACTTTTGGACGTCCAACTTTTACCCTTGGTGAAAAAGAGTGCCAGACTTTGTAACGTGTTGGTTCTGTTTCTAGGTATTGACGATGGCTGTGATATTGATCCTGAGCTTCTTCATGGTATCTACAATCGCATCCGGCAACATCCTTTCCAGCCAGGAATGGACCATACAAGTATCGTCTTCAAGATTGAACAGAATATCACTGGCAATAGACCGGTATGTACGGCAACAAACACCAGATTGCCTTCCTACACCAATAATTTCCTTCTTTAACTTATCCACTTATGCAGCTGTGTCATTGCATTTCAAGCTGGACTCTTAGCCTTTTCTATCCCTAAAAGTCAAACAAATGAGAAGGACATACAATCCGTATGTAACAAAAGGCAATGTTCTTGATTTCTTTGTGATGTTGGCAATGGAGCATTCTGGTTTTGGTCACAACACAAGCCCTGCCCACTTTGCATATGGGCCACAGCATCTTCCCAATGCCACACTGCTTGTTCAAGCTGCACATGAGCACGTGCATGCATGGTACACTTCGGTTGGACAAGCCCTGAATTCCCAGCTACAGACCTTGGTTGAAAAATACTCCACTTCATGGCTGGATTGCTGCACCACAACAGAGGTTTAAGAACTTTGCTTTGTTTCTTCCCTCCAGATCCTAGCTGAACCTCATCGTCGTCTAGTCCGTGATTGCAGCTTGTCAGAGGTCTACGATCCCACCAAGAAAGACAAGAAGCATCCCAGACATGTCTTTCTCTTCAATGATATGCTCATGGTATGCAGCCAACTCTTTATCTGAACATCATCTACCTATTGGTTAATTTGTACGATAGTTTGCACAAGTATATGATTGTTGGCCTTGGTCTTTCATTGTCATCTGCTAAAAAGGTGACTCTGAAACCAGACCAATATGCTCTTTTAGATGTAGAAAACACAAACCGCAACATTTCTTTTGGACTTATTTGCATGATATTACAAAACAATTGTTGACTGCTGTGATGTAGGATATGCCAATTTTACCCCATTGGGGCGCAAAGCAACCCTCAGGTGTTAAAAAAACGAAATCCCACATCACAGCAGTCAACAATCGTTATTAAAGAAACACATGATTAGTGCACATGGCTTGCACTACATGTACACAATATTGCAGCAGATCAATATTCCCATGATTAGCCAAGCAAGCTTTCTGATATTCATTGTGTTTTTGATGTTGTAACGGCCAACACTCGGCTTGTTAACTTCTTTGCTGAAGGTTACTAAACTGTACAAGAAGAAGACCGGGAGTATCTATGGCTTCAAGAAGGCCTTCCCATTGCACACTGCTTGCGTGCTGGATTTCTCCTCACAATGTAAGTGACTTTTCTCTTGTAAAAGGGACATCTTACATCAAAAGTTCTCAACTTTCCACTAAACTAAAATGCAGCTCTTGGCTTGTTAATTATTATGTGCAAGTCTTGTTGAAGTAGCAGTTTGACCTAAGAAGAGGTAAATTATCGAGATAAATTTCTTTAAACAAGTTCTTTAAACAAGGCAAGTAGTAAGTACCCCTTTGTCACTGGAGGTAAACTAACAGTACTCATTTTTTTAGGAGCATAATGCTCCGAAACATCTCGAAATAATCAGCGTAAAAATCTTGCTCATATCTCCTGCTGTACCCATGTACAGACAAATTCCTAACATGCAACCCAGACAGACATGCATGTGTAAAGTGATACCTACACCAGACAACCCAACTCAATGAGCTCTAAATGACATATTCTGGATATTTGAAGTGCATTTAAATGACCCTACAGATCAGTAATGGAAGGCTGAAACACTTCACTCTCACTAATCGAAAGTGGGTTTTTATCTCAACTGCATGGACCATCTGTTCAGCTTGGGCAATGCATTTACTGATGTAGATCACAACAGATTGAAATCTGGGTCTCCTTGAAAAGAATAATACTCGCATATGATTTTCATTTTGCGTTTAATTATGCCCTTTTATCTGAATGGTTGACAGATGCTAGTTTGTCTCTATATTATTTGTACCAAAATTAACAGATTTTTTTTTATAAACTTAGTGTTAATAGATAGTCAGTGTCCTAACCTTATAGATCATTCACAAAATAACAGTGACATTATTTTCTCTGAAAAATGTATTAATTTAAATTATCTTTCAGTCTTGACATAGTCAACAGTGTTATTCCTCATTACCCTCTAACTGGATATTGTCATTAAATTACTTGATTGGATTATCCTCATCCTAAGATTAGCAATGACATCATCTACATTGTAGTAGTATTACCTCAAAATGGATTTTTTTGTCTTGTGTAGATTATCCCCATGGGATCCGTCTGGTAGCAGCCATGAACAACCGTACACTCATCACCTTCTGTGCCAACTCCCAGGAAGAGAAGATGAAATTTGTGGCTGATCTGAGAGAGACGGTCCAAGAGGTCAATGAGATGGAGGACATTAGAATAGGAGGTCAGTACACACTCTTACATGCAAATATTCATCAAGTATGAATATTCATGATCATCAATACTTATGAATTATTTGTGCCCAATATCTCTCCCCCCCCCCCCCTAAAGAAACATGCCGCTATTCAGCCCTTATTCAGAGGATGCTGTTGACTTTGGAATGGTGTTCCATGCACTGTGTTTCCTCAAAGGCTTCCTATTCAAATCCATTTTCATTTGGCATTTGCATCCATGGGTGTAGTAGGGATGCTTGCTTGTCTATCTCAATTACAGCATGTGCTATGAGAATCAGCACTGTGTTTTTACACAAATTTTGGCAATTTTTAATTATACTAATTTGAACTGTCCATCTATTCAGCATATGCAGTATAAGTATTTCTGAAAAGTGTGCTCAAGTAAAAAAAATCACCAGAGTTTGAATTCAAGTACAGTTCAACCATGTTAATTGCTTAAACAATAGTTATGAACTGCATGCTGATGCAATAACACATCTCATTGTTGCACTGCATACTCATTTCTTGTGCAGTCTAACAATTATAAACTTAGTCACATAACATCACACTGTTAACCATTGTTGACAGTCTTTGCATTTGATCACCAGTCATTTCTGTTTCTTGAATGGCCTGAGTTTACCCTTGATATTCCTTGGATTCTACTACAACACCCGTTATTGTAGCTTTCCCTTGTCTGACCTCAGCATCACTATATTGGTATCCTGTCCTGTGTACACATTTATTCTGTTAACATTCTATGTATTGTTACTGTGCTTGGACTATGTGGAAGAGCTGGAACCCTGACTTCTTTCTATGATTTTCAAGTTAGCTTTCTTGGCACGAGGCATGTGAGATGCACCCAGTGACTTCATCATTAGCAAAACCAGAATGCACGATTAAACAGATAAAACAAATTCAGATGAATGTAATACAACCAGTCCTGAAGCCAGTGCATTCTGTATGGCTGCATATGTGTAGAACTAATTCACTGATTCTCTTCAAAGTAAATGTTAAGTGTGACATTGCTATTGCGATAGTCTTGGTGTGCTGCACTTAATTTATGGCTAAGTTTGTTCATGGGACCACTTTATGTACCCCTTCCCTGAAACAGAGAGATTTTGGGTAAAAGACGACTGGCACTTGCAAAACATTTTGAGCTGATCTTTGTAACAACATTGATATTTTAATAAGGTTAAGAAATGTTAATATACATGTAGGCAGGGTCTTTCCATACAGTATGCAGTATTCATTAAGCATTTGGTCATTATTGTTTATTTTCATATGAAGTTACCTTCCAACAATGCAAAACAGTGCTCTAGATATCACTAAATCTTGTAATCATGGTAATAGAGGATTGTGCCACCCAACAAGCTCAGAATATCTGCCCTGTAGGCAGGAGATGGTTGTTTCAGTTCCAACCAAATACCCTGATCACAACTTCTATGAAAGTGCAAATGCCTAACAGGCAGAGCACACTTCTGAAATTAGGCCTGTTCATTGTAGAACCTTTAAGAACAACACAGTGGTATTTCTGCCTCCGTGCAATGCCTAGACTTTGCTTTCTGATGGAATGAGCCCACTGATTGCATCCAATAATGTGCACCCATGATACGACCTGAGCCTGTCAACCCTGATTGGAATCAGTCAATTACTTTTGCATTTTGTTTTCTTGCCTTCCCCCTCTACCATGCTTCCTTTAGTTTACCCCCCAAGGGAAATGTGTCCCTGGGAAGGTACGTATGTATCCTGGGTGCAAGACACCAACATATGATTGCTATGTATTGATTGCTACCCACACTCTTACTATATGGAAGTCCAAACAGTTTGTGTTGTTGCACGAGGTGTATTGTATATGTACTAATTGTGGTGTATTAATGCATGTGTTCCTAGCTTAAGAGGAGAAGCCCGACACGTTTGCTAATATTCTAAGGCGTTTCAATTCTCGAATGGGGGCTGTGGAACACTATTGGGAATGGGGCATTCATCTGTTGGATTTGCTGGCAACTAAAAATGTGCCAGTTTTGTGGAGTGACTGAGGTGTTTTTTTTGGTACAGATTTCCTGTATTTTACCATAACCAACTCTCATATAACACATGTGGTTATTCTCTCTGCAGAACTCAATTTGCGTCACGTGTACAGGAAGCAAAGAAGCATGTTTTGCTCTCCAACATGTAATATATTTTGTCTCCAAATTTGAACCAATAAGCATTTTTTTTTCTTCAGTTAAGCGCCAACATTTTAATACAGGTAGCTGGTTAGTTAATAGCAAAAGAAATTATAATTTTTCCATCATGTTCCTGACTACCTGACGAGGGTCAAATTTACTCACCTTTGATTTTTTTTTTTTAAATTAAAGGACACTTTACAAGTCTTAGATTGGTTGAGATATAAGCATAAATGCAGACAAGTTATCAGAATGATCCAAATTCTTGATCATGCACCAATAGCCGTGTGTATTAAGCCCCACGCACTGTGTACATGGGCAGCAACACACACACCTCTCCAGAGCCACGCTGCATGGTCCAGACGCGTTCGTCATGTGGACACATTTCACACATATTTTGCAAAAATGTTGGATATTGACAAAATGTCTTGGATTGGTCAATTCTCTCTTTGTTCCTTTCTCAAATCTTCTTTAGAAACAATTTGAGTCTAGCTTTAAAAGGTGGACCTTCATGCGGCCCTTAAAGCCTTGCCATAAACTACCCTATACCTACAGAACACAAAAAAGATGTATGAGTTGTGCTTTGAAAAGACAGTGAATCATGCCTTTCCCACTTCCTGCCTGTAGTTGATTCTTTCCTGTTGATCACGCCATGATCTTTGATTCGCTGGTTGATTTACTCATGGTTAAGTGTGATTTCTAGGAGTTGTTCCAATTTGCTGTTAACAGCTTGAGCCTGGATTATGCTTAGACCAGCCATGCTTGGTTGTAACATCACTCTATGCTGAGGATGGTTTCAGATGGAACTAACTAACGTGACCGTTTTTGACACAGATTAGGGACATCAACAAAGTAGCGATTGGGGAGACACCCTCTTCCTAAATATTTATGTCAATGGGCTTAACATCATATTGTCCAGACAATTTATAAGAAAACATGGATGGTTGGGCCTTGGGGCAACTGATTTCATCAAATTCTTTGTTGCTGCATGCATTGAATAACAGGACAGTTGATTTTAAAGCTGCATAAAGGGCATTCAAATACTCAGAGTGTCTTGATGAACATCTATAGGCAGATCAAATCCTTCATTTCACAAACCATGACCTTGGCTTCTCATCTGCTTGCAGTCATCCAGCAGAGCTTTGTCTATCGCTGCCATTCATAACATCTGATCACAGTCTTGCTTTTCCTTCCTTATTGCATTGTAACCATTGAGCATTTCTCACAGCCATGCAGCCTTCAACTATCCTCCTGAGCTCTTCTTGGAAAAGATGTGTCAGAACTTTAATGGATAATAGTCTTTAGAATAGTTATAGGGTGTTAGCAACTTGGTCTTAATCTTGTAGGGTCGATATGAGCTGGATAAAGGTCTCCTTTGACGTGGGTGTGTTTTAGCGCATTGCTGCCAACAACATGAATTAAATTTATATGCTTGTTTTTGTGCCTTTGTAACGTTGATGCAACAGGTAATATTATGTGTGCATGCCTTTGTGTTATTTTGTGTTTGTGTTTGTGAGAGAATTTGCCTGTTATTGTAAACTTTAATTCAATGCTGTATCATCCCTTTTTGTTAAAAGCAATCATTTATTTTGTACTTTTTAGTGATAAGATAAAGCGATGGAAAGGGCATTATGCCCAACACAAAAATGTTTTTTTTTTTCAGATTTTTTTTAAATTATTTTTTAAGAATATCGACAATCAATGAATATCTTTGAGTTTTGCTCTCCAAAACATTTCAATAACCCATAAAAAAAGGTATTTGGAAGTACATGTACACTGGCCTGTATATGCTATAATTCCTGATATACATGTGCGTCACATAAAATGACAGACTCAATTTCAGTGTCTTGGCAGTTGAATTAAAAAACACTCAAGCATCACTAACTTTCTGGTGAACTGGAGATCGCTTTCCAGTTTTAGAAGGAAAAGTTCTTATCAACCCTCTTTCTCTCCGTTTGTATTTCAGCTGAGCTAGAGAGGCAGAAGATTGTGCGCAAGAGCCAGGCAAGTACAGCTGACTCTGGACTGGGTCTGGATACGGAGAGCTTTGCTAGTACACAGAACCTGAGTGGTAGCATGGACTCATTAGCACCACAGGCTAGCGACAGTGGTACCTTGAAGAGGACTGCACTGTCCAACTCACTCATGGACCTGAAGGAAGCATCAGGTAGGTTGATAAGAAACTACAGGCCTGTTCACTGGATCGTCTCACCTCACCGTGTTGAAATCAACACCAGTCCAGCATGCGTAGAGCCAGGTCCGAGCGTAAAGCCTGTCAACCCTGGTCCAACCGGGGCTGTTGAGAGCACTGGACCCGTGTAGAGGCGAGGTTAGATTCTTGCAAGAGTGAAAGGGGTTCTCGACATCTGGGAGATTATGGGTCAAACACAAAGAGTTTAGATAATTTGAAAGGGCGTAGGTGTTGATAGTTGGTGATTGCATTCTATGAGGACACACAAACCTCATGTCTCATTTACAAATTTGATCTTCTTTCACAATGTTCACAACCAGAAATAAGTTCATTTGGACTGTTATTAGAATTATTCCCCTTTTACATGTTGTGAGGTTGATGCTTGTTTTCAAGTACTATTACATCCATTCCTAAAGAAGTATTGAAGTAATGACTTCATCCTCTAAGCCATTTGTCTGAGAATGAGTGTTTTTATTGTTTTAGTTTGTTTCTCCAAACTCAAGTTATAAAACGAGAAGCATTGTCGAAATGACAAAACATAAGGGAATTGCAATGAGACTTCGCAGCACCTGAGATAAGGATTCTATATCTCATTGTAAAATCTGGTGAGAAAAACTGAAGTGTGATATCTGCATGAATTCCTGAAATTATGTGAAATATTTGCCTTTTTTGATTTCTGTTAACAGCCAAGAAGAATCACAGGAACAGTGCTAGTTCCTTAGACAGTGGAGTGGTATGTACTATGTCACATTCTCTGTGCTCTTCTTTCTTTATTTGTAAAGATATTTGATAAGGTGTGCATTCATTCTTTATTTCAAAATAATAACACAAAATTGAGAAAAAGGATTGATTTTGAAGTTGATGGTAGCATTTTTCCTCAGTCTCTAAATGCTACCTCAGGCTCTCTAGCAACCGTGACATCTTTTATTAAATTTTAATTTGTAAAAGGAAAAATCTATCACCAACTCTCGGTCAATATGTGAATGAGTTGGGCACATTTTAGAAATATCATGCATTAGAAAGAATTCCAGGCATTTTCCTATCTTCATTATAAAAGCACAGATCCTTAATGCAGACATATACATGTAACAGCACACCCTGAACAACTCATATGCTGTGTTGGTGATATACATTGGATATACATTGTATCTTGGGGGTGGTGGGTAAAAGGCAAGTTATTCATAAACGGAATTCCAGAACATAACTTCAGACATCATGTACTGAATTCCAATGCACTGAAAAATAAATCAGTCATAAAAATTTACAGAGGAACATTCGTCCTTATATATTTGTTTGCTGCAAGATTGCAGAGATATGGTATATGAGTTGACAGCCATTATCCCCTGCATTGGAGAAACCCTTTGTTTTTAGAATAACATTGATTTAAACTCCATTTCCCAGTGAAAGATTGAGAGAGATTTCTATTTGATGTATGCACATTTGTGTCTGCTTTCTTCCTTTCTGCACTCTCTTTAACACACACTCCATTTAGTGGGCCATCACGCGCATTGTGGCTGTGTGAGTGTTTTTATTCATGTCTTGAATGATACAAATGCTTGGTCCGTGCATTATGTGGAATGTTGAATGAAATGGCAAAAGTCTGTCTGTCTGTATGTCTGTATAATAACGAGAAACCTTAAACCAATCTGTCTCAGGGAGAAGGGGAGGATTGTGCAGCATTATTCGTATGATATACGCTTCTCCCATCTCCTAGAAATGCATGGTTTGTAGGTTCCCAAAACACCCAAATGTAACGCCTTCCACTGATTTGTAATAATGTTACACAAAATTTGGAATTATACACTTTAGTGTTGCTGGTTCAGGTAACGTTTTTACCGATAGTTAAGATGTCTAGAACCTTTAATCTATCTGCCTGACTTCCGTCTACTTTCCTTCAATCTTACAGCAGGAGGAATCAGGTTAGCATGCGGTACTTTCCTTGCCTTCCACCACAGTGACCGGGGTTCCAATCTCGTGGGGCCAATATGTGGATTGAGTTTTCAATCACTGCATGATTCTGTGGGTTTTCCCTGAAGGATCATTCCGGGCTTTCCTCCCACTTATAAAAGCTGTAGTTTCCTTCCACATGTTCTACTGAAAGGGCCCCAATTTCACAGGCTTTGCTGGATTTAATGCCAACTAATAAGCAAATGAAAAGATGATTGAAACTTTGATTCCAGGAGACCTAAATAACTTTGGAGCTATCTTGATCTCTCTCCCCTGATGCAGTTTTGAATACTATACGTACATGTATCCTAAAATGTATTGACACAATGTTTACCAATGTATGTGTGATAGTCCTATACCATTCTACCTATTGGACAGAATATTTGCATTTGTTGATCTGCGTACTTCTAGAAATCAGTTGTATTTACCCTATCCACCCCCAACCCTTCAAAATCCAACTGCATCTTTTTTTCTTTTTTTTTATTATGTTGGAGTGAGTACTACATGGGGTCAGGCATACATGTACATGTACCACCGTAATCAGAGTCCAACAGTTTGGGTGTTGAGTCTACCATATGGTGTTGGATGTTGCAGGAGTGAGGAAAGTTCCTAGTAACTCACTCAAGGGGGTTAGGGTTAGAGTACTTTCTAATGTACATGTAAGAGGTTACCAAGTGATTTTCATGTCTAGAAATCTAGTCAGAGTTGTTCCCCTTGCATGTGTTAATAAGGGTTGCATATATATACATGTCTGTAGTAATCATAGAGCTATAGTAAATTACTAGAGCGCTACCTCCTCATTCTTATGCGCGGAGATACTTGATGCCATCTTGCACACAGACTGTTTGTAGAACATAATGAAATTAGATAGAGTGTATTTTGAAAGTGTACTCTAAATGCAATGCGCAAGTGCAACATACGTAAGCAACTTAAGCGCATTTTAACGGTTAACAAACGTCACAGCAAAAATCATCTGCAGCAGATACGTGCACACATTTGTGTTGTTTGCGCAGAGCAAATGAAACACTCATTTTAATGTGCATTTCAGTTTTGAACATATTAGCTTCAATAACACACCTGAATAGAATACAAACGCAAATAGCCGTACAAAAGTTTGAGTTTTCCATAGGTTTGTGCACAAACATGGATGCGCCCAGCAGCCATCACTTTGTACATCGAGTCAGCACTCTAGTAATTCAGTGTAGCTCTATGGCAGTAATGTAGTTTCTTCCTAATTGCTTCTTGAAATACGTGTTTTTGTGTTGGTGCATTGGTCATGTATTTTTGTAATACAGAGGATTTCATGTGGAAAATGTTGTTGCATTTTACCTGAATGCTATTAAAATGCATGTAAATTTCCAGGTTTTGTTTTATGCACTTGAAAACATGCCCAACTGCCTGAGAATTGCAACATGAAATTTTGGAACAAAAAGTAATCTTTTTAACAATAATTTTCTGTGCATTTCTGCCTGTACACAGACCCTGGATATCAACGCCACAATGCCCCTCCCCAGAAAGAACCGCACCGGCACCAACCCCGTCAGTTCAGTCTTCAGCACACGACGCAACAAAGTCACCCAACCGACCTTCGACCTCAGCACCGCAGGCAATAGCGACACCTCGGACTCGTGATGTGGTCTATTCCACGCTGGTGTAACAAGCCATTAAGCCCCAGGCATGTGCACTGGCTCTTCATGAGCCCAGTCTCTTAAACATCTCACCCATAGATTGTGTCAGCTGATGGTATTGTACAAATTGCAACATGATCAGAGAAATAGTAGTGGCAAGTTACACTGAGTGAGAGGAGGTAGTGTGAAATCACTGGTGCCAAGGTGGGCTGATGTGGACTACCATAGCTCCTAACGTGGACAAGTAATACACTACTTACCCGAAATGAACCATGTTGTATTTGTTCTGTTACACCCATACATAATTCATTAGTTCCATTGTAAGAAATTCATTGGAATTCCATGGAACATCCCTCCCATGAAATGCGTATATACTGTCATTCTTGAAGGTTGCAGTGTGGTACCACTAGCAACCCGACTTGCATGTGCAATTGTTGCATAGCTCAGGGTTTCAGAGCTAATTATGGGGTACTGCTGTCCTGGTAGCACTGACTGGTTTACGTGCCTCATGCGTGTGCCGTGTGTGCAGGGTAGCTGCTTTTGCTTCCCAGACAAACCTATGCAAGTATGAATAATGCTTTAAGCTTCACTTGTTGTTACTGTACTACCGCCTATTGTCCAAAAGACTAGTGCAATTGCAGAAGTGCAATAACAAGTGAATTTCAGTACACACAAATTGAATAGATATTGTCTTGCATTGGGAGTATATAATCAGCTGTCCCGTGTATCTGTAGGTGAGGTGTTTATACAAAGCAAATATTGACTGTTCTAACGTGTGGTACAGTAAAAAGAGCCTCACTCAGAGATCCGTGGAGTGCTATATTTTCCCTCCACTCTTGCTTGAGAATATACATACAATATGGTATGGATCACCTTACAATGGTATCATTTGATTGTACCACTCATTGCAGTCAATATTAGCATACTAGAAGGCAGTGGTGTAGTCAAGTACTTTGCCATGAGTACGAGTATGAAAGAAATGTACTTGAGTATGAGTATGAGTACTGCAACACTGCTAGCAGGCATATGAAGTGTGACTCATGAGAATGTGGAGGTGCACATTGATCTATGCAAGACAAAGCTTTTCCTCTTTTACTGCATTTATTCTAGCTCTATATGACTATCTTGCATATGCCAGTGACATCTGAAAAGTAACATTTTGTCATTGTACTGACCAATCAAATTGCTTTATGACTATAACAATGAACAAGTGAGGGCGTTGTTTTCTTTTCTGGCTTTTGCAAGGTTTAAGGAAAACAAGACGAGTCCCTGCATGCATGATTGATGCGGCATGATTGTCAAAATCTGACATAGTTTCTGCACATCCACTCTGCTTCATATTTAACTTATGTAACTTCTTTGAAGCTTCCATCCCATTGTTCATTTGTGTCTCGGTAAACAGTAAAAATGTGGTATTAAGCGCGTTCAGTTTTGCTATTGAACCAGTGTTATGAACACACTAAAACCCAATTGCAACAACTCAGAATATAGTTTAGGTAGATTTTCCTTTGGGACATTAATATCCATGATATATATACGTATATATTTTTAAGAAGGAGCTAAAAGTCCAGCACTTTTTGAGTAAGAAAACTAGAATTGTTTTGCTTGTGTATCCTATTGTGTATAGCTATCCAGAGATAAGTTGTGTCTAGTTTCTGTGCTGTTATAGTTTGGTTTTCGTATATGGCACATGATGTAGGGTTTGATATTTAGTTTGCTAGCTTGGGATTTGCAACTTTGCCACAAAAATTTTAAGATAAATATAAAGATCATAAAATGATCGTATTTTTTTGTTATTAATTTCATTTATCAGAAATACAGGTGGAATGTAGGTTAGCTATACACATCAATCATATTGACAAATATGTTGGTTTGTATACCAAAAAAAAGTCCACCTGTTTAAACGAAATACATAAAAGTTCAAGTCTTTATTAGTTTAATTGTGTTGGACAATATATTTCAAATGATGTTTATTATATTTAAAAAAATTGATCACATAGGGAAATGGTTTCAGAAAATTATGTTTGAAAAAATCATTTCTGCTATGCAAAATATAAAAAAAAGTTTAAATATTGTATGGTTTTACTTGTTTATGTATATTCATTTACTTTTACAAAATTGTGCAATTTATGAATTAATAACTGAGCTTTCAGACATTTGAGATGGAAAAAGTCAACATTTATACTAAAGGGCCTCAGACAAGAATGGAAGCAAATGGGAAAAATGGGGGGAAAGCGATTTGTTGAATTCTTTATTTCAGTTATGCTGGTAGCTTTCTTTATTTGACATGGTCCTACAGAAACTGCAGTTGTTGCATTGGTTTGAATGGTGCTAGTATTATAGCAATAATATAAAGAAGTGCTACTTTCTAATCTGTTACCAGCAAATGAGATCTTTTTGTGGAAATATAAACATTGGTTGGTAGCTCCTTAGCAACATGTGATCATTTTTCAAGGTGCATGTACCAAAATTTTAATTTAAGCAAGAAGATTGCGTTTGTTTTCTCGCCAACTATAAATCATTATTGAGTGTTTAGTTTTGGAAAAGTCATCAAGCCCTGAATTCATTACAGATCTTGTCAAAAGCTCACTTTGGGCGCATTTGTAGGACCCAAATCCGGATCCTTGGAACAAGTACCTGAACTGCGCCTGATTCAGATCTTAAGTCACATGACTAGCTAAAAGAAAACATGGAGACAGTTACCGTTGTACATTGTTTCCTTAGTTACCAGTTTTGATTCTCACACTGATCCACCTCTCTGGAAGGATCCCTGAGATGCTGATCAGTATCTGAGCCAAAACCGAATGGATCAGGATCCACATCAGGATCTGTGTGAAACACATAATTGTTACAGTTTCTCCTGTTGCGGTACTATAAATACTCAAACTTGATCTGTGATGTTAACAATAAGTTTTTGCAATCTTGACCCTACTGTTTATGGCCTTTATGAGTTCAAATGCACTAGATTTTACTCTTTATTGCAACCAATAATGCAAAACAACATGCAAACAGAATTCCTCTATGCACTGGACTAAGTGCAACAAGGCCAGGAAAAATTGCATATCACAGCTCAATGAATGCAATTTTGTATACACTACTGTTTGCCCCGCAATTGTATGCTTTGTCATTATATACATGTACATGTATACATATTTTATCAATTTCTAACAACCGCATAGACAGAAAAAAATAAGATACATGTTGACTTATAGTGTTTCAATATGGACAAAATTGTTTAAGATGCATTAGACAGTGATGTACACCAGTTAAAAAAACCAGTAACTTTATTACCCAAGTGTTAAAACTTAAAAAACATGTATCACTATACCTGACATAAGCATTGAAATTATCTATCCCTGATATTGTATGTACCATCCAGTAATATTGGAATTTGAACATATAATAGTTCACTCTCTCCTTTGGGCAAAATAAATGCTATTGCGAATTAAGTCTCATCACAGACATGTTTCCTACCAGTATCCAATGGGATCCATTAGTCAGAGAGAACACATGTTACATAGTTGCTGTATTTAATGTTGTACATTGTAACATATTTTAGGGCATTTGCTGTCTTGCATCATTTGGAGTTTGTGACCAATACCATTAGGAATGTGTCCTGCAAATTATCAAGTTGTGAGGACTTTTTGGCACAGTTAGTTTTCACATGCACTGAATTGAAATGTTTTTCAATTATTATTGAAAGTGAGCACCATTGTGCTCCCTTTTTGTGATGAGGATTGCCAAAGATAAGGTCCCCAATGTTATGCAGTAGCAGTTTTTATGATGGTTTGAAATTTGTCAATTATTTTCCAAAACAGAGATGGCAATATCATTACATTGAGGATTATTATCGATGTCCACAGTTCAATCACATTCAGTGACCTGTATACAGAAACGAAGTGTAGGTCCAATGAATGACTGTGCTTGCAGCACTTTCTGCATGTCTTGTAAAGCTTTTCTTGGTGATGGAGACAATGGGGGGCGCTATTTGTGTTTCCTGTTCTGGAGGAATGCGTGTTCTTTGTCCAAACCAGTCTTCCAGTCAGCCTAAATGGGCACGGACGGAAGTTGGAAGAGGAGTGATGTATAACGATGAAGAAACCCAAAGAATACTTGCCAACTTCATCAACGCAATTTTGTCAGGGATTCAAACTTAACATAGTGTGTGGATAAAAACACGGTTATTTTCTATTAAGGTGAAAAGGCTTTGCCAGGTTAAAAGTAAAAAAAAAAATAATAATATTAACCAGAAAAAAAAGACAAGTAACCTAGATAACAAAAATGTACAATACATTCTCGCCAAATTTGTACGTGAAATGTCGGACTTGGAACGTTTTTTAATATCTCACTATAGAATGCAACACAAGTAATCTAAGTTATTTTTTGCCAACTGTGAAAACTGTAAACTAATGAATGTACAGATGTTTTTGTGAGAATAGATTTGGTTTATTGTAACAATGTATGGTTATATTTTGTACAAATTATCCTACTTCCCATGCATGGATGCTGTGATAACTGTTCAGTAATTTAGTTGTTTTAAGTCTATTTTCTTCGGTCAAGATAGAGGTTCTGAGTACAAACAATGTGCTTTTCAAAAATGAACGAGTGATTGTTTGAATTATTGTCTGGTACAATTTATGTTGCACATTGTGACTTGCTTTTCACAGAGTGCATGTACATGTAATATATGAATTCTGTAACGTATGTACTACTAGTATGTTATGTCCAGTGGCCCTAAGAGTGAAATAACATTAAGTGAGACTTGCACTTGTGTGTTTAATATCTCCATCATTTCAGTTGTCATTGAGGCTCAACTAGAAAAAAAAATGTTTAAGTTGAAATCTTAAGTCTTTTCAAGGCCCTAGTGCATTTCACTTCCCCTTAGCTTTTCCTCGGGGAAAACATAATGCTACATGAATCAACTCAGGAGGTAGAAATGCAGTCACTGGTACCATCTGGCTGATACCATCTGTCGATGGGGGCGCTGTTCAAAACCGACAATTCTGCACACAAAGAGCCAATATATGGTGCTTTTCAGGGCGATACATGTGCAAAATTCTGAAACCACACCACACAACGCAAGACGCTTGCTGCACGTACGTATGTGGTAGATGAAAGCTGAAACGTGACGACAGCGTGCACGTAGCTGTGCATGAAGTGTGCTGGAAGATGAATTGTTAAACCCACTCACACTCATGGAACACACAAAATAAAGCGCTTGAATGCCAATCACAAATTTGTTCTGAAAGCTTGCATAGATCCTTTTAATATTCTACATTTAATTCCAAAATCCTTCACCATAAAAATAAAGTCCTTAAAAATACTGAGCCAACTTACTTTACAAAGTATTTCACTGCAAAAATTCCAAAAGCTATTTACAGTTGCATAAAATAATCTCTCTGTTCAATCCTTACTGCCAAGCATATCAATTGTAATGGACACCAATATAAGATTGTATGGTAGAATACATGTGACTTCATTGCATACACTACTTTGTACATCTCTCCTACATTAGAACAACATGCAGGACATGACCCCAATACATGTACTTCTTGTGCATAGTTAATTGGAAAAAAACAAGCTTGACACAAATGTCTAGAACAACAAAATGGGTATTGAAGGACAACTTGCAAACTAGATGGTGAGAAGAGGGCACTATTTACCATTCTGAAATGAACAGGACTGTACATGTCGTCATGGAGGACGAAAAGTGGACATCTCCATTTTGTTCTGCTTTCCCGCCTTTCTGCTACCATAAATGCAGAATTTACTGGTTTTTAAATAAAATCTACTGTCATGCTTTTATGCTACCTGAAATGCAGATTTTGCTTTTCCTCCCTTGCTGGAGGAAGAAAAGTGGACATTTGCTTTTTCTCTTGTTCAAAAATCAGATCAAACCTTTTCTGACGTTTCCATTTTTCTGCTTTTCTGCTACCCAAAAAGCATATTTTTGCTTTTTGCTTTTCTCATTTCAGAGTTCCAGAAAAGCCAAAGGAACCTTTGGTAACTACCATTTGCATTCTGCTTTTCGGCTAAAAGGAAAATGAAAAGGTGCAGATGTTTCTCAGGAGGTCTATTTGAGTTTACGTTCACAGGTTTTCAGACGCTCCCCCTTAAAGAACTTCCGCATCACAAAGTTACGAAAAGAAAAATGTATTGAAAATGGCCATACTTTTGTTATCTGCTCTTCTGACAGCAGAAAAGCAGATGTCCACTTTTTGTCTCCTTACCATAGTGTACCCAAAGTGTCTCATTTGAGAAATCTTTGCTGTGCACAATAAATCCGTATTCAGCTTCAATCGAATCCTTTGGCACCATATATTTTTCTGCACAAGTATTTAGATATTTGCATTTTACTTCCATAATATCTGAAAATATTTGCATGCAATTTCAGTGGTTAAAAAGCCTCCATTTTAAACAGATTCAATTTCAAAACATTGTGTATTCTGGCAGCACACATCGCCCCCACAATATAAGGGAGCCTTTTCATGTCAAGGTTCCTGTGGGATAACAAATACAACAAACTCTCTCCGGTTTTAAGTAACCAAAGTAACTGTACATGTGGGCATTGTTATGTTAGTACTGTTACTATTCTACGCAGAACAACCGGCCATTCGTACTAAAGTGACAAAGTGACATCAGTTCTCACATTGCACATGAACAAAAAGGAGCCTTTTTCTCTAAATGTTTGAAATTGTTCACAAGGACAGCGAATACAGCAACTGAACTATCAGCATGCTAGCATCGGTGGATTTATAGGATCTCCTCCAACTGTTTCTAATCTATGTAAGTTGTCAGAAAAGTCAATTATCAGAACATCAGACATACATGTACTGTTCTTGTGAAATATCAGATTTTTGACCCAAGGTGGCAAAAAGGTTCACTTTTTCTATTTACTTGGCACAATAAAATGTTTATGCATAGGCCTTGGTGGGAAAGACAATAGCAACGAAGTCCTATGTCCAATTTGATTAAAGTTTGATAAGGTTTCCCTGTATTCTCAAGATGTACAGTATCCACTCAGCTATAACTTTAACAGGTAAGTTGTTATGGATCTAACTTAAGATTTGGAGCAATTTTTTTGGCTTCAAACTAAAAAAACCCAAAAAGGCACAAAAATCAAAAGATGCTATGCACCTTTAAACAAATAATGAGGCTTCCCAAAGTTATAAGTCATTTGATCAAATGTGGAGACACAGTGAGGGGTGATTGTGTGTATTACTAGAGATTCCTGAGGTCTGTTTCCATGCCATAGATCAGAGCCTTGAGTTGATGTAGCTCACTCTGCATCTTCTTTGATCTCTTAGCTGTCTGATGAATATTATGCAGCATGAACATATCACCATCTTCCCCAACACCCACTGTCACCTGTTCAGCATGGCAACAAAACAAGAAGGGTTTACATTACAAAGCACTGACAATGATCCAGGGCTAGGGATGTAGTTGATTCCATTCACAAGTCCACCACAAGTCCAGACACAAGTAATTCGTGAGTCCATCACAAGTCCAGGCACAAGATACACTGGATGCCTTTGTCAAAGCTCATTTGAATAGCTTGTGAGTTAAATTGGTGTTGGAGGACTTGTGGTGGACTTGCAGGGACTAGTGATGGACTCGACTACATCCCTGCAATGATCTCCTTGCAATCTTGATTTCATTGACAACATCATTATGGACTATGCGTAGGAACATACATGTAAGATGACACAATAACATCTCACTAACAGAATCTGCTTCTTGATTAGTCGAGAGCACGTTACATGGAATGCACTATTTTACTTTATATAACCGACATACAGATCGTTGTCATTTGATTGGTGGAACTCACATCACATGGCATTCGTTATTGCTCCCATTCATGCCGGGTCTCAAACAGTCCCATTCGCCCATGGGAAATACTATTGAACAGTTAGGATCATTCTTGTTCCATGACGCAGTATTTGTGTGCAAATGCATGCTGGTGTGCGCGTTCAGTGTTGCGCGTATTGTTCCAAAGAGCCAGCGTTACAGCGTTGGGTTCAAACATTTTCGTGAAGGGGTGGTTTGGAAGAGAAAAATACATTTCCACCAATTTTGTATTGAAATAAAAGTTCAAATATCAAATGACAAGGATCTATGTGTCAGTTATATAAAACAAATATTAAAGTTCGACATGTTTTTGTACATGGTGGAAGTGTGGCCTTTATTTACGGAGGTAGTCCAGTAAAATGGCCACATATGGGGCTAAGCATGACCCAGCCTTTGGGGTACTTGTTCGCAGTGTCCGCACCACGATCTGCATGAACTGCACTATAGCTGACCAACATAGGAAAGTAGAAAACAGCAACGGACAAATGCAAACTAACAACATGACTGACATGAAAAGACAATACTCCACCTTGTAGAGTTGCTTCTCAACATCCTTGAGTCGGTTTCTCAAGATTCGGGTATCATTCTTGAAACCTTCTATCTCCAGATTCCGTCGCTTCTCCATGGCCTCATACCGCTGGTTCATCAGGTGTAAACGCTTAGCAAGCTTTTCCGTCTTATCCTGTGGAGAAATAATCACAAGAATGAATGGTACCGGAAACAGGTTTTGGAAATAGATCAGAAATGGCTTAAACTTTGCATGAGCAGTTGGAACTGTTTGAATATCAGAGTTTATTTTGTTCACTTCTTGATAGCAATCAGAACAGTCCAATGAAGGGATTTTGTCGTGGAGGCGCATTAGTGCAGGTGGACAGGTGGACATGTAGACGTTTCTATAGGCCATATCGCGCTTCAGTATTTATACAAAAAGACAAAAATAAAAGTTCAATCTACTTATCAAACATTTACGTGGCTGGCAGCAGCATTAAGTAGAACACATTTTACGATATTTCCAGTGTCGCTATACGAGTGGCTGGGTTTCTATTAATGAGAGATGAAACGCTCAACAGTTTGAACTAAAACCGCTGATGTAACAAAGCCAATTGGGTACTGTAATGCAGTTGTTCAGGTCAAAGGTCACTTGGGATGGGCATAGAAGTTTTTAATCAATGTGCATGATGATCATAGATGGAATGGTTTGTCACAGGTGAGCTATAAATGCAATGCAAGTACAAACGAACAAACAATGTGAAAAGCATGTGCTCATGTGTGCCTTGTTTACACAGAGCAATCTGAAATACTCATTTTGTGCATTTCACCTTTTGGCATATATTGGCATCACTTACACATCAGTTTCAAATACATGTGCAAATGTAAATATGACTTTAGCTTATAAAAAGCAGTACTGAATGTTGAGCTCTCCATAGGTTGTGCACAAAAATGGATGCACCCAGCAGTGTACATTCTGTACAGTAAGTTAAGTCTCTAGTCATTTAAAGCTACAGTCTATCATTTGCAGCTATCCAAAAAGTAACTGATGTAATTATCGTTGAAAAACATACTTGGTTGGTTGACAGTACTAAATTCTCTCTGAAATTATTCTTTCTGACATGCTGTCGTTTTGAAGAAATCAACGAAAGAAGGTCTTAAGACGCACCGTTGGAAATTTCTGTTAGTAGTTCGCTTTTTTATTCGGCGAAGTGCGCGCAAGCGTTGACACGACGCAAACGCGTGCGCAGTTGCTTTAATTCGTCGTATCAGTGTGCGACATCGCGTAGCAGCAATCGGCTCAGTGAGAACGTGTCTCGGACGCTGAATTCAGGCCCAAATCAAAACAGATTCAGCAACTTTTGATTTGAAATAGAGATCCTAGAATGTTGTTTTTCTTCGAAATATACAGCTGAAGCTGAGCTGAAACTTATTTTGAGCGTCTTTGTTGCTTCAAACGAAAAAAATGCACAAATTACAAATGATGGACTATACCTTTAATACAGCTCTATGGGATATCCCCATACTTGACATGCATGGTTTGATCACTTGCCCATAGCCCCACATTCCTCACCCATACAAACCCCATCCCCCTCCCACCCTGACTACCATCTCACCTTATAGGCATCCTTGCTCACATCATCTCGTTCTCTAATCCTAGCCAGTTCATCCTCCAGGCCAATCACCTGTTCACGGTACATATCAGCCAGCTTTTGTGCCTGCTGCAGTTGGTTTTCTAAAGACTGCACATTCAAAAGAACACAAACGCAATTCCTTTTGTTTTCCAGGTTCATCAACATAGAAGATTCTCTAAAGTGACTAAACCATCACACGTTCCTGGGCCTAAAAATGCCATTAGAAACACGACACAAAATTGGAAATGTTGTCAATGACAAACAGTGATTCGCAACAGTATTCTATTCTCCAGAAGAAATACTAGGTGCAATTCAAATTGTCCACACTTATTTGACATCGAGTAATAAACGTCACGTTTTTATTTCTTGCATGTGTGTTTTTGCTCTATTGGCCGTGAAATTGGAGCAATTGTTCATAATTATGCAAACAAGTTAATCAGTCAGATCTGTGCCGAATCATGACATCACAGTGGCGTCATCGTTTGTCACATGACACACCTGGAGGCGCGGTTCTATGTTTTTTTGTCCAGTACTGTTCACAAACTCATCTATGTTTCAAGTCACAGACCATACAGGGATGAAACTGGCCTATGGGGAAAAAATCTGAAAATAGGCCGACCAAAATTCTGTGTCTGAAATCTGGGCTGCGCTACAAGTACACATACGTACTATATGTACAATAAACTTCGTGTTCAATTTCTGGACATCGCCTCCTGTTTTATTTTACATGTACATGTAGATCCCAATGAAATTTTACGATGTGAAAAATGTTCAGTGTTTCCATAATATTAAAAAGCCTGAATTAGGGTTGGAGTTTCTGACTCGTAATTAAAGAAATTCACATCTTACTTGAGAACACGGAGAAAGTCAAGGAAAAAGTCCAAGACAACAACTCCACTAACGCATGGTAGGTGGAACTGGAAAAAGTTTGGCATTAGGCCTGTCGTCTTTTTCATCCAACAACCGCCAGTGAAATTTATCTTCTATGCTCTCCTCGCCATATCAAGATTTTGCGCGGAAGAGATCGTCAGACTAAACCACCACGTTGCAATCATTCAGTATCATTTGTACAACACTGAATAAAGTAGATCTGCCAAAGTCCAAAATGCTCCTTATGTGCTTTAACCCCAATAGTTTGTTTCCAGCTTTTGAGAGGGCCATTCAGTTGTGACTTTGTAACAAGATCCTTTTGTTTTGCTAACTTTAAAAAAAAAAAAATTCTGAATGGAAAAGTTAGTTCTTTTTTTTTAAAAGCAATTCAAACAAAGTTGCTTGAAAACTATCATTATTGTAATGTATTTAACTTGAAATGATTTCTTTGTGCAGGAAGCTTCTCTATAATGCCCACCTCAATTTCCAAGTTCTGTGTTTGTCTCTCTTCCAGTGCATGATCTGAGATGATTAAGACGTCATCTTTGGAGACATCTAGTTGTTCCTTACATCGATCCAGCTCCTGTAGTAGACGGTCCTTCTCTGCCATCCAGACTCGCTCCTGAGATCGTCCTTCATACTTCAGCTCTAGATAGTCCTTAGTGCTGTCATACAACATCTGCTGTGTACGATGTAACCTATTAACAGAAGAATGTCCATGACAAGTGATGTATGATGGTTGAACAAGGTAGCTGAATAAAAGATACACATTCTTAGTAGGACTACTTTTGTTTAAAGAAAGCCACGTGTCTTATTAGTCATTCATAAGATTTAATTTTGCGTTGGGGTGATGTAAATCAAATTAGGTTTTGCCCTTCACCGACATATAAACACTGTATACTCTCTGTGTTACCTCCTGAGTTAAAGTTGGAAAAAATCACTCGGATGGGACTCGAACCCATGACCTCCTGCTTTCTAGTGCAGATGTCTTACCACTCGACCACCGAGCTCACGGGATCGGTTGGCTGGTTCAAATCTGATGTACATAGCAGCGGGTATCGCATTAACTATTATAAGATGGATTTTTTTGCGCCAGGGTGATATCAATCAAATTAGGTTTTTGCCCTTCACCGACGTTTAAACACTGTATACTCAGTGTGTTACCTCCCGAGTGAAAGTTGGAAGTGATTTTTTCCAACTTTCACTCGGGAGGTAACACACTGAGTATACAGTGTTAAACGTCGGTGAAGGGCAAAAACCTAATTTGATTAATTTTATATCATTGCTTTTATTTCTCTTCGCAAGTTCCAAAACTGAAGATTTTACCTTGCTTTAAATTTAATATGGCCGACTCCTGAATAAAGCCCATACAGCTTGATGCTGCCATTTCGGCGCAGGGCAGCTAAAATCAATCACAATAACCACCTCTGCCCTCACAGGTACCCATTTACTCCTGGGTGGGGAGAAGCAATGAGTGACAAAGTGCCTTGCCCAAGGGCACATGCAGCATGACCCCAGGCTGGACTCGAACCCACAACCTGTAGAATTACCCGCAGACCACGAGTTCAATGCTCCAGACCATGAGGCCAGGGCACTCCACATATTTAGAAATGTTTTGCCAATTCATGCAACAACACAAACACCAGGTAATATAATCTATTTGAAACCCTGCCCGTTGTCCAAACTGCACACATGTGCATTTATCTTTATTGGTACCTTCAAGGATGTAACTGGGGTCCAAGTTGCTGGAGGGCACTAAAGGGACCTCATTTTCTAGTAGGAGGTACAAAGTGGGTTCTTAACAAATAAGCTCATTTTTAATGCCCTTAATTCTAAGCAGGGGGGGGGGGGACAGCAACAGGAGGCGGTCTTTGAGCAGAGGGGTCCATGCCCCTCATCCCCCCATCCTTAGTTATGCCACTGAGCACCTTTGTCAAGTTTATCTAAGTGCTAATATAAGGAATCAATGAAGGGAGCTCCTACTTTTCATTGAGGGAGTGAATCTTGGAACGATCTCTCTCAATCACAGTCTGCATCTCTTCCATCCTGACCCTACGATCCTCCAGCAAGGCTTCCGTCTGCTCTCTAGATAGCTCAGCTTGTTCCTTCATCTGAGATTGTAGAGCTTCAATCTGTAGCAACAGACTCTCTGGCTCTGCCTGCTGCTGGTCTGAATCAGGATGGACAGCTTTGGGCTTGGCACTGGCAGGCCGCTGTTGGACTGAAATGAGGATTGGAAAATATTGACAGGATCAAGTGATGGATTAGCAAGACTTGAATAGTGGGAAGGAACCAAAAGAAACAACCATTTTGGAGCTAAAAATCACGATGCCCTAAAAACTTGAGATACATGTATTAACCCCTATATGATCAATTATCGTGATTGAAGCAACTTTACTGATGTGTATGTAATCTTGGAAAGTTCATGGTATGATGAGGCGGCTTTTTTGCCAAACTCACTTCTCAGGGGAGTAACTACAGGTAATTTGATCATCTGATCAAGGAATTATCAACACACCTACCAAAAGCTGCAACAGATATATACATTTACTGGCACTGGCAGGCCGCTGTTTGACTGAAATGAGGATTGGAAAATATTGATGGATGGTAACAGGATCAACCTGCTGGTGCAGACTCTGACAAAAGAAACCACCATTTTGGAGCTGATCTGATCAATTATCGTGATTGAAGCGACTTTACTGGGATAACGTATGTAACTAATCTTGGAAAGTTCATGGTATGATGAGCCAGTTTTTTTGCCAAACTCACTTCTCAGGGGAGTAACTACAGGTAATTTGATCAACTGATCAAGGAATTGTCAACACACCTACCAAAAGCTGCGACAGATATATATTTACTATTATTACTATGAAAGTAAGTAAGTAAAGTCTGTCATGAGCCAATATAGCCATCAGGTCGGCGTTTATCTCTGGTTTTGTAGGCATGAAGCTACCGAGGATATTTCTACTCCCCCTGGATAGGATGCCAGTCCATTGCAGGTTACTCCCCAGCTAATGCCGATACCCACTTATACTCCTGGGTGGAGAGAGGCAAGTGGGGGTGAAGTGGCTTGCCCAAGGACACACATATGGCCAGCAACTAGATTCGGACCCCTGACCCTCTGAGTCACAAACCCTAACCATATTAATACTATGATCCACTAGTTTATCTGACCCACAAATACTAAAAATGGGCCTGATATGGTTGGTATGAGATCTGAGGAGTGTTGGCTTTGCAATGTTTTATCAACCACCCTTTGCCTCAACCATACCGGTATGTAATCTCTACCTACCTTTTGTGTTAGCAGTAACTCTGTGTTGTGCATTCCTCCGTGTTCTGTTGTTCTGTGGTCTGCTTGGCACTTCGGCTTTTAAACCCAATTTTTCACCCTCTGGAAAAAAAACCAGACAGGCATGTAAGAAGAAAAGATGAGACGTCTTGGAAATTGGTGTCAGGTTACACCTTCATATACCTTTGAAATCTGATGGACAGTGTGTGCAGATATATAATTGTTTGCCAGAATAAAATGCAATGTTCAAAGTTGGGTCAAAAGTCTTCTAATGCCCGACTGTAATTCATTGTAATAAACCAGTTCTGTATTTCAATGACCTGAGGTCATTTGGGATAACATTGCTGACACGATGTTAGGCGATGTTACGCGCACGACCACTCTAGTGGTAATTTACACACAAGCGTCGCGCACCCGCATTCATGCGCCTTTGATCGTTCTCTTATCCCGAATGACCCGTGACCCATATCGTTGTGCACATAAGCAGTTGAAATACCGAACTGGCTTATCCATGGCATTCCTTGAGTTGTTTGCTTGTTTGGAAAAGGATGAGACATTTAGGACAACTTGAAGAACTGTTGACACTTAAAATACCCAATACAAGGGAACTTGACTAGGTTTACTCTTAATAATGTTCAAATGGGGGCAGTTCCGCAGTGTCAGACGTACATTTTGGGCAATTCAACAGTGTATGTAATTGTAGTTATAATCACGGGGTAGATTTTAATTCTGATAAAACATATCAGTTAGTCACTAGTTACTTTGATGAGTCAAAGAAGAAATTATTCATCCAACTTTGTTGCTGTAGTAGAAATTGGCTCAAAACACCGGACGTACTCAGACAAATCAATTTTTTGTATTGTCATCAATTAATTGTTCATTTACAAGTAACAGTGGAACTGCTGAACTTGATAAAAATAAAATACATTTCAATAAAATACAGATAATATGCTTCAAATTGATAAACAGATTTTTTGTGGCATTTGGGTCATTTAGAATTGTTGGCATTCAGGTCTATAATTCTGTGGAATTGCCCATGGATGGGCGAGGGAATTGATTAACAAATTTTGGCCAAGGACATTGACAAATATGAGTCTGCAGCTCCGTTGGTAGAGTTGCCAGTGCGGTGTTTCAGTGGTGACAAGTTCAAGTCCTACCACAGTTAATTTCTCTGCTCATTTAATATATTAAAAGAAAAGCCACCTGTCTTTGCCACGTACCTGCATGTGGATGTCTCTTTTGTGGGTGTTTCTGTGTGACAATTGCCCGCGTTGATGGTTCTTTGTGGAAGTATGTCACTTCAGGACCTGATGGGCTTGATAATGATAACAGATGCTGGATTCTGTCAAGTACAAATCAAATCATTGGAAAAGTTCAAGTTAGTACACCTTTGGTAAATCCAAACTAACAGGGTTTGTTTACTTCCATATCACATTATACGTGTAACTGATTCTAATGTGGAGTAAGCATCACCAACATTCATATGTATGTACATGTATACAGCAACTCATTCATACTTTTGCGCTAGTGTAGAACAAATTGCAATTTATTAAAATATATAGAGACTATAGGCCATCAGCCTCAGTCCAAAATGTTGGCCATCGGTATCAAATGAGGGGAATAATCGTCATAGCGATTTTTGGCAAGGTATACACCTCCAGAGTTGGAAAATATGTGATAGCATTGCAGCGGTGGCACCTTTTTGGGTGTTATCACCCTTTTTTTCGAAAGGTCCATCAAAATGTTCGTTACCACCCTAGGGGTGGTAAAAGGCTTGTGTGAAACTTTTTACCTGTTTTTGTTTTTTTCAAAATCATCTTTTGTATGGAATGTAAATTTTAAATTTTGGTGTGTGAATTTCGGCGAAGTGGTAATTTGGCGAAGTGGTTATTCAGCAAAGTGGAAATTCGGCGAAGTGGAAATTCAGCGAAGTGACCAACACCCGTGACAAGCACAACACACTAATCCAGATCAGCTATTCACTATGATCCATGGAGTGCAGAACATTAGCTGACAGCCTTAGTCAAGACTTAAAACATCTTCATCAGACAATCCCACGCACCTTTTTCTATCTTCCAGTTCTTGTATCTTCAGGCGGTCATTTTCAGCAAAGAGCCTTAAGACATGATCTCTCTCCTGGAAGAGATAAACCTGCATGTCACTCAGGGCCTTCTGAAGCTCAGCGATTTCTTCCTCACGTTGGCGTAACTCCCATTCAAGCTTATGCTAAACAACAAAGAAAGGGACAAGTATTGTTGTGCTACATGTGACCATGATTTGCAAGTTTATGAGTTGTTCCATTGGAGTAGTGGTAATTTGTACAGGTACACACACTGACACAATAGCAGCCAGAGAAATAAAAAAAAACAGTATTGTGATTGAAAACACTGGACTATTATATCAAAGTATTTATTTGAAACCTTATATTGCCCTTTACTTCCTTAATCCAATAACACTTTTAAAAAGTAACAGATGATGTCACTGTAAAACCTGGTCTTGAAATTGGTTTAAAAAAATCCCATTTTCTAACATCTAAGGGGAAAAGATACTATAAAGACGAGGGACAACGGTGCCCATGCAACTGCATGTATGGGGTCTTGACTGAAACAAGAAATTTTTGCGGGTTTTTTTGGCAGAGTTTGGACAAACTTGACCTATTTTTTTGTTGGTTACTCAGTTCGTAAGAATGTAAAGAAGCATCTGGCATGTTGTCTGGAGGAGTTTGAGTAAAAATTGGCCAGGATTTTGGTACTTGCCCCCCCCAAAAACCTGTATCTTCGTTCTCTACTAGCCTATGGCTGAAAAAGGCCTTGTTTTACGGGGAAGATCCCCATAGAAACAAGGGGTAGGACAACAGGACAATTGTGTTTGTTGCCTTTATGAAGTATGAGGTGCATGATTGATAGGAAGCTACCTGTTGTTCATAGGTCATTTTGTATTGTTCAAGTCTGTTCAGCATGTCTTCATGTTCCCCATCAAATTCGGCGATCTTCTTCCGATAGTATTCCAAGAGCTCTCTGGAGGGACGTAAGTGGCCCAACCGTTCATTGACAGATGGTATGACCATGGTGACATCTTGGCGATCTTCAACATCGTCATTGTGATCCCTGAAGGAAACATGGCCTATGTGCTCTGTCGCCATGCCACTACGTGCTGAGGATCTGGAAGGGGCAGTGGTTCTCTCTGGAGTACGAAATGTAGAGTTGGGCTCACTGACTCTGTCGAAGAAACAAGTTTGTTATCCTGGAATTTTGAGAGGAAATTTGGAGATAAAACTAGACGTCTTGAGATGGGAAATTTGATTTTCTTACTTTTTGAAAATGTAGTACTTAGTTTCCACAGGGAATATCAAGTGGAGAAACTGTCTAATTCATGATGAAGTGTTTACACCTAGAACCGTTACATGGTCCCTCATTTTCTCCGCTCCTGAGCCCGCACTTCCTCTGGGCATGCGTACGTATACATGTACATGTACATGTATGCATCAATCAACTGTCAGCCGACTGTGCCAAAAGAAATATCTAGGATATCGGGTACAAAGTCACTATTTCTACACATTTCCCCATAGTCAGGCACCAGACAAATGACAATGAAAGAAGAAGTCAGTCTTGTCAAACAGTTGGACCATGGATGGACATGTACAAGTCTAGTTTTTAGCCTCATTTTGAAATCACTTGACTTCCCTCTCATGTGCAAGCCACTGCCAAATATTGAAGAAAAGTCTCCTTTAAAAATAGAATTGAGTCTTCAAACTTGGTTGGAGAAATACTGAGGACCATTTCTTTGCCAATTGAAAGTTTTGGGAAATTTGCTGGCTAAAGAGTGAGTTAAGTTGGCCTGATCATCTTTTGCATCATTTTGAGCACTTGAGGTCCTAGCCTGTGCTCAGCCGTGCATAGATTTAGGCCTAGATTATACTTGAAATCCTTCGTACTGCTTCAGGATGTCACAGCCTTTCACCAAGGCCATCATGGCTTAACTTGCCCGCATTCAAAGCGGCGAAACCGCGAAGCGACTGGAGATGGAGACCACATACGCGAGTGGCGAAGCCACGAGGGCCTTTTCTAACTTGTCGAGAAATTCTTATGTTTTTCTGTACAATCTTGATTTTTGCTACCCCGAAAGGGTAGCAAAATTCCAACCAATCATCAGCCTTTTGGTGCGTGCGTGGCTAACACCCGGACGCGTCGATGCATCCGGGTGCTTGCACAAAGTTTTTTTTAAAAATGCGAGTCTAGTTTTCCACAAGATCGTGACCGCGTAATTGTTCTTACATTATCTTATTTTAACTTTACTTATAAAAGTATTTCAAGAAAGTATTTGAGTGTATGAACTTATTTTTTATCTGAACTTACAGTTATTTGCTCTTACGTTTTCCTTACTCACCCTTCGTTTAAAAATGGAAGCGACTAGGCAAAATCCGCGTTGTGATTGGTTAACCTTCAGCACTCTTCTTATTTGCATAAAAACTATGAATAATTCAACAAAATCAAGTTGGGAAAGGCCTTGTGGCTTTGCCACTCGTGCGTGCTGACTTCATCTTTGCTCCAGTCGCTTCTGGTCTTCGCAACTCTGCCGCTCTAAGCCACGATGGCCTTGGCGAAAGGCTAGGATGTCACTGGCTCTGCCTCAACATATTGACAGTGATTGCCGCCTTTGCCGGACGATTTGCCGCCTTTGCCGGACAGTCCTACATGTACATTTTCCCATTGAGCCACACATTTGATTGGTTTGAACCGATAATGTTTGATCTTATGTGGTAGTAATAAACAGACTGGTTCCCGCTTGCAACTTAATACAAGTGCATTCTGAATGGCACTAGAGAGATCAGGAACCAGGGTACATTGTATGAACTGGTTCCCACACAGATAAATTCCGAACAATAACAAAGGGACCGGGTCGGACACCAGTGTAGATACGATCGATATGCTATGCATCAGTGTGACGATTTCACCGCATTTTCATGAAAGTGCTTTTATGAAAGTGCTTTCAAAATTACAACACAGACAAAGAGACTGTTTTAGCCTACAAAGGTCACTTTGGTACTGGACAGTCACCTGCAAAATTGAGTTTTGAACAGAACTCCTAAAAAATAGAGGTGTGCTAAAGATAAGGATTACCCTAAGCATGGAGGAACAAGCCATGCCTTAAGCATACTAACTAAGTTGGAAATTTTTCTTGACCAGCAGCAGTTGACTTTTTGGCGATTGTGTAGTGTAGGGCCCAGTTCCTACAAGGGAACAAAATCCACTTTAAAATTGTTAGACCGACCAAAATAGTTGGCAACATTCTCAATAAACAGTACATGTCATAGATAGAGGCCAGGGTTTTGATTTTTTGAGGGAAATTTGGGGGTAAAATGACGATGACAGCGCGGCGACAACACGCTACCCAAAAATAAAGATGCATCACCACTAATGATGTGCAAACCCCGACCCGAAACAGAAACCGACCCGACCCGACCCGAAACCAACTGCGGGTAGGGTCGGGTCAGTTTGTCCATCTTTTAAGTTGGGTCGGGTTGGTTTTGGTTTTGCATTTTCATTTTCGGATCGGGTCGGGTCGGTTTAGCCTTCTTTTGAAAAGAAACGAAATAAACCGAAATAAACCGAAACAGTTTAGAAATTTAGGTGATGCAATATTATTGATAGTCACTGTGACCGCAGCCCTAGTGTGGTGTGGCCACCGAGCGCACTATCAAGTTCCCACGGTATTAATTTCTCCAGTCGGATCGGGACTGACAGTGAAATAGATACATTGCAACAGTTTTCATGATACTGCGTGATGATACCATGCGTTTGTTCAATAAGCGGAGTTACTCTCGATCAACCCACTGAGTATGACAGAGAGAGAGACGATGGTTTTGCAAAATGCCACGTGGGTTAGGGCAGGCACAAAAAAGTGATCACTTTGTCCAAGCAAGGTATTCAGGGTTTTTTCGTTTTTTTCCGGGTCGGTTTTACCTTATTTTTTGTCGGGTCCAGTCGGGTCGGTTTGAGGGAGTTAAGATCGGTTTCGGTTTGGATTCGGTTTATATCTCTAATGTTTCGGGTCGGTTTGGCCTGGACAACCCGACCCGATGCACATCATTAATCACCACGCGATGTACCGTGACTGAGCACGCATGGCGCGCTGAATAGCAAGGCCCAAACAGGGCAGGAAAATCGTGATTTCTACCATGTCTACCCCAAGAAACTTTGCAAAATTGCAAAACACGGGTCATTAGAATTGAGAAAAGTCTGCTTTTGATTGTAAAGGTGATTTTTGAGCAATAAAAAACATTTTTGACTCCAATTTGATCAAAACAAAACAGGGGCCCTACACTACACGATCGTCGACTTTCCAGTCAGCCAGTCCATAGACTTTTAGACTGAGAGCTGGACAGGATAGTGTTTAATCAAAATTTTGGGAACAAATCCCCCGATTGTCTTAAAGCATAGTATCATCGACCCTGATCACAGAATAGCCAGTCTTCAGTTTCACTAGATCAGACAAAGGCCCATTGGCGCCATGCCAAATGTGGCCAATTTTGCATTTAATCAAAATTTTGAGAACAAGAACAAAACCATTATCATTTGATAGCTTGGAACTTGTAGATTATGGAAATATAACTTAAGAGCGATTTTAGATCAGACTATTTAACTTAAGAGCGGCCCGAAAAGCGCGGAGGGTGGGCATGGCTATCACCCCCTCTTTTTTCCTTTTTGCTGATACCGTTGCAACTCTTAAGTTATATTTTCATGTTCCACATGTGCCAAGGCATCAATACAAACTGCTTTCATTTTCTCCTCTACCGTTGCGTTGCAACGGTATCAGCGAAAAGGAAAAAGAGGGGGTGATAGCCACGCCCACCCTGCGTGCTTTTTGGGCTGCTCTTTAAGTTAATTAGTCTGATCTAAAATCGCTCTTAAGTTATATTTCCATAATCTACAAGTTCCAAGCTATCAATCAAATGATGCTGGTTTTGTTCTTGTTCTCAAAATTTTGATTAAATGCAAAGTTGGCCACATTTGGCATGGCTCCAATGGGCATGATGGGCCTTTGTCTGATCTAGTGAAACTGAAGACTGGCCATTCTGTGATCAGGGTCGATGATACTATGCTTTAAGACAATCTGGGCATTTGTTCCCAAGATTTTGATTAAACCCTATCCAGCTGTCCAGCTCTCACTCGACAGTCTCAGTCTATTTTGACAACGCCACGTTCACGGGTCTAAGTCTATTTGGTAACAGGTCATCTCGTACCTTGGGCAACTTGTACCTTGGACAACTTGTACCTTCAACTCGACATCATTATACCGAGTCGTACCTTGGACAACTCGTACCTTCGGCAAGTCGTACCTTCAGTTAAGACGACTCGTACCATCACACGTAAGTCAAGTCGTACCGTCAGTCAGGATAATGATCCGAGGCTGAATGAAGTGGACCATACTCATTGAAAGTGGACTGCTTATTAAAATAAAGACGAATCTCTTTGTTGTATGGGCTCTCTTCCCCCCCCCCCCCCCCCAAAAAAAGGAATTTACATGTATTTAGCCATTAGCGAAGCCGCGCCACGCACCGGCGCGGCATGCACAGGCCCGCGCGGTACGTGTACGGTCAACCTAGCCATCCGTGCAAAGTGACACGGTTCTTGCGCCGCGCTGACCGGTCAATATGGACGTCTGTGCACGGTGGCATTGACGCAGTCTGCCGTTACATTTTAGAGACTTAGGCTATGTGCAAATATTATGGAACTGATGTTTATAGGGATCAGGATTGATAAAAATGTTGCAATCTGACGCCACTTTTTGCTTCATATTATATATATCATCTCAATGAAGGTCATTCATTGCAAAAATGATGACGTGAATCTTGGACTGACAAAATTTCCAAGTTTGTTAGGAAATACTTATTTTCATCCAAAACTTTGTGTTTCTTTCCTCCATGGTTTACCGCAATTTTTTTTTTTACAAATCCAGAACCTAAAAAGAAAAGAAAGAAAGTATGTTAAAATTTATTTGACAAGTTATCTCAGGTACCGAATCAAACATTGAATATGCACAAGGAATGTACAAGCAATTCCATTAAAAACAAAATGGCAGTCAGTCAGAGGCCGGCCCGGCAGTCAATTTCATTGCCCTGCTGCAGGCACAACGCGGAAAATCACGCTGCCTGGCAAAGCCATTAGATCTTGAATGTGGTTCTGTGGGATAGAAATTAACTTTGACTTGAAAAGAATCGTATCATTTGGCAGTCAAGGAACCATCGCATACAAGTGCATACAAAATAGTCACGCACGTACATGTACTCTACTTTTTATTTTCGCAGTGGCTATTGTTACGGCAGCCGTAACGCATTTCCCATTTTCTATCGTTACGGTAGACTGCAACTTTTATAAAAACATGACAAGAAAATATAAAATTAGAAGGAAAAAAGTGAATTTGAACGTTATGAAATTCGGACTTTATTTCCCTTTTAAAAAAAATCCTCCAAAGCCTCAGGTTAGAAAAGGAAAAAAATTCGAGTGCAAAACTGAGATTCGAACCCGCAACCTCGCGGTGCAAAATCCTACCTTCTATCGACTGAGCCGTTGCACTGCTCGCCAAAACGTGTGGAAACAAATAATTATATACCTGCGTGCGTATCAAAAAGTATCGTAGAGGGCGCTAAACAACGACTGCCGTAACGATAGCCACTTCGTTTTATTTTGCATGGTGCGAGTCGTCTTAATTGAAGGTACGAGTTGACCAAGGTACGAGTTGTCTAAGGTACGAGATATCCAAGGTACGAGTTGTCCAAGGTACGAGTTGTCCAAGGTACGAGTTGCCCAAGGTACGAGTTGACTCGAAAGCGTCTATGCTTGTCATTGTCTATTTGTACACAATCGCGGAAGTGGCGTCAGGTTGCAACATTCTTTCCCAACTAGACTTCTAGAAGTGTGGAATTTAACATTTCTTAAAAGTGGTTCAGAAGTATTTACACATCTTATGCTTAGTAAATGTTATCCTACCTGCTCTGTGGTAAAATGTTCTTAGCGGACATGTTTAACCTGTGTGTTTTTAGGGCGCACTTCCGTTTAAATTTTGCGCTTATCTTATTGAAGTTTAGACAGGTGCCGATATGCGAAGTATGAGGCTTTCAAATAAAGTCGTCTGGGTGCCACTTTTTCCTGCCTGTCGACGATAGGGCGGCAAAGGGGGCGCTGTTCGCAGGCTGTTCTGTTCGAACGGTGTCGAGTCCGCGGGGCGTATCATAAGTCCGACGCCTCATAGTCCGACACCTCATAAGTCCGAAATTTCGGACTTATGGCGTCGGACTAATGAGGCATAACATTTATTTATTCCGCCTCATAGGTCCGACGCCTCATAAGTCCGACGTCGGAAAAACGAGGGGTTTAATCAGTGTCGGACTTACGAGGCGTCGGGGTTATGAGGTGTCGGACCTATGAGGCGTCGGACTTATGAGGCGTCGGACCTCATGAGGCGTCGGACTTATGGGCCTTTATTTTGTTTTGGGGGATGCGATTTTGTCGGACTTATAAGGCGTCGGACCTATGAGGCGTCGGACTTATGAGCAGACCCCTAGTCCGCAACTCTTTTATTCTATAAAATCAAAGCATTTTAGGGTGTTTTTTTTCACAGAAGATCCCTAAAAGTTAAGTGACTTAACTACCAAAAAGAAGCCAACAAAATCAATTTCTGTTGGTTTAGCAATTCGATTATTATCGATAACATGGCGTTATATGGCACATAAAAAATGAATTTAAATACAATTGCATTTGGAAATGTCCTAACTGTGCACTATTGAAACATTTTTCAGTACCCTTACATTAGGGTGTAGGTCACCATAGTATTATGCTACCATATCAAAATATTACAATTAAAATTGAGCAATCAAATATCTAGACGGATATATTTCGGTAATTCTCGTTACGGTAACTCGCGCTACAGTTTGTCCTCGCATTATTTTGGTGCAAGTTAGGCCTAACACATAAACTATTCAAACAAAAATAACTCTTTGTTCGTAGATAATGAACCTTTTCCTGCATTTAAAAACAAAAACCTTACAATACCACTTGCACTTTTTGCAAGTGAAAACGAGATGCCTAAAGTAATGAGTAAAATCCATAATTTTAGCCCCACCCCACCCCAAACATAACGATTTTTTTTTTTGACAAATTAGATTGATACCACCGAGTTTGAGGTGTGCTGCTTGTAGTCTTGATGATTTCATAATACATTTTTCACTTCAAGTTCAGCCGTGTCCATTTTGCCAAATTGCCCACAGAAGGATTCATAAGATGAAATTTGCGTTAGGGTGACCAATATTGGGTCCGTTGCCCTTCACCGACGTATAAACACTGTATAATCAGTGTGTTACCTCCCGAGTGAAAGTTGGAAAATATCACTCGGGTGGGACTCAAACCCGCGTCCTCCCGCTTACAATAGTGCAGACGTAATTACTAATCGACCACCGAGCTTGCGGGACTGCCGGTCGGGGGGGGGGGGGGGGTCCGGTAAGTCCGACGCCTCGATAGGTCCGACGCCTCATAAGTCTGACGACGCCTCATAGCTCCGACGCCCCATAGCTCCGACGAATTAGCAGTACCCCAAAAAAAAATGCCACCCTGTCCCTTCCCGGGCTTCATACTATGAAGCCCGGGAAGGGACAGGGTGGAATTTTTTTTGGGGTAATTAAATTGCTATAATTCGTTCCCACGAATTGCTTTTTCGTTCGCACGATTTCCTAATTCGTGGGAACGAATTGCTAACTCGTGCATCCGGGAACGCGTTACTATGAAGCCCGGGAAGGGACTGACAGGGTGGTTTTTTTTTTTGTAATTTGCTGATTCGTTCCCACGAATTACTAATCCGGTCGCACGAATTGCTAATTCGTGCGCACGAATTACTATGATTCGTGCGCACGACTTGCTCACTCGTTCGCACGAATTGCTATTTCGTTCGCACGAATTGCTATTTCGTTCCCACGAATTGCTAATTCGTTTCCACGAATTGCTAATTCGTTCCCACGAATTACCAACTCGTTTCCACGAATTACTAAAGCGTTTCCGGATGCACGAGTTAGCAATTCGTTCCCACGAATTAGGAAATCGTGCGAACAAAATAGTAATTCGTGGAACGAATTAACAATTCGTGCGAACGAAATAACAATTCGTGCGAACGAAATAGCAATTCGTGCGAACGAAATAGCAATTCGTGCGAACGAAATAACAATTCGTGCGAACGAAATAGCAATTCGTGCGAACGAGGTAGCAATTCGTGCGAACGGATTAGTAATTCGTGGGAATGAGTTAGCAATTCGTGGGAACGAATTAGCAAATTAAAAAAAAAATGCCACCCTGTCCCTTCCCGGGCTTCATATTAGTTCGTTCGTTCGATGTATCATTCAAAAGGAGCAATTAAAAGGGAAAATAGCAATGAATGATAATAAGAAGAAACATAAAAGACGCTTGGACATTATATCTTTAATTAACGTTAGACATTCAAGAGTTTTGGTTTCCCTCTTCCATCTTTTGACAGACCCGACATTCTTCAGTTTCCTTGCTTCCAGAGGTTCTCGATGCAACTATTGATGAGAGAAAGGGGCGTGTTTGTGTTCCCTGCGATCATCAGCATTTTCTGAATGAATTTCGGGTAGTAGATCTTTTCCCGTAGATCCCCAACTGAGTATACAGTGTTTATACGTCGGTGGAGGGCAAAACCTGGGTGTCGGACGCCTCGCCCCATTTCCACTTCGCCCCTTTGTCACTTCGCCCCTAACCACCTCGCCCCATCCCCACTTCGCCCCCACCCCCATACGCCATTGGTTGGTTTCATCACGGACCGTCTGCTTTCATGAATATGACGTTATAATGTTGGAATTCCGAACTATCTGAGCCACAGGTGCATGCTGCATGGCTGTGTGTCCATTATCACATTCCAACCTGGTTGCCTAGAAATACTGTTGCTAGGAGACTCCCTTGTGATGCCTGGATGGGAGCTGCCGGTTGCGTAGCCAGAAATCTTGTATGTGATTATTTTTCTCGCAGCATGCAGAAAACTAGTTGCTCAAGAATGCTGCCGCTTTTGGGAAATTTGTGCAGGCAAAGTTTTTCACATTTTGGAATTAAAATGCAGTTTGCATTTCCGTTGAATAAACGTTTTTTTTTTAAAGAAAATCGGAGCTTAAAAAAAAAGCTCATTCGACTGACACTAAGCAGATATTAGTCAATGATTTTCGCTGCAGCAATTAGTGAATCTTTTGGGATTGTTTTTGCCAATTAAATAGACAGATTTTTTTTTTACATGTAACTGCTGGGGCGAAGTGGGGACGGGGCGAAATGGGGATGGGGCGAAGGGGGGATGGGGCGAAGTGGGGATGGGGCGAAGTGGAGATGGGGCGAAGTAGTTAGGGGCGAAGTGGTTAGGGGCGAAGTGGAAATGGGGCGAAGTGTCCGACATTCGCAAAACCTAATATTAAAATATCATTATTACCCCGACCCAAATTCCATCTCAAGAATAGATGAATTGATTAATATAAAAGATTCCAAAAAAGAGATCCCTTTTCTCTAAATTGCTGGTTATTTTTCTAGCAATAGGGCCTACAAAGGTTATTCGCTTGTGAATGAGACTTCCAAAGCAAAAAAATCGGCCCATGTTTGGTTATGAATTCTTACTTTACAAATTCAAATTGCTGGCTGACAGCTGACAATAATTTCGTTCCGGCGAAGTAGGCTGCTGGTCCCGCCCCACAATCATCATCGATATGAGTTACTACTGACCGGTAGCCAGTCTGCTCGCAAAGCAGATCTGTGTGCCCCCCCCCCCCCGAAAAAAAACCCCACCCTTTTTTTCAGGGGGTTGCAGACGTCCAAAAGGAAAATAAAAGATTTCTGGTTGGAATAAAACAACAAAGTTGACAAGTCATGGACAAAAAAAGGGATTTTGTCGAAGAGCACACACGCAACGCACCGTACATCCGCCAGTTGGAAAACTGAGTGAAAGGGAATGTGAGTGAAATCAATGCCTGATGTTACAATTGACAACTCCCGATGACAACTTCCGATGAGCGATTTTCAAACAGTACCGATGTTCTTGCATTATAGGAATTTCGAACAAAGAATTTAGGGGTGATTTCTACAGGACTCATCCTGTTCTCACACTGAGCAGCGCCCCCTATCGGCTTTCAAACTGTTATTTCTCCTGTCTTGTAGGCGCGCCTACAGCCCAGGATTTAGAAAGTCTCTCTTTTCAGTGAAATTCAGTAGTAATTCATTTGAAAGCAATTTTAAACAATATGATTAATAAAACTGCCGTCAAAAATACCGTATCGCCCAATTTTACAATTGATGCATATCAACTAGAAATCAAGTCAGACGATTAATAAAGTACCGTTGTTTGAACAGGAACATACAGCGCGTGCAGACCACTGACTTTAATTTTGATTACCACGGTATGACTAGAGGCGTAGCCAGCCCTTTTTTAAGGGGGGGGGGAGGGTATTTTCATTGTTGAAAAGGTGCCCTTTTTATAAGAAAAAATATCAACTATCGGTTGTTAGTAACGAATTTCACGCGTGGGCCTCCCCGAAAAAGTGTGCATGGTCGTCCGCGCTGACAGATGGTACCAACCCCCGCCCCTCTCCCCCCTATATGATTTGGCGGAGGCCATGTGTCCAGAAAAAGAAAAAAAATGTGTGTCTATCTAAATCAAAAGGTCTTATTTTTCCCTTTGTGGACGTTTGCAACCCTATGACAAAAAGTGTTTTTGTTTTGGGAACAATCAGCTCTTTTATTCGAGCAGACTGAACTGGCTCCCGGTCCGCACATTATCAACACTGATTGTGGGACGGGAACCAGCCTACCCCGCGAGAACGGAATGTCTTTCTGGCACTGCAGCCAATATTTCGAAATTGTAAAGTAATAATTCAGTGACTAAATTACATGGGCCTATTCTTATATTTCTTTGGTCGATGTCTCATTCAAAAGTGAATCATGTTTGTATTGCTAAAACAATAGCAATTTAGGAAAGGAATCTATTTTTTTTTCGGGATGATGAAACTCGAAAATAGCACGGGGAACACAGAATTAATTCGCTTTTAACATTTAAAAATAGCAAATTTATTGCCTTCCCAAATTTTGAGCGGGTGCACACGGGGTGGCACATGCCTGGGGGGGGGGGGGGGGGGGGGGGGCACCCCCCCCCACGCGCGTCCCCCCCCCCCCCCGCCCTCACACCCCCCTTTCAGCTTTATAGTTACATCATAGAGCTAGGACCCTATGGTTACATCAGTTGTCTTGGATTCAACCGAATTTACTTGGCTAGGGCTTAACGGCTGAAGCCACATCCCATACTCTACACACGTACGTCCTGCATGCCTAGCCGTAGCCACATCCCATACACACGTACGTACGACCTGCATGCCTAGCCTAGCCGTAGCCAAGTATTATTATAAGGGTGCTCAGAAAATGTCCACTGGTTGCAATCCTACTCGTGATAATAAATATACCTGCCGGGCACCCGTGAGAGCATGACCGCAGCGCTCCCAGCTGTTTGACCCCTGAATGCCGTAACTATTTTCAAAGCTAAATTTGTGTCGACGATATTGAATTTTAAATATCACTCCGAGTCTTCACAAGAATAAACAATCTGGTGCGCGATCAATTGGTTAATTTCTTGCACTTTCACGTTTCTGATTTTAAAGTAATTTCTTGTTGTTAATAACAGCTAGAAACGAGCCGTAAACAACATTTATGATACAAATGAAAGCACTAATTAACGGTCGCTCTTGTTCAGAATTGCACAGCGTAAAGAGGTCCTACGTGCGATCGCGAGCGATCCGCTCGTCCTATAGAAGCCCCGTGTGTTAATGTTATGAATGCAAAGTCTGTGAACTGTGGCATACCCAGTTCTGCATTAGAAAAACAGTGGATTGTCGTATGCTGGGCAAACACTGGGGAAATTTCACTAGATACCTCATTTCTCAGGCTTGGAAACATTCTGTATTTTTGATGTGGTAAATGGCATACAATGCTTGAGCAGGAGCCATTTGTCCCTCCACCGGAGGCTCCAGTCTTTGAGCCGACGGAGGAGGAATTCGCCGATCCACTCGGCTACATCGCAAAGATTCGACCCATTGCGGAGAAGAGTGGCATTTGTAAAATCAGGCCTCCTTCGGTGAGACTAATTTTTAAAGTCATTTTTCTCCTTGAATTATTCAATGTTATCTCATGGAACTGTTTTACATTTTTCCGCATTTACTTCATCTACCTCGCCGATGTTTTTGTGGCGTGATTTCTAAACTTATTTGGAAGTAATGTGGAAATATGTGAAGAGTTGACGACGTGAGAATTCACATTTCCTGACAAAAACACCGGGTTGTTGGGTAAGCGAACGTACGTGTGTCGCACGAGATTTTCATTGTGTTCCACGTTGACAAGACATTCTCACTATAGGCGTGTACCTTACATGCCATACTAGTTGAAGCTTGGTTGAAGTATTATTGGCATCTATTTTTTAATCCATGGCCAATGAGCATCTGTCATCAGTTTCAAATGAGTAACAATCCTTTCAATTAATCAGGCGAACAACTAATTGTGTAATTCAAATATCAATTATATATTTTTACAATTCAAAAACATCAATTATATATTTTTTTACTGTTCGTTTCAATAAGCACTTTCTCAGAAATATGCGTCATCTTGTTCACGGGGCAAAAAGAACATTCGTTGCTAGACACTGGCGCATTTTGGAACAAAGGCATGATGACTTTGAAGCGTAAAAGTTTTCGATTGAAGATGCGTACACAGCAACGCACGTAAATTGGCTCGTAAGCAAGATGGTGCCTATTATTATTAGGTCTTCTAGTATTACCGAAATACCGTGAAAGTGCTTATTCCCCATGGGATAAAATTCAGCGTTCATTTTCTTTATTTGTTCATTGGAGGTCATATCATTTGCTCTAGTGAAATGTTGTCTTCAATATTTCTCCTGACAAATTGTAATACAAACAAGACAAACAAATTGTGGAAGAGGACTAAAAACTTTGTCCAACTGCCTCTGCCGTGATACTCTTCTTTTACGACCTGTGCAATAATGCATGTAATCATAGCTTGCTGTCTGATGCCGTGTTTACATCATTATTGTGACTTTGTATTCAGAAGTTGGGATTATGCAACTTCAACAGATCAGAGAAAATTTGAAGCTTGATAAAAGAGGGCCCAGAATCAGAGAGAAAATGCAAATTAATTAATTATGTGTGACTCCCCCAAAACTGGACATAACTAATAGAACTAGTAATATCTCGCATATTTTGCTTCCAAATAAATTGTAAATTGTCTTCATCTTATTGTGTAAGTCTTCTTGATTACTATTATTATTAAATTTGGTCAACAACTGGTGCTTGTTTTTGTAAAGTAGAAAAGCCACCTTCGAACAATTCTGAACCTATGGAATGTTGACAATATTTTTGAAAAATGCTGAATTAGATTTTACTGAGGTATATGCACAGTTTACAAGTAGGCCTAAATCAGATCTCACATGATGTCTTTTGAGAGTCACGAACATAAGAGCCGTACCGTAGGAGCACGTTGTTATGTCATACTTGTGTTTGGATTGTTTTTCAGTGCCAACAATTATTGTTTCAAATTAATTGCATTGCTGATCATTATTGGATGACATGGTGATAAATGTGAGAGCTAATTTTCAAAGTTAATGGCGGTAAGATGCTTGCACATTGACCTGAAAGTGCCCTGTTGTATCATGTAGTCTCTTTTGTATTACAGAAATAGCAAACCTTCAGAAAATGCTTCCTTTGGAACACCTTTCCCTCATCCTTTTTTGGTCATTTTATTTGTACAGTGAGTGTGTACAGGTACACCTAATCTGTATAATTTTTAGTTTTCCACCGTGTTCCATATGGTTCAATTTTATGGTACTCCCTCATGAATCAGCTCCCTGACTGTTAAACAAATTATACGATTAAACATATGAAGAGAGCTTTTTAAAATGCTGCTATCATTCTTTTTCCATCTATTTGAGGCAAAGCTCCCTTTTTCCCCTCAGTTGTCTAAGGCCAAGTAAAAAAACAAACATGTTTAGCGTCCTGCCTTTTTGAAAAAAAAAAGAATTAGGAGTCCTCCAACCTCGTCCCCAGGGTGTCGAACAGTACGCACTCATCACTACCTGCTCTCTCACCCTGGTATTGGATCATTTGCATGTGCAAGATTTTTGAACACGTATGCAAATGAGGAATAGTCTGGTGCCAGGATATGCGTTACATAAGCGTTTGTTTTTGTATGCGGTGTCTGGGGTAAAAACAGAGTCAATTCGTTGCAGCGCGAGCACGGCGTGAGTTACAAAAACACGATTTTTTTACATTAAACTGTTACTCAAAGCAAATCCTCAAACAATGGGCCGATCCATTTAGACTCGCCCAATGGTACCGGTAGTTTGACCAATCACAGCTGTGATTAATGTCCGACATGCATCCACAAAGATCCCACATGGGTGCATGCGTGCATGACGCACATGTATTTCGAACATACAATGTGGCACTGGAGTGGCGACATGTATAAGTTACTCACGTGCGCAGTGGGCGGGGCCAAATGGATCGGTCTGTTGGTTGAGTAGGATTTTAAAGGGGGGGGGGGGGTATTCAGACGCTGTTAGTTTCTTCTAAGGGGCTCGGTGTCTCAAATAAACAATTTTGTTTTTAAAGCTACAGTCCATCATTTGCAGCTATCCAAAAAGTAACTGAGGTAATTATTGTTGAAAACATAGTAAGGTATAGTGAGATAGTAAGGGAACTAAACTCCCTGTGAAATTGTTTTCTGGCATGCTGTCATCTGTCATTTTGAAGAAATAAATTTCCATTTTTTATTCGGCAAAGCGCACAAGCGTTGACACGATACACATGCGCGCGCGGTGGTTATTATTCGTCGGATGAGTGCGCGACATCAGTGGCTGCAATTAGCTCAGTGAGAACGTGTCTCAGACGCTGAATTCAGGCCCAATTCAAAACATGATTCAGCAACTTTTGATTTGAAATCGAGGTCCTAGAGTATTGTTTTTCTCATAATATACCAGCTGAAATTTCTTCAGGTTAGTTGTTCAGCACCCTTCTTTAGATTTTGAGCATGTGTGTTGCTTCGAACGACCAAAATGCACAAATAACAAATTGTGGACTGTACAAAGAAAGCGCTATTGGTTTCTGCACTGTGATGGATTTTGAGGGTTCAGAAAAGTTCTTGGCAAAAAGCCAGATGATTAGGAATACATACCGGTAAGAGCAAAACAGGCGTATGCAAAGTTACTGCTGAATATCTCCTGTATCATGTGGACTGCTTGCTACCGGTACCAGAAAATTGGTGAAATGTGCTAAATGGGAAGGTATAATACATACGTGTATGTCTAACATCTACAGGAAAAAGGTTGCAAAACCCTTAGTTTACATCTAATGCGGCAGCAGTTTTTAGCTGAATTTCAAGCATCAAATTTTGAGCAGGACCGTCACTGTCAACAAAAGACAGGTGCCACATTAAATTGTATTAAATTCACGGTGAGTGTGAGATACACTGTGAGGGGTCCCATGCTAACTTCAGATTATGATATAGCGCACATGAAGAACATGTGCCTGACTGTGTATGATAAGTTGCACAACCACTCAACTTTTGAGGACCAACATTTTGTACCCTCAAAATTCCTTTGCACACTGTAATTTTACATGAAATTCCAAACAGCAAATGTCCAGGGCATACATAATATATTATTTTGTGAATATTCACATTCTCTACTTGTGTGTTTTCAAGCCAAAATGGGCACTTTCTCTTGAAAGTGCTCCAATGGGTAAGTCAAACTGCATAGATTGTGCACAGTCTTCCCGCACCACAGGCTACCATGTTCATATGGTTGTCTGATTGCATACATGTACATTGTACACACTAGCCCCAATGTGGCCAATTTACTGGACTACCTCCATAAATAAAGGCCACACTTGGAACACGTACCCAAAAATGTAGAACTTTGTCATATTTTTATACTCACATTTAGACTTTGTTTGTACTTGAAGTTTATTTATGCTGAAAAAGCACACTCACCCTCTTTAAAGGGAATGTACATCATTGGTTTTTGCTTTAATTTTCAGAAATGAACTATTTGAGGGGTTAGTATAATAGATCAAATTATTGTTGCACTGACATGTTAAAAGTTTTGTGTTCGAAAATGCTGGAAAAACCAAAAAAACAAAAAATGTTCAAGTAGTCTGGCTCCCTGACTCCACTGAAAATTAAATGGATCAATTTATAGATGCCGGAAAATTGTACGGTAAGGGAACCAGTCTAGCTGGCCTGCCCCCATTCATGAACATGCAACCAATAGCAAACAAAACTTGGACTGAAAAAAAAGGTAAATTTGGAGCAGCAGTTGAAAAATAAATAGGTTTTTCCAACGGTGGTCGGCCGACCACCGTTGGAAATGTATACAAAAATACCATTTACTTGAAAATGACTTCACACCAGGTGCCATAATTTTACAGGATGTTTTAGACTGTCATTTACCAACATCCTGTAAAGTATTTCATAAAAACTTGGTAGTTTTATTTTTGGATGCTTGCAAATGTTGTATTTTCCCTTTAAAGCGATAGAAAATTAATCCCCCCTTTTTCCGACGTCTATTTTTCATGTAATCATGTGCAAAATGAACCTGGAAATATAGACGTCTGAAAAAGGGGGATAGCTGCCAACTAGTACGATTTTTTCGTAATTATTACGAATTGTTCGTTAAATTACGAAAATACGATTTGCCACTAAAACATTACGAATTTCTTATTTTCTACCTAACGAAAAAAAAAAAATGTAAAGTATCGTTTTTGACCGAAAACTTCTGGCGAAATGTCGTGATAATGGATGGACAGGTGACAAGTCTAATAAGAATGCAGTCAAGCACCTGATAGACATCAATGCAGTGTGCGCAGTGGAGTACTTGAGGACCAGACTAAAAATATTTTTCAATGGTGTGTTATTTGTGTGCATCTCGTGGATGTGTGGGTGTGTGTACTGTATGTGAGTACTTTTCAGTGACGATCGTGAGCACATTTAGTCGCTTATTGCCGGGATGAGACCCATCAGTGCGAGATTTTAATCATGGAATTTAATAAGAGTATGGTTGGAATAATTTGTAATAGAGTTTGAGTTTGTCACAACGGACAGAAAAGATAAATCAGCATGCGTTTGCAAGGTATGTTGGCGGGATATTTCTATTGCATACGGTGGCCATAGATCATTGTGTGTAAAAACATGATACGAACTCGAAACTCAACATCGATAGCATGCATCTCCAAAAAAATATGTGCACATGTTATTGATGTTATTATTTATTTGACTTCAACAAACAAATACAGACATTAAAAAAAAATTAATTAAAAAAAAAAAAAAAAAAAAATATATATATATATATATATATTTTTTTTTAAATTATCTTTTGGCCTACAGTACATTATTATTCACAACGAGAAGGGTATGCACATGTATGTGTACATGTAAACCATGTACCTGTACTCGATGTTGGTAAAGCTTGTGATAAAACGAGAAGTTGAAAATGACCGCGCGGGTTGATTACTAATTGGGATTTTGAAATGTTGGCAGCTATGGATTAAGTTTCTTTTGCTTTAACCCTAACTCCTGGGGCTCTTTTACTAGAAAGTATCCTGAATCTGCCAAAATCCACCAATTTTGTCGTGCAAAAAATGCTGGTATCCTGAATCCATCAGAATCCCCCAGTGTAGATTCTGGAGGTATCCTGAATCCGCCAGAATCCACCAGCAAAAGTCTTGATGGATTCTGGCGGATTCAGGATACCATGGTGGCATAAAAAAAATACAGCATGTTTTTCCATAGAGTCTTCAAAATCCAACACCTAAATTTCTGGTGGATTTTGAAGGATTCAGGATACCATGCTCGCATGAAAATTGTGATGTGTGTTGTTGCATAGGATCCATCAAAATACACCAATGCATGGCGACCCCAGCATGGATCAGTACCGAAGTGAATACGTCTCGCGCACAAAATTTGTGTGAAAGACATTAGCGCATGTTTCAGCCCGTAAACCATATAGAATGAAAAGACTAGATCGGCAGCGCGTCCACACACGCCCAGTCACTGTGCGATAAATCTCTGCCATTTTGGTTGTCTCTCATAGACGCACAACAAATTAACGTAAAGTAATGGAGCTAAATGTATCTTTCCTCCAGCACGTGACCTAGCTCAACACGCGCGAAGCAAGAAATGCGCACCGAGTATTTACGCGATGCGCACACATAATTATTAGCGATGCACATGGTGTTCTTTGCGCGTAAACGGCGTTGCGTTCGTCACGTTTTCGCGCATTATTTGTATCTTTCCTCCAGCACGTGACCCTCCATGCAAGTCCACCCAGTACATGTGTGTACATGTTTGTACAGTATGTGACAGACTTGGCAGGGCTAGTGCCAGCAGTATTTACTTGACCACAAACATTGCAAAAGAGTTAAACTGTTGAGATCCTGAATCCATCAAAGTCCCCCAATAGCTCAAAATGGAGGTATCCTGAATCCATCAAAATCCGCCAGTTCCGCTAGGCTTTGAATCCTGAGTCCATCAAAATCCCCCAGTTTGTTCAATATGGAGGTATCCTGAATCCGCCGAAATCCCCCGAAACAGGGGGGTGGATTTTGATGGATTTAGGTACGTTAGGGTTAAAGAGGGTGAGTGTGATTCTAGTTCTAAAGCATAGATATACAAATGTACTACAAAGTCTAAATGTGAAAATAAAAACTTGATAATGTTCTGCATTTTCGGGTGCATGTTCCAAGTGTGGCCTTTATTTACGGAGGTAGTCCAGTAAATTGGCCACATTTATGGGGCTATGTACACACATGCTCATAGATGTCTTCACTGTGTCAGGCAATCTTGTTTTGTATGCAGGTGCCTGTAAGGCTGTAGCCAAATGTCAGTGCCAGAGTGCTGACTGATCAGACGCGCATCTTACTTTGTACATTGTACTAAGAGAACGTTGGCAAATCCCGCCACACACACTACAAGCAGCGAATAATGCCAACAAATTATAATCCACAGCTGACAATTTCAGACAAGTGCTGCATGTAATGATACCAAGCAGGCGACAATGCAATGTGTGAAATCAGACACTTATAAGCTGCCATGGTAATGAGACATGTGCGTCTCAAGCACAGGTTCATGTATGGCACAGAGTATGCATTCACAAACCTATAACGTCGTAGCATGAGTGCAGGGTGACAGCAGCATCAATGTTCAATGCTTTTCCAGACAACTGAGGGTGTTGTTGCTGTGATGTCATTTGGGGGTTTTCCATTGAAATTGTGAACCCAAAAATTTGTTCATTGAAAACATTTGTGAGAAATGTTTGCACAACGAATCATCGAAGAAAAGAAAATTTACGACAACAAGGTATCCCCAATTCTGCACAAATAGCTGTAACAACGCGGTTTCTGCTTGGAATGACTTTACACAAATGACCTATTACCATTTGTGAGTTGGCCATGCCCCTTAGACAACCCTATGGAAGTTTTGTATGTTAAGTTCTGTTTGTCTCAGATTTTGCGTCCATTTGTACATCATGTAATTGGACAATATTTCGCAAACTGCATTGACACGATAGGTCAATTGCTAATGAATATTGAAATTTGCATTAGTATAAAAACAAATGGGCACCAAAATACCATGAAATGGGACACAAAGGTGCATTTCTAGGGATTGCCTAAAAAACATTATTGCATGGGCCCCTTTAAATATAACATCCTAAATCCTCCAATTTTAATAATATTTGTATTTCTGTGAAGCACCTTGAGCGTCAATTTTGACAGATTTGGCGCTATACAAGAATTTATCATTATTATTTTATTATTTTTCATATACCCTTGGGACTTGAGGTTTGAATCAAATGTTAACTTCTGTTAATGATCTTGTCGTGGGTATGATGTACGGTAATGTGCATAACTATAAACATGATAATCATTAAGTTGCACTTGTTCTGTCCCATTCGAATGAATGGATTAATTGTTATGATTTCAAAAAAATCACATTAAAAGTAAAGCCCTTCGTAAACATTTACATGGTGCTTTTCAAGCAGTCAAGGTTGAATATTTATCACTTCATTGAATCAACTTGAAATGTAAGTTTTAAAGCCCGTAATAATACCCTTCTTTTTTTCTCCATTGCAAAAGTCCTAAGTAGTTTCACGGGCTGCACGCATGCCACATGTACAATGTACTACTGTAGTACATATACATGTATGAAAATGTACATGTATGTACATGTACATGTCACTATACACTCTAGTTGCATCACCCAGTTCTACCACTGTGCACATATGTTCATTATGTCTGATCAGCCAGACTGTGTGTACACTATTTTCACCTTTTTTTGTTGAGATTTGCTCCCTTATCTTCACCAATTATTAGCTGTACAATGACATTTGACATTTCATGTCTTATATCGATCTGTTGCAGGAACATGTACACACTTGACCTTGACAAGTCCAGGAAAATGGAAAAAGAAACATTAAATTTTGAAAATAATAAACACTAAATGTTTGTTTCCTTTTGTTTACTTTGATGACTCCAGGATTGGCAGCCCCCATTTGCTGTTGATGTTGACATGTTCAAGTTTACACCAAGAATCCAGAGGTTGAATGAACTTGAGGTAAATGTGGAAACAGCTTTGCCTTTGTTGTTATGTTGCATGTAGCAAGTTTTTAAATCACACAATATTTCCAGTGGATTTCTCGTTTCATACAGTTATGTTTGACACTACTGGGAATAAGCCAGTCCAAATTGTATTTAAGTTCAAATGTGTGTCAAAACATGCACAGGACATCAGCTCAAGAACTTCTGAATACCAGATACCCGAAAGCAAAAGTGACAGTGAAATTGGACCCCTTTGTTGCATGGTTAGATAGTTACGTTTAGTAGAACAACACAGCATTTAACATGGCTTCTCAGGAATATGAAATTTAAAAAAAAATATACCTCGTACTCATTCATGAGCGAGAGCGGAATTCTTACTGGTCCATTCACCAGCATGTGTCGGAGGCTAGTTTTGTTATTTACTAAGCGCGCACATGAGGATTCATGCACAGGGTAAATGTGCATGTAACGTGGCGATGGTGTGCTACACATGCACTTTTCTAATTACATCGTACCCATGGAACTATCGTACAGGGTTAGTGCGCATATGTGCAGAAAATGCCTCAGCTACATGAAAATAAGGTAGAGTAAAAAGCATATTGTTTGTGACATAAACGCTCCTTTGGTATTTGAAATTGACAAACTAGTTACCAAGGGGAGCTAATATCGATTATCCACCCTCAAACCATGTAATATTGGTTTAATATATATTTTGTCCTTTTTCCAGGCCAAGACTCGCATCAAGCTGAACTTCCTTGATCAGATTGCAAAGTACTGGGAGCTTCAGGTTGGTGATTTTTATTTAGTTCGTAAGATATGTTACCCACCATAGTTAGACCAGGCTAAAGTACGTCATCTTGATTGTTGGAACTTTGAGATTCAGCTGCTAGGTTTGGTTTCTATATTGGAACTTATCAGACATACATTTTTGTGGTTGAAACCTATGACGGTTGTGGACAATAAGATGTGTGAATACTGCGATATATATGTGCTGTAATTTCACTGATAAAGGCTGATAAGTCTGATGCTTGTGTGGTGACTCGAGTCTGGATTGGGGATGGGGATGGTTGGTCACATTCAAGATAAGGTATAACCGGGTTTGATGCACAACTGAGGCAGTCATATGCATCTAGATTATAATGACAAATGATTTCAAAGAAGCTTTCAAGTAGCCTTTTTTTACATCAGAATTTGATATGTGTTTTGCCCACAGGGTTGCCGCTTGAGAATTCCCAATTGTTATGGCAAGTCGTTGGATCTGTTCAACTTGTTCAGGGTAAGTCAGTGGACTTGTTAGGTAGGTGGGTGACTGTAAAAACAATCTTGTTTGATTATAGTGTCACATACATGAACATGTATATTAACCAATATTAAGATGGTTTCATTTCAACATGTTTTGGCCTATTCATGGTTATGTTTGATAAATGACAGTGTTACAGAATATTTGTCTGCTTTTGGAAATCATAGTTACAAAAGGATTCCTAATAATACAGTTTAAAAGAAAATGGTTTAGCTAACTTGATATTCACATTAATCTTCAAGCAAACTTGAATCCTCAATCTGGATTGGTCGATCCATTGCAACAAACCGGGCTACATTATTCCACGGTCCATACCTCACTCTGCGTATTACGCTGTTTGAAGATGCGTGGGCCATTCCCGTTTCACGCACCAAATTTGGATTGCCGTGTTATAAGGTGAATGTATATCACACTGCAAAACACTCTTAAAAACATTTTACTTGTATTCATCATAATAACATATCATTTTGAGCTGGCCCACGCCACGACGTTCTGGATGATGAAGTATTTACTTTGTTTGATGATTAAATGACTATTTCATTGAGTGGTTTTACTTGCTTAATTCACCATGGACAGGTTGTACATGAAGAAGGTGGATTTGAGACATGCGTCAGAGAACGAAAATGGAGCAAAGTTGCTGGAACAGTACGTTTTACTTTAAAGAATCTCCAACCCCATTTAATTGATTAATCTATGTGCAGTGATACGTGAAGCACACTGTTATCCATGTGATATATTAAAAGAGAAAATATGGGCTTGAGGGGCAGAAACAGGGAAACGCTATTGTGTAAATGCTGTCATCTTTAATGGGTCTATTATTTCCATTGTGACAAACCAAATATTACTCTCAGGATTTGCATATATGTAGATGTCTGAATCAATCACCAACTTAATCTGTTTATGTGGAGAACTTTAAAACATTTTCAATATCCTTGGGTTGAACAGTGAATATAATAAGGCCCCCCCCCAAAAAAAAAAATGTTGTGTTGCCCTCCTCCGACCGACCCCAAAACCTGGAAATCTTCGGTCGGGTTTCACTTGAAAAAACTAAAATAAAGTTTAACCTTACAGTTAGTGTTTCTTTGTAATGCCAGAATTTTGCATTTTGTTACAAAACGTACATGTCTAAATGGTAGTACAGTTCGAATCGACTGTATTTTGTACTGGTGTGATGTGTGATGTACTGCATACATTATGCACATGTGTACATGCACTGTACCTTGTATCCCATGCATGTACATATACATAGTATAGAAAATAAATAGTTAATGTGAAACAGTGTTCACCGGATTAGTTGTTCGGACATCCGTCCGTCCTTCATGGAGTGTTCTTCTTGCATAGTTTGGCCGTGCATTAATGGTAGCCTAACTATTTTGTGTATGTTGGCAGAGGGAACTGGTAAATGAATGGAATAGGAGAAAGGGTATGCCTATATGTGAACTAAGTACAACCTCTCCCCCCCCCAAAAAAAAAAATCCCCAACCAACCAATCCTCCTTATATTTTTCATGGGAGAGCAACACAAGTTTTCTTGGGGCCTAAGTTGGAGACTTGATGTCAGCTGTGCAACAGATGCTGAAATTGTTTCCATTCTCTTTAGATGGGCTTTGCCTCCAAGGCAGTTGGCTCTCAGTTGATGAAGCACTATGAGCGAATACTGTGGCCGTATGATATCTTCCAGGCAGGAGCCACTCTGGACACCCCTGTGGTAAGACATCTCAACCCTAAATGGGCCAGTTTTTGAGGGGACGATCACACAGTGTGAGGGAGAGGGGGGCGTGAAGCAACCCTGGCGTGAAGCAACAAAATGGAATCAAATTTGGCACACATGTAGAGCAATTCAATCTGAACATATTGAGAGAATTTGATTTTCGTAGGGCACTGTGTTTTGTAATTATTGACTTTGCAAGTGAGCACACTGTTACCATAGCAAGCTGTACTATGCTTGTATAGTATATGGAAAAATGCAATTTCCGTGGTGACCAGCCTCAAATAATGTCGCGAGTGCGGTGACCCCTTAGGTCAATTTTCATAAATTTGATATCAAAACGTGCGCCAGACTTGAAGCTAACAAGTCACGAACGCTCACAGTGAGAAATGCGTGTTTTGCAAAATATTGTTACAAAAGTGCAGGAAGCCCCTCCCTCCCCCCTCCCCCGGCCCTTTTTAGGTCAAGAATCAGACTCAAGACAATGGTTGAAAGACATTTTTTTACACAAGGCTCAAAGATTATCTCAACTTTCATTGTAATTTTATAGCAACTACCTTCACACATGTTTGTCGGGTATGAGCAGTATGTATAAATGGATGATATAATAACTGAACAGATTTCGCTGCCGAAAAATGATTTGGCATTGTCAGTTGAGATAGGATTGTGGGTTCAAAGTTTTGAGTGGTTACCTTGCAGAAAAATCATTTTAATGAGACTCTGGTTAGTAGGTGGGCCTGATAAATTTCTGTTTGATTTTTTATACAAGATACTTCCTGAGGGTGACTCTAAGGATAAAGACTATGTGCCTCATGGTATTGTCTCCCGTCAGGCAGTCAAACCATCTGGTGGAGGGTGCTACAGTAGAAGAGTCAAACGCCAAGCTCCAGAAGTATGTTACTCTCCGTCATACATGTAGATGGCTAGATGCTGTCTCTTGCATTTCCCAGTGTTGGTCTCTGTTATGTTTAATCAGCTCTACAGATCGCTTACAAAAGTCTTTGAATTAGTTGTTCATGTACGGATATTTAGTATTCAGATGCCTGTCATAGGTTTTTGTGAAGGTGTGCTGGCCTTTGATTTCCAGCTTGAAACCACACTTGATTGGATACATGAGACAGCTTATTTACATGTAGCAGCATGCAACTTCCAGCTGCAAGCTCAAACTGAAAAGTGTTCCAAAGCTTTTCTGAACAGTTTGTAACAGCGCTGTTACAGATTGCATGTTTTATACAGAAAGGCTTCATTGTTGTTCAAGGATTCAATTTGTTTTTTTTTGACTCAGGATCCTCTGAACATAGACTTCAGCAATAACCCGGAACTGAAGAAACTTCAGCTGTACGGTCCTGGTCCAAAGTTCCAAGGGTTGGGTCTTGTGGCAGGTGGTGAAAAGAAACCAGGTTAGTAAATCACCCTGGAGACAGGTTGATTTTTGTTGCTACATGCTGTTTCCATGGTGTTTCAAAGCTGTTTTCCTAAATTGGCCTTTTAGTGCACAACTTGTAAAACCTCGCATGATCTTTGGTTATGCAGAATTTAATTGAATTGCGTACATCAATTGCATATTACCGCTTACTGAGAAAGGAAAAAGCTGATCTGCTATAAGTATATTCTGCTCCGCAGCTCACTCATAGCTCTGCTTGATTTGATTGAACCTTGAAATGGAGCTGTTTGTAAAAAATCCGACAGTTTAAATTGTTACCAGGCGAGACAGAGCAAGCCAGAAGAGTGCCCATTGTAGGAATGGTCATCAAGTAAATAAATTACAATAAGATTACTGATACAAAATTCATTAACTTCATGAGGGTTTAATGTTCCGAGAAAAGCTTAGCACACTTGCTTAACAGAAGATGAACAATGCAGGGTCTTGACTTTAATATTTCAGAAGGCACAGTCAAAGAAGAAGAAGCCACCACGAAGCCAGAAAACACTAAGGAATCGGATTCCAAACACAGGCGATCTTCACCTAGAAAACATGAAGAGAAGCCAGCAGGAACAAGCATGACCATGAGAGACCGCTCCAATGTACTCAGTGCAAGCTTTGTAAGTGGAAAAGATCATTTCAATCCGTCTCTTCAAATGTGAATGGAGTATACATGTTGATCTTAAAACCCTGTTTGCTGCATTGAAAATTATGGAAATATTTTATTTTCGTATTAAATGTAGCTGGTAACTAATGAAGTGTTTTGTTTTTTGAAGACAGAAACATTGAAGATTGATTACACATATTAAAGTGGAAACCTCAATGTATTCTGTTTTTACAGCAAGTAGTTGTTTGTGTCAGCTTCTTCAAATCCAGAATGTACTTGTAGTCATTCATGAAATGTGTCTCCCAAAGCATCCAGAACTATTTTAAGATGAATCTTTGACATTTATGACTGAATGAATCTATATGTGATAGTGTGTTGTGTCATCGGTGTCTGTCTGTATGACTAGTAGTCAAGATTCTCCCTTGTTTCTACCCTTAGATTGAGAACTACATGTGTCGTGGTTGTGGGCGTGGTGATGCTGAGGAATGCCTTCTGCTGTGTGATGGATGTGATGACAGCTTCCATACCTTCTGTCTTATTCCTCCTCTCTTTGAGGTGCCAAAGGGAGATTGGCGATGTCCTAAATGCCTTGTCCAGGTATGTGTGCATCACTCCAACCAATAGTGTCTGTCAAAGTTGGTCATGGGTAAGGACCCTATGCAAACTGCCTTTAGCTGAAAGCATCCCTCTGAAGTTACAAATGTTGCTGTCAGTGTCGGAAACCACCCCTGTATGCAGTAATTTGTAAGTGGAAGTAGAACATTGTTGTCTGCTGTGATGTAGTCCATGGTGTTTTGTACGTCTGAGGGGTGCACATATCACCCGGGATGAAGTAGAGGATTTTTTCACTTTCTTACGCCCTATGCATTATCATGGAAAGTCCAATGCTTTGGTCTTCAATAATACGCACATCTGCATTCACTCGCGTGCATCCGCATTGACACGTGCGCTATTGGATACATCACTTATCTTGTGCGAAGTGTCTATACTATCTGTGTTGTGCAAAGCAGTAGAGACGAAAATATTCATAAGTCTCAGAATGTTACGGGGAGAATATAATTGGGATATCAGAAACTAACCTTTACTTTTATTGATCATTACTTTTTTTGTTTTGTTCAGGAATGTAACAAGCCAACTGAATGCTTTGGCTTTGAGACTGCTTACAAGCAGTACACCCTGCAGTCCTTTGGAGAGATGGCTGACCAATTCAAAAGAGATTACTTCTCCATGCCAGTCCACGTAAGTCAATCTTGTGATTAAAAATACTGCATTTTTAAATCTAAACTTAAATAAAAAAAGCTTAGATTTCCAAACGTTCCCCCAATTTTTTGTTCTTGTGTCAGCTTCTTCAAATCCATCAAATCATCACAAAATTCACCAAACCCAATAATTACTTTGACAAAATGGCACATGCATCGGACAAAATGGAGACATCAATCCCTGTGATGGGCCCAATTTCATAGGGCTGCCTAACAGTGAGCATAAAACTTGTGTCTGCTATAACAGAAAATCATGATACTGATTAAGAGTATGTCCACGAGAGGACCATGCAGACCGTGACAAGGTGGGGGTCGGCGGATTTGGTTAAAATTCTGGGGGTAGGTGGGTCATAGGTAGCCTTGAGGTTGTACAAAATATTTGGCCAATCTGACCTCCGTAGCAGAAAAAAGAGCCAAAAATGTGTTTTTATTAGTGAAAAATGGTGATTTTTATGATTTTGGGGTACAAACGTTTAAACGCTTGCTGCTCAACAGGGGAAAGCAGCAGAGAAATGAAATTTGCAGGGTCCTGAGGTTGTATCCTGACCTAAAACCAGGTACTCAAAATTTAGAAAAAAATTGCTCTTAGGAGGCAACGGCACTAAGGGTACCCCCAAAGTTGAGTCATAGAAATAGCGATCTTTAAGTCGCCGTAGCGTCATTAGTGCAGGTCTTTGAACAATGACACTCAGGTGAAAGAGAGTTCTTATCATGGTCCTTAAGTATCAAGAATAAAAACATTGTCAGCAGTTTTTAGTATAAAATGGCAGGAGTCTGTTTTACCCCTATTTTTCGCTAGTAAAGGGACGGGGGAGGGGCATACAGTGCCCCCCCCCCTTTTCTGTATTTTCAAAAGTCGACAACCAATTTTTATGAAATTTGCTACCAAGTTTTATATTTCCAATTTGTAAATAATGACGTCAAAAATATTTTTAAAAATCTTTAACAGAGGGCTTTTTTTTGGGCACCTTTTTGGTCAAAAAGTGTATTTTTCACATCATTTTTTCTTTTTTGCTTGAATGTTATGAAAATTGGCAAACGTGTATATATTCATGATCAAAAAAATTAAAACATATTTTAATACTGGAGACGCCATAAGGGGTGCTATAATTCCTTAATTTATCCCATTTTTAGGGTAGGGGGTTTCACTTTAAATCAATATGGCCGCCACCTTTCAGAGTCCAGGATGGAATGTATACCCTGCCCGATTTGTGGCAGAGGGAGTCCCCACAAATGTTCCTATACTCAACACACACTTGTCTTTTTGTTAACAGAAGTATCCCCCAATAATCATCTAAAGAATTCCCGAGATTACCAAAACAAAATGAAGACACAATGGGGGTGGTGGGGGGGGGGGTTACACCCTGCCACATATCGCGCACCAAATGTGGGAATGATGAGGCTTGGATGACAATTCTGTTATTTTTTTGGCATGTTAATGTAACCCGGAAAATTAATAAACTAGGAAAATAATAAATTGAATGAGAAAAACGCTAAATGTTGGGGCACTCGTCAAAAATGAGACACACCTAGATGGGGTAGGAACAAGTAGAGAGGAATTTGAATAAATAGAAACAATGACAAAGTTTTAGAAAGACCAAAAAAGAATGATTTATTTTACCAACCAAAATTTGAAGAAAACCTTTCAAAAAACCAATAATCAAAAAGGATCCAAATTAACTTTTATCCACCCCACCAAATAAGTAAAATGGTAGTACTACAGTCGACTTTTGTTATAAAGAACACTTTTACAAAGATGTCCTACTGCTGCTTATATAGAGCACATTCTGAGGTCTCGAATCTCTAGTTCTCTTTGTGTCTCTTTGTTTCTCTGTCCTTTTAAAGCAACATTTCTGTTTAAAGAGGTAGTTTGGGCAGTCTCACCGACCTTGCTATAACGAGAGTCAACTGTACAAAACTAAATTGAACTTTAAACTTAAATGGAAGTTGAAAGAAGAAAACTGAACCAACACAGTATCAAAATAGAATGACACATGGAACAACCTAACGATCAAACTCGAAAAAACAATAGAATATAAATCAAGAAATTGTTTTCCTTCTTAAATTAACATTAAAAAACAAAAACAGTCACTGTCTTTAAATAACAAACCATGATAACCCTTTGTTTAAACACAAAATACGTAAAGGAAGAGAACATGGAACCACTAATGCAAAAATGTTAGTAAAAAAGGATGCAATAAAAAAAAATGAAAACGGGCACTACTATCAAAATTTTGACCACTTTGTGATGATTAAGCAGTTGTTTCACCGATTGTAATCTTCATGAGCCCATCTTCTTGACGTGGTGCTAAACAATGAAGAACTAAACCAAAGGCTTCCTTTGCCTTCCTTCTATAATAATGGATGGTGCTATCAGATGCTTATTCTAATGACAGATGAAGCTGCCCATCAACAGCAGACATTCCCCCCTGAGTAAGGAAAGTGTTCAGGGATTGCAGCTCCACATTCTTTGGTCAGGGGGTTGGAGCCCAAGAAGAGTCAAGTGCACCTACATCCTGTGTAATATCTCCATCAGTTGATGAGGACTCAGATGTATGCTAGAAATAATCATAAGAAAATAAAAACAGTGAGATGCATGCTACATATAGGGTTGAAATACAAATTGATGTACTCAAAGAAGAGTGCTTACAATTCATCTGTGATAAATGAGATGCAATATGTCAAGGTCCATTCTTAGTTCACTCTCTTTACCTCATGAACTGAAGTGCACGCTGTGTCGGTGGGTTGGAGAGATGGTACACCAGCCGGCGATGTGAAATCACTGATTGTACACTGATGCTCTTCTTGTTCCTTAGAGAGCACATCGCTAGATGGTAATTGTTCCGCTGTCTGGTGCGTAACTGCTTGTTTGTGCTAAGATAGACAACCTCTACAGATACCTGAAAGTTATATGAACAGTGAGAATTAACAAAGTGTTAAGGCCGCAGCAGGCTTAATATTTTTTTAAAGTAAAAGATATAAAGCGGGGCGTATGTAGCCAACAATATTGAGCAATAGATGCCTTGAACAAAACCCATGTCATAAATTCCCCCCCCCCCAAAAAAAAATAAATAAATAAAAAATAAGAAATCTTCTTTTATTATTTTATATTGCCTGTATTTAATTGCACTTATTACTTTTTCTTTTTCTGATGTGGCTGGCTCTGGAGGATTTGTATAAAAGGGGAAACAAATCTGAAATTGTTCTTTAAGTTGTAAATGGTCTGATGAGTCACATCTCGTGAATAAAAGTAAAAAAAAACAATGTAAGTGCAAAAAAAATATATATGTTTTATTCCCCAAACTGCGCATGTTCAGTGCAGTTTTAACTTTCTTTATATAAAACAAAATAAATTCAAAATCCAGCTCCGGCTAAATATTCACCATGTGTGTCCACTGCCGAAAACCATGTGTGTGGTCCAGAGCTGTGACAACCAGTATTAATTTTTCGCACAATAATAAATTTCACTGGTCCCAAGTCAACTGCATGATAAGGGATTTAATTGATATAACCTACCCAGGAACAAAGTCAGTTGATCAGAAATGGACCTTGACCATGATTAATTCATTTTAATTTTCAAAAATGTATTTTTGTTTGATTTCTGTCTTCTTACCTGTTCCAACACTACAGTAATCATGGTACCCCATCGATCAAACATCTATGATCTCACGGCTAGTTGCTTTATTCACATCACGGAATGGTTTGCCTTTCCCTTTATGGAGTGTATGACAACATTTCCTTGATGATGTCCAACTCAACCCTAACTTGTATCTATGCGCTGGACGTATTGTCTTATCAGTGTATGCATCGACGTCGAACAAACCACATCGCAGGAGGATCAGTTTCCACTCGACATTCACATCATATGCAGCGACTTTCCACTTCTGCAAATGGCTCCGTATGTCTTTTGTGCATCGATTAAGTTGCACTGTATTTAGTTCGCGCAGATAAGAGGGATTTACACCACATTCGATGGCTTTGCTATACTCAAAATTACTAAAAATCACATTGCAGCCGCACAGACGGCATGTCCATGGCTGCCATTTTGACGGTAATGTAATGCGAGGGCGCCCTCTTTCGATACCGCGCGCTAACTGGGTGGGCGGCAACAGGACGTTCCCCTCCTAGCTACCGGATCAGTGCGCACCACCAAAGGTAGCCCACTCACCCACCCAATAGGTGAAGTCTGCAAAATGTACATCTTGTTATGCTCTTACAACAATTCCTGCAAAATGTCAATTAAGGGCAACCAATTGCACTCGGAACTGTCTAGGGGGCTATGTAGGTTTGGTCTTGAAAATTAGGAATTTTTCAACTTTGTTGACCGTGAGCAAACAAAAACAAGAAGAGCTGACAGTTTTTTTATTTTTTATTATTGTAGTCGGATATCTGAACTATATTTCCTCCAAGTTTGTTGACTCTCAGCCCTGCATTAATTAAGTTATGGTTTACCGCGTAAAGGACTTCATTTCGTAATAGAGCTGATACGTGTTTTTCTTACGCCTATATCTCCGCAGTGAATGCTTGCATATCAAAGATTTATATTTCATCGTTTAGAGGAGATTAAACCCTTTCTTTTGATATGTAGGTCGACAGTAAACGATTTAGTTTAAGGGTATAAACGAGGCTATAACTTTACACCAGAAACAACACAAATTTACTCCCCGGAAGTCACCCTTTTTGCTCAAAATTGTTGGTGCCCCGTACTCGGCCACCGTGTGATTATTTATCGAGCTACTCCACCGAGTGGTATCGTCTCAGGTGGGGATCAAATGGCCAAGATTTGAACTTAATTCGCTGACCCCCCACCTTGTCGATTTTTCAGGATTTTGCATGGTCTTCTCATAAACGCACACTTAAGCACGGTTTCTTGGCGTGGATGTGCTAACAGTTGCGCGATGGAGAATTCTATTGTTATGTCACTGATTTAAGCAACTTTTTCCTTTGGGGTTAAGCGTGCTTGTACTGTTCTTACTGCTTAATGGTCTCTATGACACAGACGAAGGCTCAGTTAGCATTAAATGGGCTGTTAAGCAGCGCTGTGAAATGGGCCCTGGTTTAACCTTGCCTGTAATTCTAACACACCTATTGCGTTGGATTGCTTGTATATTTTTAGATGGTGCCTCCAGAGACCATTGAGAAGGAATTCTGGCGTCTGGTGACGGCCATCGATGAAGATGTCAAAGTGGCCTATGGTGCTGACATCCACTCCCTGGATCTTGGTAGTGCCTTCCCTAATAAGAAGAGCAAGGTCGTTGGGGAAGAGGACATGGTAAGCAGGCAGGACTCTTGTACTGCTGTTAGTCATTTATCACAGATGCATTTGGAAGCCTTGTAAATGATAGGCTTTGACAATTACAACATTTTTGAATTGGTTCCAATTCCATACAGGTTTCACTATTCCATTCAGATTCCAATCCGATTCTCTCCGTCTAAAAAAAATAATTGAGCAAAGAAATGCAGAACCAGTAAAGTGTGTATCATCTTGTACAAGTTTGCCACAAATAAGCACACAAGGAGTGACCTCAAATTTGTTTTTAAGTGTCTGGAATCTATTCTTGGGAGAATGGAATTGTTACTATACTAGGAATTGGCTCTTTAAAAAGGTGGAATCACGATTCCGATCTAAGTTTGCAATCAATTCTATTCAATTCTGACCTGGAATCGCACAAGACTAGTAAATAATAACCGTCACTATTTATTCCAGCAAATTTCACTGTAACTTGTGTGCCTGTGAAAAACCCTCAGAACCACCAAGTCTTTCACCTAAATCTAAAGTAATACCATTTGGCAGTGTCTACAAAAGAGTGTTGACTTGTTGCCAAGAAGCTGATTTGCAGCAGTTGAATACACTTAGGCCTTTTCAAACATTACTTACATGTATGTTGAATGCCATAAATTCCATTTGATTAACTGTTAATTTGGCATTTGTAAACAATTTGTTTTGGAGCATTATTGTGGCAGTGGTTTAAAGGTTTTCATTATTTTCATACCAGGGATGGCAACTCAATCATTTGTTGGGACTAGTAGGAAACCAGTATTGAAAATGTGTTGAAGCAACAGTCAAACCACATTCCTTTGATTGCATGTACAAGATTGTCTGTCCTTTGATTACCTGTAGGAAACTTTGACATTTATTTAAATGGATGTTTATGAAGTACCGTGATGCCATTTTGTTTTGCTCAGGAATATGTGAACTCTGGTTGGAATCTGAACAACCTGCCAGTTCTTGACGGATCCGTCCTGTCTCACATCAATGCCGATATCTCTGGGATGAAGGTCCCCTGGATGTATGTCGGCATGTGCTTTGCATCCTTCTGCTGGCATAATGAGGACCATTGGAGTTATTCCATCAACTACATGCACTGGTAAGGGCAAGTCATTTAGACGCCGAAACACTAACGAAACAAATAATGTTTGGTTTGATCTACCAAAACTGTTGGACAATTGACCTTTTTGTTTATAAAGATTATATTTATAATGTTGCAAATTACAATAATACTTCATATCATCTGACAAACAAAATCCAAAAGCAACCTGAAATTGCAAACGTGTCAGAAGAATTTCTGAATGAGGTTTTTGTCAACTGGATATTTAGTTGAGTCTTGTGGAAGTCTGGAGTAGTAAGTTATTTGGACACTTCAAGATTTTAGTTAGTGATATTTATGTAATATTGGATGGCTCTGAGGGGGATACAAGAATATATTGCACGAGCTAATTCGACTCGTGCAATATTGTTGTAGCGAGTGCAATATATTCTTGTATCCCTGAAAAAAAGCCTTCAAATATTATTATTATTATTATTTATATCAGGCTGACTTGATCCGAAAGAAAGAAATTTCTTGTCATTGTCTTGTAAAAATTGCCAACCGCTTCCTCAGTACTTTAACGTTAACCCTTTAGTCACTGTAGCGCCCGAAACCACCCGAGCAATAAACAGTACCGAATGCGCTATGCTCTGTGCACTGGTTAACAAGTGTGAGTTTCTATACTCTTGATATAGTGGGAACCAGCGAAAATGATTAAATGCCCGGATGAGGATTATATCAAGGATAATATTGTCCTCATCTGGATACTTTTACTGACGTAATATTGCAGTCATCTGGGCACTTTTTACAAAAGCATGCAATACACTGATTTATTTTACCACTGGAAGCCTGATATAAATAATAACATATCAGTGCAATTGATACCATCCGTGGAATCTGATTTATATCAGTGTGGCATTTGTGTGAACACATCGGTGTTGATTTGACTTAAAAATTACTTTTGTAAAATTGAATGACCTGGGTTTCATGAGGGGGATATAATTATCTGAGGGTTCATTGACTGAATGTCAAGCAAAATGGTTTATTGTTGTATACAGAGACAAATCATACAGCAGAATAATCTGTATGAAGTCACTTTTACTAACCCTTACTCCCTAGGCCTTTTTGCTAGGATGTAGCCTCAATCTTGCAAAATCCTCCAGTTGGCCTCATGGAAAAATAGCATATAGCCCCAATCCTGCAAATTCCTCCATTATTTCTTGAATATGGTCTGTGGAGGGGTGACAATCACTTGAATCCTGCAAAATCCTGCGGCAGTGACTGTCAATATGTTGAGGCTTGGCCAGTGACATCCTGGAGCAGTGCGGAGGATTTCAAGCATAATCCAGGCCTATATTTATGCATGGCTGAGCAAAAACAACACAAGGTCCGGCCCAAGACCTTGACAAAGTGCATCCTAAAAAATCAGTAACGCACTTTTGCCATGTAACCGCAATCCTTCAAATTCCTCCACTTCGGCAAAGAGGATTTTGAAGGATTCAGGGCGGTTAGGCCTAAAAAAAAAAATCTCCGGTTTCTGGTATGGAGCTTGCCCAAAAAGTGGTGCGGCGACGCGGCTTTTTTTTTTTTTTACCTGATTTTTTTGCTTCAAATGTCGGCTGATGACTGCAAATGGTGCCCGACTAAACTTAGTGCAAATATATGGGAGTCCAGAGAGGCCACATAAAGCTTATTCTCGACCATAACCCAATCTAAAAATACGTTAAAATTGTGCAGCAGCAGGATTCCAGTCAAACCAGTGAGTTTGGCGGTTTTGAGACATCATCTTTCATTGAAAATTTTTTTTTTTCATTTTGCCGACGCGCATGGCTACGGCGACGCGCGCGCATACCAGAAACCGGAGACTTTTTGGGGGGGGGCCTTAGGGTCAATGATACGAAAAATTCCATTGAGAATCCTGTGCTGTGAAAGTGTGCAATAGCTATCAAGTGTGTACTGGTAAACAATTTTCGCTTCTAAACTGTTTCAAACCTCTCAACGGAGCATGATTGTATCATATTTAGTATTTTAGAATGTGTTCTCGGACTGTCTTGTTCATGATGCTAGACATGAACCCTTTCCTATATGTGATTCCTGTAGGGGTGAGCCTAAGACATGGTACGGGGTGCCCGGTAAATCAGCAGATCACTTTGAGCAGGTCATGAAGGAACAGGCCCCTGAACTCTTTGAAGCACAGCCAGATCTCCTCCAGCAACTTGTCACCATCCTATCCCCTACCATCCTCATGAAAAACAATGTGCCGGTGAGTTAACTCAATATTGATCTGTACATCAAATACATCGACCGGTGACTACTTCCTTGGGGGTCTTAGATGTAGCTCAAACAGTAGTTTGTTGTTGCTTTAATGCTGTGTTTTGTGTCCTTCCTAATATTTCAACTGCTTAAATTCTTTCAAAAGTCGTATTCTTTGAAACAGTCCTCCTGTGCATGCAGCAGGAGTAGGAGTATTCGATTCCATTTGAATAGATCTCTCTCAAATAATGTCACTGCTTACAGATTGTCAAGTGCATTGGCATTTTGGGAGTCAAATTTTTGTGACGCGCATCAGCTGTGCTGTATTTGGAAAAAAGTTTGAGCAACATGCGTGCGTGTTTAGAACATTTTGCACACTGCGTGCACACGTGCCTGATGGCATTTAATACGCCGTTGTACTTTTCCTATGAAGATGGTTGTCTACGAGAGGGGTCTATTACTTAGAAGTTTACTGTTTAAAATAAAGGTGTAGCACTAATAACTAAACATTTTTGAAACTTTGCAAGCCCAATTTGATCCAAACATCATGATAGAAAAAGAGCTAACAAGCCCGATATGACCATTGCTATTGCAGCTGGTAAGAACCAACCAGTGTGCAGGGGAGTTTGTGGTCACATTCCCACGGGCCTACCACGCTGGCTTCAACCAGGGCTACAACTTTGCTGAAGCAGTCAACTTCTGCCCGACTGACTGGGTAGGTAACCTAACCCATGCTTGGTGATAACAACTGGCAGATACTCCCCATGTTACAGTCAGAATGTATCTTGCATTTAACCAGTCTCAATCCTTGGTCAAAAGTCATCTTGCGATTAGATTTGCTGGTTTTATTACAGTGTATTTTTTGAAAGTATATTTTTCCCCAGATTTTTTGTAGCCTGCGCATGATTCTTGATTTTCCTTGATTGATCATTGAGCACAAACGACAATTTATCCGACAGTTGCAGTCAGAGATTTTATCCAGGATTTGCTTTGCTTAATATGTCTAAAGTATAGTGTAAACGTTTCAGATCATCATGTTGGCTCTGAAAGTGTATTTGGGAAGATTTGTAGTTATGACAAGTAAGAAATTCATAACCCACAATTGTTACATGGGAATTGCTCTGTTTTCCTCTTTGTAGCACCACAAACCTTAATTAGCCAAGGACAGCAGCCGATTTCACGAAACTGTGCGTAGCTTGCGCCATGCGCAAGACTTGCGCCATGCGCAAGACTTGCGCAACAAATTTGTTGCGCAGCTGCGTAGTAAACTGACGAACGATTTCACGAAACTTGGCGTAGCTGCGCAACGTTTTAAGTAATTTCAACATCTTGGACGAGGATAAAAACAACATTTACGACAGCTGTTTGTGTGTGAATTTGTTCTTTCGTGAAACAGTAGTTGGATCACCTCAGCCCGCAATTTCGAAAGTTATTTTGTCTGACTTTCTTCGGAATTGTTCAGCAACTCTAAAAATTATGTTACGAGTAAAATAGAAATTCATTTACTTCAAATATAAAGTTGCGAGTGTCTTGTATCAACCTTGTTAAGTTGTGCAATAACGGGCTCTCACGACAGTGCCAATTTGCTGGTAAAATATGTCTTTTTCAGTCACTACGCCACAACTTACGCCACCTAAAATGATTGTGCAAGTTATGCCATAATTTATGGCGCAAGTTGCAGACTTACGCACTATCCGACTTTCGTGAAAAGTGAAATGTTGCGCAGCATGAAATGTTGTGCAACTTATGCAATAAATTGTGACGCAAGCAGAGTGGCGCCATTGCTTTAGGTTTTGTGAAATCAGCTGCTGGCCATTTTCAAAAATTAAACCATCACTGTAAAGGGGAGAAACACACATCCTTTATCAAAACCTATTTTGACGAGCTGCCTAGGGGTGTCTCTTTTTGACCGAACATGTCACTAAAACTCATTGGTGCAGTAGTGGTTTGGTTTGTTGGAAGAGGTTTGAGTGCCAGTGAACAAATCCATCCAAATTCCAAACCTTTTGCTGAAACAACACATGGACGACCTTCTGACTGAAACCATTCTTCCAAATAGCTAATCTGGTATTTGATAACCTGAAACAATCATTATATTGGAAAAAATCCTAACTTAAATTACCCCTAACCTAACCTAACCTTATCTTACCCTCACCAGACTTTGTAAATTTGGGTTTTGCGAAAATACAATTTTGTCTAGAAATAGGACGTGAAACATTAGGGAGACATTGAAATCGTCTCCCTGATCTACCTTGTCTCCCTAAGGTTTAACTTTTGATAATGTGTCTCCTTAACGGTACATATGCAGCAATTACTCATTCCTAATAAGAGACTTCAGTTCTTTGCTTATTCAATTGAAACCTTGCAATTTATTTTCAATAATGAGTTACTGTCACAGGGGTGAGATATGTCAGGATTTTTCCTGATTTCAGGATTTTTAAAGAATCTTTTTGAAATCTTATATTTGATATCATGACCTTGTGTCTTTGTTTCCTTGTCAAAAAGCTGAGGAGGTTGATTTTTGTGTGTGTGTGTAAAATGGAGAGCCATTGCTGATGGTATTAACCGAGTCCTCATTTCTTTGAATTGATCTTGACTCAGCTTCCTAACGGTCGTTCATGCATCGAGCATTACCGCAAGCTGCGCCGATTCTGCGTCTTCTCCCATGAGGAGCTGGTCTGTAAGATGGCTGCTGATCCGGATAGTCTGGACTTGAACCTAGCAGCCGCTGTCCACAAAGAGATGCTAGTCATGGTGGAACAGGAGAAGAGATTACGCAAGAAGCTACTAGAAAGAGTGAGGAAAACTCGCATCAACTCAGCCTGGAAAAGGCTGTTTGACTAATGTAGACTCAAATGTAACCACTGTGAACAGCTTCCTCGCTCTTTTTCTTGTTCAAAATGTACCCATTTTTCTAGCAAAGTTAAAGATCAATTGTTCATACTTAACACAAATCGGAATTGGAAGTGACTTTGATGGCATGAAACATTGAGAATGAAATTTGCGGAGTTTAAGGTGTTCAATTTCTGCAATGCCAATTATTATGCCCCGCGGCGAAGCCGGAGGGGCATACTGTTTCCGCCTTGTCCTTCCGTGGGTGGGTGGGTGGGTGTGTGTGTGGGTGGGTGTGTGTGTGGGTGTGTGTGTCCGGACAAATCTTGTCAGCGCGATAACTTGAGAAATACTTTACATATGAACTTCAAATTTGGTTTGTGGATTGTCCTTGGTAATCCTAAGAAGCCTTTTGCATTTGGGGCCGAAAGGTCAAGGGTCAAGGTCACAGTGGCTGAAACAATAGAAATTTTGTCAGCGCGATAACTTGAGAAATACTTTACATATGAACTTCAAATTTGGTTTGTGGATTGTCCTTGGCAATTCTAAGAAGCCTTTTGCATTTGGGGCCAAAAGGTCAAGGGTCAAGGTCACAGTGGCTGAAACAATAGAAATTTTGTCACCACGATAACTTGAGAAATAATTTACATATGAACTTCAAATTTGGTTTGTTGATTGTCCTTGGTAATCCTAAGAAGCCTTTTGCATTTGGGGCCGAAAGGTCAAGGGTCAAGGTCACAGTGGCTAACACAATAGAAATTTTGTCAGCGCGATAACTTGAGAAATACTTTACATATGAACTTCAAATTTGGTTTGTGGATTGTCCTTGGCAATTCTAAGAAGCCTTTTGCATTTGGGGCCAAAAGGTCAAGGGTCAAGGTCACAGTGGCTGAAACAATAGAAATTTTGTCAGCGCGATAACTTGAGAAATACTTTACATATGAATTTCAAATTTGGTTTGTGGATTGTCCTTGGTAATCCTAAGAAGCCTATCGCATTGGGGGTCGAAAGGTCAAGGGTCAAGGTCACAGTGGCTAAAACAATAGAAATCTTGTATTTATTCTGAGATCATAGGGATTAGGGATTAATTCATATAAAACCTACAGAAGACACTAATGCTGTCAATGAACGTTCCATTTGACCAAGGTACATGTAAGTTGATGTTAGAGTGGTGTTATGTCATGGAAACAGTCACGGTTGCGGGGCATTTGTGTTTGTAAACACACCTGACTTGTTTTCATGATGTGTTTGCATTTGTGGATGAATTCAAGAGCTCACTTTAGTCATTGTAATTTCTTGTCAATAATGTTGTTGCAGGGCACTACTGAGGCAGAACGGGAGGCCTTTGAATTGCTACCAGATGATGAGCGACAATGTGATCATTGTAAGACCACATGTTTCCTGTCTGCTGTGACCTGCCCATGTACACCCAATAAGCTGGTGTGTATCCATCACACGGAGAACCTCTGCCTGTGTCATCCTTCCAAGCACTGCCTCAGGTAAGCAGGGTTTTCCCCGTTGACCATTGATGGGTGATGGGTCTGAGCCACTCTGCATGGCTGCACACAATGGCACTGTTGTGATAAAGTATACAAATATTGAGTGGCTCAGAGTACCGCGTCATGGAACAAGAATGATCCTAACTGTTGAATAGTATTTCCCATTCCCCATGGGCGAATGGGACTTTTTGAGCCCCGGCGTGAATGGGAGCAATAACGAATGTCACGTGATGTGAGTTCCACCAATCAAAAGACAAAGATCTGCATGTCAGTTATATAATTAAAATTATTATATCTGGTTGTAAAACCAAGGATTCTTCAAAAGTGCAGTCGTTACTGTAACTCTAACAATAATGAAAACGAAGAAAGTTTAGTTTTAAAGGTGGGAGAAAACCCCAGAAGAGTATTCAAGGGAAAAGCCTTTGGAACCAATAAGGACCAGTCTACATATTGACCTTGATGGGAATCGAACCAAGGTGATAGAGATGGTAGGCGAGGAAAGAACCAGTGCACCAACTTGACGCCCTTGCTTTGTCACCAGAACTATAATTCATCACGAGGTGGCTGCTGTCATACGGTTAACACTGCTATAGTTATAAGGACAACAGTGTGCGTTATATTGTTGTTGCCACAGTTCTTGTCTGCAAACGATTTTGATGGATAATCAATATGCTTATACTTTGAATATGACTTTGCAAAAAGTTTAGTAGTTGTACGAGGATAAGTGCAATATAATTTTAGAAAGAAATAAATATTTGAGTTTTTTTAGAATCTAATGATGTGGTGCCCTGAATGGTAAAAACACATCCCCCCCAGGTTTTCAAACAAAATGTGAGTGAGACATATATGGAACTATGAATGAACTGGCATATGTATTATTCTTATTCCTAGATATCGCTATACTTTGGATGAATTACCTGCTATGCTGCATCGACTCAAAGTCCGAGCGGAGTCTTTTGACAACTGGGCCAACAAGGTGAAAAATGCCCTGAATGCATCCCAAGACAACAAACTAGGTAGGATGATTATGTCAGAAAAAAAACATGTTGACTTATGTCCCACTGTGGAGTCAAGAATTCTGCATGTACATATACCTACATTTCTATCAATGGCTGATGAAACAAACTTGTTACGTGTATGGGCTCCGTGCGCGAGCGAAAGAGGGCGCCCTTTTACCTAGCAATGACGTCCGATGGGCGGGACATTTAGCTGGTTGACGCGCACCGTTCCTTGTGTGTGACGCACGTACACCAGGGGATTTGTACTAAGTTCACGCAGTGGTACGGCCGCGCGTCGCGGCTAAATTGCAGTCAGGCAATATGGTGTTGGTCGGTCACCCCCAATTGTACTTTGTTTGCCAGTGAGGGGGTACTTGTGAACGGAGCAGATACTGCACAGCGACTGTTCTTAGAGGGCACTTGTAATTTGAGCATCGTTCTAGTATAATTTCATTTTTGTCATAAGCATGACTAACTTATGCCGATGATATATTAACAAAGCACACATGTATAGGAACACTCCGTGATTTCTTTTTTCCTTTTTCCTTTTGGAGCATTCCATTTGGGACACGGCGCTGTTCCTCAGGGTGGGTTTACATACTCAAACAAGCATTCACACATGGGAATGCCGTGTTTACGGAGGCGAACAAGATTACCAACAACCTGTGAACCATTCCCTTAAAGGTAGAAACTGGACCTTTTGCATCGTCTGTGTGTCCACAAGCACACCCCTAAATGCCTTATATTTGCCTAGAACCAGTCCATTATTTGTCTTTGTGTAGATGTGACACAGCTAAAACAGATGATCGTTGAGGCAGATGAGAAGCATTTCCCTGACAATGAGCTCCTTCAGCAGCTGGTGTCAGCTGTCACAGAAGCAGAGCGTTGCGCTACCATTGCCACACAGCTTGTCAGCAAGAAACACAGGACCAGGTCTGTACCTAAAAGTCCCTCCTTTTTTTTTGAGGGACAACGTTTACTCTGCACTTAACATTCCTTCTTAGTAACTGACTGTGTTACACATTCCCTGCCCTAAATTGTATCTATCAGAAATGTGTCTTGGGCATTTTTGTATGAATCACTTTTATAAGGTATATTATCTTGTTGGCTGCCTTTTTTCTTTTTAATTGAATTTAATATCTGAGCAAGTTTAGAAATACAGCAGCTAGCCATTTCGATGAAGAATGACACTGTTTCATGTGTTATACATGTAGGCAATGGAAAGAAAAGCAAATGTACTATCCTGTGAGTAGTGCAAGGTATATATTTAAATCCTAAATTTGCATGAGGGTTAGAAATTTGTGCTGATCTTGTTTTCAATCTGTATGTGTCACAACTTATGAACTTCTTCCTGATATCTGTTCCGTAGACAAAGACAGCATGGTGATTCTAAGTATGTGACACGGTTGACTCTGGAGGAACTGAAGGACTTCATGGAGCAAGTCCAAGGCCTACCCTGTGAGATCAGAGAGGTGGAACTTGTACAGGTACACTAGAGATTTGCTTCTCTTAACAAGTGTAGATTGTGATCAATTTAAGGTACTTAAGGTTTCTCATTTTAGCTGCAAGTTCACACAGCAACTTTAATATTTGGATAAACAATCTGCCCTATTTGTGGCAAAATCAAAGTGGGTACCAGTTTATTAAGTGTGGTTTATTTCCTCCATCTTATTGATTTCATGATTACCATGTTACCCCGACCTGTACACATTTATATGCCGTCTGTATCCAAATGTGATAATTGTTAACACTTAATGTACATATGCAAATTTATGTCTTCTAAAATGCATTCACTCTTTATTCGTTAAAAATGACATCATCAAAACTTGAATTTTAAGAGATTTATTTATTACATATGGTGTTTTCTCGACTAAAAACAACCCGAGCCATTTGTCCTATTTGAATTTGGCAACCATTCTCATCAGAAGTTTGGTCTGAACTGTCGATATGACATTATCTCTTTCAGGACCTGCTTGCCAAAGTGGGAAGCTTCCAGACAGAGGCACAGGATGCACTGTGCGATACCATCCCAGACTCAGACAAGCTGAAACGGCTGATTGAAGTGGGTAAAGGCATCGATATAGAGCTCCCAGAAATACCCAAACTCAAACAGGTTGGTGAAATGTCTCTACAGTCAAATGTAGACTTGCTTTGTTGTGAATATCCTGAATCATAATGTGGTTTTCGATATTGAGTGTGTGATAAGTACAGTGCTTGACTAAGTCCGAAGTGCAACACAATTCCTTTTTTCCCTGTGTTTTTTTGGTTTGTTAATAAACTTGTTTACTCATTAGCACTTGTGTTTACTTCATGAATCCATAAGCTAGACATGTTAGGGGGGGGAATTGTTGGGTTTGGGCTGGTATATGTAGTTACAGGCAGGGGGTTAGGGCTGAACAGGAACTAATGGGGGATACAAAATCTTATTTAGAAGGCTTTCTACCGTGACAGGATCTTTCTAAAAAATGACATAAAAACACTAACCCTCCTATGCAACCTGAACATTCTGTGCCAAGTAGTCCTTTCAGTCAAAATCAAACAAGTGACTGTTTTCAACAGTTATGAATTCCCAGCCTACATAAAGCAGGATTGACTGGCTGGGACTGTTCATGTAACTCGATACAGGTTTACTTTTGCTTTGGGTAATTGATAAGCCAGCTGTGCCTACAACTTACCTGCTTTGTCTGTTCATGGTCTGTTGACTGAGTATGACTAGTCACAGTGCTTGCTTTACATATGATCGGACTGCTGGTGACTAGCCTGTGTTAAAAGTATAGCAGGGGAAGTGGATGGAAATTTTGACTGTATGTGGCTGTTTAAATAGCAGGAGGGTTAATAAGCAAGAGACACCCAGGTATACCTGGGTGAATGGAAACCACAAAGGAAGGATATAAAGGATTCTGAGTGGGCAGTGAAAGGGAATAAAGGGGAAGGGTTGGGTGTAATGAGAGGGGATCATCAGGCAAGGGGAGGGACAAAAGAGTGTGATAGTGGGTATAGATCAAATGGGGAGGGGGAGGTAGTGTAAAGATCAAAGTGAGGAACAACAAAAGAGGGATAAACCGCATGAGTAGTAGCGAGAAGGATTATCTGTAACAAATGACATTGAAGAATATTGCAACAGATTAGTCGAAACAAAAAAACCTGTTGAAATTGATTGCAATGTATGAGTCAGTGGACCACGCATCTTTTATTTAGTCCATAATCTGAAATTCATCTTAATGAATTAAAGAGATTATACAACACTTGCTTTTGCTGTAATTTTCAGAAATGGATGGATTAAGGGGGATAGTATTTTATAGTAAATTATGTTACACTGACTTGTTTGAAGTTTTGTGTTCATAGATGCTGAAAAACCCAGAAAAACAATCATGTTCCTGTTGTCTGGTTCCCTGACCCCACTTAAGATGAAACGGAGCAATTTATAGACGTCGGGGAATTGTAAGGTCAGGGAACCAGTCTAGCTGGCATGTACCCTTTCATAGATGTGTAATCGATTGCAAACAGAATGCGGACTAACTAATTAATGGTAAAATGGAGGCAGTATTTGAAAAAAGCCAGTTTTTTTTCTAATGCTGGTCGGCTGGTCGCGTTGGAAATTGATACAAAAATACCCTTTTCTTAAAATTGACAGCACACCAGGTGCCATGATTTTTACAGGATGCATAAGATTGTCATTCACTGACAGTCCAGTAAGGTTTTTCATAATAATTTGTTAGTTTTGTGTTTTGATGGTTGCAACTGTTGTATATTCCCCTCATCATGCATTGTTTCCTTGTCTAATCCAGGAGTTGTCCCAGGCTCGTTGGCTGGATGAAGTCCGTGCTACCCTTCAGATCCCCAACAGTGTGACCCTTGACACCCTACGTAAGCTGATTGACTCTGGTGTAAGCCTGGTGCCTCATCCTGCTGTAGAGAAGGCCATGGCAGAACTACAAGAGCTGCTGACAGTCAGCGAGAGATGGGAAGAAAAGGCCAAGATATGCCTACAGACAAAGTAAGAATTGTCTGGCGATTTAAGATGTACTGTTTGTGTTTTGTATTTTTGTTTTGTAGTTTCACCTTGACTTTTTTTTTAAAAATTTGTTACTGTTTTAGACACACAAAAGATATTCACTTGTGAGTGAGACATTGAAGGAAAAATCGGCCTATCTGAAGTTATGGAATAATTACTTTACAAAATTTTAAATTGTTTATGACCCAACAATAATTCATCACTCACAGGGTTGACTGGAAAAACTTTCCAAAAAATATTCTTCAACTTTTGTACGAAAACCTATACTTTTCTGAGAGTTTAATATATTTTCCAAATCACCGAAATGTTCTTAATCACTGAAATTGTTCACCAATCCATAGTTGTGTAGCAGTGTGTTTCTTGGCATTTTATACATTGCTGCTCATATGGTAATAGAGCATGGTATGTTTTCTACTCCTCTTAAGACCTTGTCGTGCTATGGCTACTCTGGAGACTATCGTCAATGAAGCAAGGAACATCCCCGCCTTCTTACCTTACACTGCATTACTCAGTGAAGCCCTCAAGAAAGCCAAAGAATGGACCAGGAAAATTGAAGAAATACAGGTAGGTAATAAAAATGGATACCCTAGTGATGTCTGTTGTGTAGTTATGGGCCATGGGGCTGATTTCACAAAACTTGTCTGATCTTACGACTCATCTAAGCACTTATGACGAGTCCCCTCTCTGAGATCGATCTTAGCTAAGACGCATCCTAAAACCAATTTCACAACACCTGTCTTAAGCAAGACACATCAACACTACCAATTTGATGGCTGTTTCGTGCTTGTCATGGTGAAATTGATCATAGGACGAGTCGCAAGTTAAGACGAGTAACCTTCCTAAGACGCGTCTTAGCTTTTTCGTGAAATCAGTCCCTGTTCCTATAAGAGAACAAACATTCACTTCATGTTATCACATTCACCCAAGTAGTAAGCGATGTTTACAACCAACAGGAATGTAGTGGGCGGGGTTTGGCTTTTTTTGGGAAACTTTAGGGTAAAGCGACGGTGAAAGGTACAAAAGGCAACATGAAAATAAAGATCATGAATGCACAAAACCTGATGGCATCAAGTGAAAAGTGCAAACAAAAAGAAAATCACATTTTTTTCCAAAAGATACAGTTCAATAATAAAAGGACTCTTATGCAACATAGTTGCATAGTAACATAGTTGGAATTTCAGTATGGGAGTGCCATTGTCGGTTCAATGTACATTTCTTGAATGGATTTGAAACTAATAATAAGATATGAATTCATTAGATTAAACAAATCGTTTATAATATTCATGATACCAATTGATTTTTGTTTTAGTATTTGTTCAATGTTTTTATCACCTACAAAATTATGTAAGTGTTGACAACAATACCTATATTTAGGAGTGTAACAGAATCTTCATAATGTTAAAACCAAACTTGGTTAGTAAAAGCATCAACTAGAAGTACAGTAAAATCCGGCTAAACCGACATCGTACAACTCGTCAAATCGCTCAAGTCGGCCATCTGACTAAAGTCCCAATTGTCCGTAATGCATTTCCATTGAATTTTTTATTTCTAAGTTGGCTTTTATAAGTCGCCATTTCGCTCATGTCGTCGTGTTACTCTCGGTCCCCTTTCCAGAAAAAGCATCACAAAATCCTTTGTGTAAGTCGGCATTCAACAAATCACGCATTGGCATCGACTTCCTGTACTGCAGTTGGCAAAGTGTCGAGTGAAAAGTGGTTTCGCACAGTCCGTGATCGCTGCATGCATCAGTGTCGAAAAAGGGTGTCCTACTGCATACCTCTATGCGGCGCTATAGGATCTTTGCTGCATACATCGCATATGCATCGTGAGCATATCAATACCAGTACCCCCTCTAGGCTGTACGCATGCGCTCTGTCCATTTTGGGGGTCGTCTTTTGAATGACTAGTGCTGCAGTCAATGTGTGCGTGGTATATACCGGACCACGCACGCATTTAATTCGTTACTGTGCACGTACATATGTATCGTGGTCTCCACTATCAATACCCCAAACGTGATGATACAATTCGAGGATTAATTTGCTGGATTCAACTCGAGCATTAAGGAGATAATCCAGGGTAAATCGAAGCCAATTAGTGCAATGAATCATGTGCGCAAAAGACCATTCATGTAAAGCATATATTGGCATTCGCGTAAGTCGTCACAATTTTTCGGGTCCCGAGAGTGCCGGTTTAGCCAGAGTTTACTGTAACTTGATTTCCTTTTTGTCCTGTTTAGAATGGAGAGCACTTTCCCTACCTGGACCTTCTGGAGAGTATGGTGATGAGTGGCCGTCCCGTTCCTGTTCGCTTAGAGCAACTGCCCCAGGTAGAGTCCCAGGTCTCCGCAGCCAGGGCATGGAGAGAGAGAACAGCTAGGACATTCCTCAAGAAGAACTCACCATACTCACTGGTTGAGGTTAGTCAAGCCCTTGCGTATGTAATGGACCAAAACTGGGACTAAAGTATATCTATAAATGAAGAGTAATACTCTCTATTACAGTTAATGAGGGCTTCAGTAAAACCATTGGAAGTTTGTCAGAAAGACTTGGCTGTTTCAAATGAGGATTAAAATATCTACTTATTAATCATTTATAAATGTGGTAGCCAGAAGCACAATTTCATGGCACTGCTTACCGTTTGCAAAACAGCCTGGTGTTCCTCAACAAAAGATTCTGTGCTTACAGTTAGCATATTTAACAGGTTAGTGAGGTACTTCAGCTTATGCGCATGCGTAAATCCCATAACTCAGGATTCCATACTTAAAGGGTTAGTGCAGAAACATTGTCAGCACAGATTGTTGTACTAGTGCTGCTAGCTTGAAATGAATTAAATTTTGTAAACAAGCTATTTTTATTATAAATACCCACGTATCAAAAATATATTCAAAGCTGTTTCTACAGGGTGAGCCAGAATGATCTGGACCCAAATGTTTTGATAGTTGCTAGATATTTTTAACGTTTTCTTTAATTTGGGTCCAGATCATTCTGACTCACTCTGTACAGCGGGTTTCTTCCGCTATAACTTTAGGCCGACACTCGTCTTTAAGGAGAAGACACTGCAATGATTTCCAGACAATATACAAATTAACGCACGCATTAATGAAATGGTGATCGTAATGGCAGAATTTTGTGGTTAGCAGAGATATGACATTGGGCTCAGATCGTCAACTGAAACAACCACCTTGTCTGGCCAGTACATTGAATACATCTGTACCATCATAATAGCCAGTTCATCTAAGAAGCTTCTGTTTGCTCTCATGTTGGCCTGTCCCGATCTTGTTATTATCACCAGGTGCTGTCACCAAGGCGGGATATCGGTATCTATCAGTCCACTAAGGCACGCAGAAAGAAACAAAAAGATCTGGAGAGACTCCGAGAGATGGAAAAGGAGTATGCAGTGGAAGTCAACACAGATGAGATCAGGGACCCAGCAGCATTTGTAAGTACTACAAATGAAATCAGATACAGGTTCAATGTTCAAATAAGTATGAATCAGTTTTCTTCCGAGTCCCAGTGTTGATGTTTTTCTCTTTTTCACAGCGTGGATGTAAAAACTGATTGCACGCCAATAGAGATTTCTATTTTTACGCCACTAATTTAGGCAAAGTTATGCTGCACCTGCTCCTTATGCTCTGTGTCAAAGCACATGATTTATTTGCTAACATGTGCTTAGCAGCCTACTGACATTGGGCCCTGACTGTCAACAAATCTACTGAAATGATCTTTCCTTTGCCATCAGGTGGCTGGCTACAAAGACAACGAGGCCCGAGAGATTGAATTGATGCGTTTGTTGCGAGACAAGAACCGTCGCAAACAGCAGATGGAGGAGGAAGGTACTGAGCAAGGCAAGTACTGCATTTGCCGTAAGGGTGTCGGTGGCTTCATGCTGCAGTGTGAGTTATGCAAGGACTGGTTCCACAATACTTGCGTACCTCTTCCCAAACCCAACGCCAACAAGAGTAAGTTCCTGACTCCAGTTGTCAGTGGAGCCAGCTCGTCTATACAGCAGCCTCAAGCACGTGACATGAAGTTCTTGTGCCCGATGTGTTTGAGATCACGCCGACCCCGTCTGGAGACCATCCTTTCCTTATTGGTGTCACTTCAGAAGCTGCCAGTACGACTACCTGAAGGAGAAGCCTTACAGTGTCTGACAGAACGTGGTATGAGCTGGCAAGACCGTGCCCGCCAGGCACTGGCAACAGAGGAGTTAGCATCAGCATTAGCCAAACTGTCTGCACTGAGTCAGCGCATGGTAGAGCAAGCTGCCAAAGAGAAAACAGAGCAGATTATGTCATCAGAGGTCAAGAGGGCTGCTGGTAATCCTGAGCAGCAGGAATACAGGCAAAGCATCTCACAGAGTCCAGCGAATAGGGAGTTATCCACTGATGTCCATGCTGCATCTATTCTCCATGGTATGTCACCTGTTCCTACCCATCCTCAACCTGATGCTCATCCCCAAGCAGAGAACGATACACCTTTCCCTGATGAAAACAACACCACACCATTGGCTATGGACACCGAAGCTCGTCAGCCCCCACACATGATTGGACTTGAGAAAACCATTCAAGACTCGTCTGCTGAGCAAGAAGATACCTACCCTCCACCCGACGTCTCCGATTCTGACTTATCTCCAACTGATCAGCTCCCAGACACTGAACACGCCTACAGTGCCGTTACCAGCTCTGAGCATGCATACAGTGCTGCCCCTAAGGCAAAGCAGGAGCCAGTACAGCAACGTAAGCACTCTCGAAAGTCTGCAGTCATTCCGAGACCTGTGGAATCTCCTGTACTGGAACTGTCACCGATGGTTAAGGCTCAGCTAGAAGATCTAATGATGGAGGGGGACCTGCTGGAGGTATCACTTGATGAGACGCAGCACATCTGGCGCATCTTACAGGCTTGCCAACCAGTACGAGAGGAACGCTTCATGGAACTCTTTGTACAGGTACTGATTTGAATTATCTAAACGAAATGTTTCATGAAGGAGAGGATACAGATATTTGATATTTAAATTTACTGATTTGAATTATCTAAACGAAATGTTTCATGAAGGAGAGGATACAGATATTTTGATATTTAAATTTTAAGGTCACTTTTCCCCTAAAACCTGTAAAAAGCCGACTTTATCTAATCACCTTTTTCATATCACCTTTTTCATTGAATATTGGGAGGGAAGTTACACATTTTGTTGATAAACAAAAAAAACCTCTTTGATTAATATTTAAAAAGAACCAGACATGGATGGCAATAACATACAAATATTGAAATTGAGTCTTGAGTGTGTTTTGAGCATTGAATAACTGTTAGAGTTTTGTTCATAAATTGTCCCCCACCTTCAATTATACAATGTTAAATTATGATAACTCTGGTCATAAAAACTAAACCATTGAAGAGAAAGTATGACATATATAACTTCTTTCCATCATTTGAAAACTATTTACAAAACTTAACTGAAACCGGATCTTATGTTCTTGTCTGTTTCAGCAACTCAAAGAGGAATCCATCACTGAGAAAATTCTGATGCGGCCCAAGATCATAGACAAGGAGAAAAAGAAGCTGAAGCGCAAACGAGAGAACGAAGGAATGAGCGAGGATACCGAGACCTTCCGAGCAGCCATGATGGAAGAGGCTCACAAGCTGGAGAAGAGAATGAAGAAGAGGAAGAAACAGGAGAAGGATGGACGCGGCATCAAGAAGGAGCAGCTAGGCCTGGCTGATAAGATTAAGAAGGAAGGCAAAGAGAACAAGATGAAGGAAGAAAACAAGAAAATGAAGAAGAAAAAAGGTAACTTTTATTAGGATCAATGGCATAGAGGTTTGCAGATGAAAGATAGGAATTGGTCAAGGACTGGCTTCGAAGAGGAGGAAATAAGTGGGCTACAAATCTGTCCATTGTTTTGGACTCGTTCTCTAAAATAAAATGATTCCTAAGACAGGGCCTTTTAACAATGCAAATTTTAAAAAACAAATTGAATTTTGCTGCCGAAAGGCAGATTAAGCCATTCAAATTACATCCATTCTTCCCAATTTCACACAAAATTATAAATGTTATTGTCAAAAAGTTGTCAGGCTTTTTTAACACCAAGAATATAGTATGTGCTCTTAGTAAACACTAATGTCTTCAGTGTAGTTTTAGTGCATGTGATTGATTATTGTTCACATCCTGCTAAGTGCGGTTTGTATTTAGAATTAAAAATCCTGTCCGGGGATTATTGTAGTGTGTGTATCCCTGCTGTATTTAAACAAACTGGTGAAAAACCACCTTAGTAGACTTTGATGCACATTTGTATCCCATTTATGGGATAGTATACTTGCTGTGAAATCGTAGCAACATTAACAACCATGTAGCAGTGTTGGTTCACAATGGATCTCTTACCAGGTTCTTGATAATAGAATTGCAGATTGCACATTGAGGATGAGGTTGCTATTACATACTTCAGCATCCTGGGATGTTTAACCAAGCTTTCTCTGTTGTCAGCACTGAAACCTTTCAGCAAGATATCAGGGATGAGATTTGTCAAGATTTGTCCTGATTTCAGAATTTCTTACAAAGGATTTTCCACCAGATTTCAGGATTTTGAAAAGATCCCTTATGAAATCTGGAATTCCTGAGATTTTACCTCAAAGGTGTTTTTACTTTTAAAAGTTTATTTAGGACAAAAGAAATGGGTGCATTAATTGGTGCCTTTAGATACATACAAACATAAACCGTAGACCCTACATTGCTCTGGAGCCGATTATCTCGTAGATTTCTCATTTTCCTTCAATCTCACCCCCAAGATATTTATTTGAATTGTATTTTGATTGTTCTTTCATTACCAGCAGTCAAAGATGAGAAGGAGAAGGGTAAGAAGCTGGAGACTGAGCCGTTTGTCAATGTAGACGGTGATGAGGATGATGAGCAATGCTCAGCCAAACACTGTCTACAACCCACCGGTGATGACATCAGTTGGGTCCAGTGTGACAAGTGTGAAAAATGGTACCATCTACTATGCATTGGTGAGTCATCCATCATTCAATTCAGTGATAAGTGGGTCCCTATCTATGGAATGTTCATGATGTCACAGTCACTGCAATAACTTCATCAAATTGAACGGCAGCACAGTGAGCAACAAGTAACATACTGGTGTACTTTGGTTGTGCAGGTATGGGCATGTGACGTCATGAAATCCCGTTTATTCATCCTAGTCCTTACTTCAAAACATACCATGAGAATCATATTCTGTCCACAGTATCGGAGTGTTGTGTATGGAATCTGTGCACAACTAGTCCCTGAATAGTGAAATATGAGAGACTTCTGTGACCAATTTTCATGTGGAAACATTACTTGTTCATGCACATTCAGATGAAAATAAGACTTGTACTCCACGCCATACACATGCAACCCATAAACCTGGCAGGGACTGCATTAAGATTTTTATCTAGAAAATGCAGGTGGAGTTTAAGACGACTACTAAGTATCCCTGCAAGTTCTGGTCCTGTGTGTGAAAAATCCCACACACTGTACTGTTACTTATTCTGCATGGAGTCCATTCCTGTAAAGAATTGTAAACCTTGTGGAACTCCTGTGGTCCAGTGACTTGCCAACTGATGCATCGTGACCATGTGATACTTTTCTCTCTGGGTGACACAGGTATGACGCAAGAGCCAGCTGATGATGAAGAGTTCATCTGTCGCCCTTGTATCAAGAGACAGCGTCAGTCTGTGGCAGCCAAGGCACGCCATGCAGCTCAGAGGGCTGCTGAAGCTAGGAGAAGCAGCGGTTCCACTACGCCAACACCACCCTCCAAACCACTAGACATCAAGATCAAGATGGAACCAAACTGTCTAGAAGATACCACGGGGACACCAATGGAAGAAACTGTTCCTGATATTAAACCAATAATTGCGGACATGTGTGATTCGTCCACGGAGAAAACTGAGACACAATCACTCAAAGATTCTAGCTCATCAGAGACCCCAATGTCTTGTACAGACCAAAAGTCAGGAGGTGAGCCAGTCACAGAGACATCTGAAGACACCAAATCAGTGGTGGCCCAAGTAGATACCCCCAGTGACATGGACAAACAAGTCTCCCAGAAAGTAATGACAAGTGAAGAGACTGGAGATACAGTGGCGATGGATACTACAGAGGAGATCATCTCAGTTGTCTCTACTCCTGTGGCTAACTCTCCCATTGCAGCAGCTGCCAGTGAAGAACCCATGGAAATCCAATTTCCAGACACCAAGAAATCAGATAGTGTGGATAGTGTGGTCGCTGAAGAAATTCCATTGGAACTTAACACTGGAACTTCACCGGAAAAGCCATTGACAACTTCACATCCAGCATTATCTTCTGAATCCAGTGTTGACACATCAGTGGAAACTCCCATGCCACCCAGCCAAGAGGCTCCAAGTGATAGTCAATCACCACTGACATCTACCCCTCCAACAGCTCCTGCTGAGCCTAGTACAACCGCAGATGAGCCCAGTGTCACCCATCAAGAACCCACTCCACAAACGCATTCTGATGCAGCACAACCCTGTGACACCCAGCATGATTCAACATCCACCCAGGTACAAGCAGAGTCCTCCTCAACCCAAGAGACTCTAACAGAAACTTTTGAAAGTAACATGACTGAGTCATCTTGATGGGAAGCTAGAGTAAACGTGTTAGAATGCTCCTCTAATTAGTAATTGGTATACCAGACACTTTGCTTGTAATCAAAACGCCTTTGATTGGCTACCAGTTTGTTTTGTAGAATACATGCCATTAATTACCCTACCAATTAACGTTATAATGAACATTGTTATGGTTGTTGGATTCAGTGGTGTTATACATATTGAAGGTCCGTTCCATGACGAATACTCACTAAAGAGAGCACTGGAGTTTGTAGAAGTATAAAGTTTGACACATCGAGTTTTACTGTCGCATCATGAAAGACACTTATTTTGTTATATCAGTTTCATAAACGAATGGAGATGTAATTGAAAAATTCATCAAAGATTTGTCACATGTCTGGGATCTGCTGTTGACTTCAAATGAAGAGTGTGTTTGTGTGTACAGTAAGTACTATGAGCTATTAGTGTAAAAATTGTACTCTAATGGAAGAAACGTGTAATTAACAAAAGGGGTAAAGTGCGCTTGTGTTAATATTTAAAAAGCAGCCAAACGATTTATAGCTGTTCATATTAGTGTAAAGCTTAGCACACTAAGACCTGTTACGCTGTAGCACGTAAAAAAAAAAAAAAAAAAATTCAACATGATCTTGCAAAAAGCTTGTTTGATTAACACTTTTTTTGACCAAGTGATGATGGGCATTAGTCGGTTGATTTTTCTAATTTCTTGTGCAAAGTTGCTCTTCATCCGATTGAACAAGGAATAATAGTTCTAATTCTAAATTATTATTTTTAGAGTTTTCAGAAATTATTTTTTCAGTTGACATTAGACACAATGATCAGCTACATTATTTTGAATCGACACCATTAGGTGGCCTTTATGGAGATTCATACAGATTTCACAGGTCATGTATTGTTTTATTCATTTTTTTGTTTTTACTTGACACCTCCACCTGTAAGTAATGATGTTCTGAAAAGATGGTTGTTAAAGTGATAAATTGCCCTTGAGTTTTGTAGTAACAGAAGTCAAACATTACATGTGACTTCTGTTTAGTGCTTGGAAAAAAAAAGACCACAGTTGTCAGTAAAGTGTAGTGCAATTGTGTTTTTGTTTAAACGAAAGTGCATTTTGACAAATCAACAACAATAGTAACAATCGGCACTTTATCTTCTCAGTATGGTTTGAAAGTAATGCATGATTTGGATATAGTCATATCCATTTATCCAAGTAGTGTGCCAAAAATATATTTTTTTTTCCAGTTGATCAGTTGTTTTTTAACCATACATTTCTATTCCTTGTTGTCTTAATTTGCGTTTTTCTGTTTATTCTTGCAATACATATTTCATTTTTTCTTGTTTGTTAATTCTACCTCCTACAGTTGACTGAGAAAGATGATTTGATTTTATTCCCTTTTACTTTAAAACATGATCTACAAGTTATGCACGTGCACTGCAGATACGTAATTTGTTGGCTTTTGCAAGTGGGATCAAAGAAGTGACTGAATAAGTTAAGTAGTTGACGTATACTGTATGTCACATACAATCCAAAATTTTTGCCTTTTATTCCCTCAGCTCGCAAACTGTTTTTGAATGTGTTCTGAACATGCAAGCTTAAACTCACAGCTGTAGCTAAGGGCTTTTCATTTTACAAATTTGACGAATTAAAGGTCCCTTACCAGAAAATATGGATTCTCAGGGGAGGGAGCTGAAGTTTAAGTTTAAGAAAGAGCTGAATTGGTAGTAAGACCTAAACACCAAAATCTCACTCTCCGTGCCTGCATCAACCCTTGTGGCTTCTCGCTAGCAGAATACCGTAATCAAAAATGGGAGTTTGTTATGGAAATATATGTAACAGTAAATAAGTACCAGCAAATGTAGAAAATAACTTAAAAGCTCCAGTTCTATGATGTATTTACCCAGGAACCCTGGTACTTCTATGTTTACAATAAATTACATGCACATATCTGAATACATGTATGTACGCACTGGTATGCCAATGGGGAATCCAATTTCCCTCAAGAATCCGTTTGAAGTATGAATTTGTCAACAGCATAAAGTGAACATTTTGCAGGCCCAAAAATGCCTACTTGTGGTTGTTTGGAACAAGTTCAGATTTTCTGCATTTTTTTTTTGCAGAAGCTTACACTTGTCTCACTAAGAAAGTAGCACAGTATGTAGATTATTTCTAGTCGCATCACTTTGACTAGTTAATTGGTACCAACACCTACAGCTTTTTGTTTTTGTTTTTTTAAAGATGCTCTAAAAAAAAAAAAAAGTCTATATACATGAAAATTCTTCCGTTTTGCAATAAGTGAAGAGATTTTTCATATTGGTCTCTAAAAATTCTTCGGGTTAAGTCTATTTCCTGGTCTATATCTTTAAAAGTTAACAATATTAACTTGACTACTACTTTTCAAACAGTGGCATGTGAATGACTACAAAATGCAAAAAAAAAACAACTTTAATTGTTCAGAATGCATGGCTCAATTTACACTTTTATTTAACAGCTTGCAATGAACTCAATTTGTTCCTGGATTTGTTTGATTTATAAAAGTATGGCATTTACTTTATTTGAAAATAGAGAACAGACTCGGAAGAAGTAGTCAAAATGATACTAACTGATTGGTCATTTTATATTTTTCTCTCATATACATTGTGTTCAATTGAATTTCCTGCATCCATTTCGGAAATATTTTTTTAAATTTACTTATTTTCCTTTATTCAGCAGCTGTCTATCATAAACATGTAGAAAGAACTTAAAATGAAAATTTAAAAACCCTTCTTCAGTTACATCTTTGTTCACGTAACATATTTAAAGTACTACTGTGTAAAGTAGAAGTTGAATATTCAATTTGCCACTTTCTGTTTTTGAATTGATGTAGTTGTTTCTTTTCCAACCAGTGTAGTAATGGACTGTATGCCTGGCAGCCATCTTACAGGGCAATGCCTTTGTTTTTGCTGGGATAGGCATGTTACTGAATTAAAAGAAAAAGAAAAAAAGATGCCCTCTAAAATGGCCGCCACGCATAAGGGCCGTTGTTTGCATTATTCATCAGTGATTATTATGTACATACATTTTGAAAACACCTAATTTGAGATTGTTACATTCTAAAGTAAGTGAAGGCTTATACGTCCTTTATGTTGTAAATATAACATTTACCTTTTTCCCTTTTGACTAGGATTATACAGTTAAAACAGTTGGTCTCTTCTTTTTCTCTTAAGAATTACCAGTTTGATTTTTGTTTACTTTAAACTTCTGTTCAATGATAAAACATATTGTTACATGTATGTGGAATACCCCAAAAACAAACTGTTGACACATCATTTTGCCTAGTTTTCGATACTCATGCAGAGTTGAGTTTGACTCAGATATATGAAATTAAACAATAAATACAACAAACAGTGTAAATGGTGCATATTTGAGGCATAGGTAGAAAAGTGAGTTGATCACCAACCACGATAATGCGGCCTTATTGTTAGTACAAATCCCCAAAAGATAGTTAACATAAATAAGATGGTGCCCTGTAAAAGACAAAATCAACCTAATATTGAGGTTTTCCTTACTAATTTAAATTTATATTTATTTGCCATTGAAGAAGCCATCAGAATAGCTTCCTATAGTTTCATGTACACATGCTACATTTATGGTCAAGAGGAACATCAAATTGTCATGGAAACCCTTTTAAGATGACGGTAGGCCCAGTGTGCTACCCAGACAACTTAACACATTATGCAACAATAACAGAAATCATATTTGCTTTTTTTAAATCCAAAGTTGCATTGCAACACTTGACAATATCTCGGCGTCAGTGATATTTTCACGTTAAGAAACATGTATTTTCTCATTTGCTTACATTTGGCCAATTCACCAAGTAGGTTTTTCTGAACAATGTGTAGTGTATTATTTTATGAACTTCCGAGGTGTATGGATGAAAAGACACAAAGTGACTATTTCTGTTGATTGTTAATTCTTTAACTCTGTATGCTATTAATGAGCAAGTGACATTGTAGAAATAGAGGGGAAAAACATTTTGTTTTGTTTATGTGTATCTTGCGAAGGATTAAATGGTATCCTAACAGTAACGATGACTTGGAGAGTGCTGATTTCATTAAAACCGCATTCAGAAGTGCAGTATGAGGAATGTGGCCTGGCTCTGGTGTGTCATTAAGTAGATAACTTTAAAGTTGTGTCAGTGCTTGAATTCTTGATATAACTTGCCCCTCACATCCCCCACCCCTTAAAAGACAAGGAAAAAAGAAGTTCCTTAAATTATGGGCATTTTTCAATTACCGGTACTTTGGCAAGATATTGAACTGCTTAATTTACTTTTCAAAGACAAAACAAGAAGAATATACTATGAATACCCATACAATAGCGGAGTAAGGTTGGTGTAGTGGTGCTTTCCTCGCCTTTCATCGCTGTGACCTGGGTTCGATTCCCGCCTGGGCCAATATGTGGATTGGGTTTTCAGTCCCTACCTGATTCTGTGGGTTTCCCCAGAATATTATTCTGGGGTTTTCCTCCCACCTCTAAAACTGTAATTTTTCTCATTCTTTCCTCTCTACATGTTTTTTTCTTCAGGCTTGTGAGCTACAGTACCTAGGGCGCTTTTGAGGAGTACCAGAAAATAAAAATAATACTAAAATGCTTAACTATTGTTTAGGAGAGTTGTTAAGTCAGAGTTGGTTAAAGACGGTACCGGTAGTTGAAATAATAATGTATTCCAGAGTTGTCAGTGTTTAAGAAAACTCAAAGTGATTGAGGCATGTGGACCAACCATGACCAATCATGACTTCTATTCTAACAGTGGCTGGTTGGGAGGATTAATGTCATGTCCTGAAAAGGATTGTGGCTAGCATGTCTTACACCTTCAAATGTCCCTTTGTTAAACTTTTTTAAGTTTAGTCCCTTTATATAATTATATAATTATCAATACCAAGCTATATGTGCATCTCTGTCACTACCCCTAATGCCATTCAGGCCAAACCAAATTAAAGGGCAGGATTTGGTTTGCCATAATTAACCACATTTGACAATAAAAGGCCTGCAACGCATCATCGTGTATACCGGTCCACGGAACCAGGCAAACAATGAAGAAAGAAGAAAAGGTCATGAAGAAAGCAACAAGATAATATCACAACAAAGAAAAAATGGGACACAAAAACATGGTAACTTTTTATAGCTCCATGCACAAACGAAGCAACCATCTAAAAATGGACAAATGCAAAGAGAACTTTAAGTCTTGTTATTTCTTTCTTCTGGTCTTTTGGGGAAAATATCACATTAAGGTAATTAAAAGAAAGTTAAAAGTTAATGATGCTGTAGGTGGCCCTACATCTTGCAAAGTACTCGCGGTGCTCGCGTGCGAACTGTCAGTGACGTCACGCGCACAGGACGACGGGATACATGGCAGGCAACACGGCAGAACAGCAATGGCGACCATAAACCACGGCAGTCCGTCACAGTTTGTGGGCCAGCCCTGGTCGTCATGGGCCGAAAAACTTGTCGGTCGTGAAAATAAAGGTAAGCCCCGATCTTTCAGCCTTCATTTGATACCGGCCAAACTGCTATTAGGGTTTTCTTTTGTCAGAAAACCGTCCCATTAGTGTTTGGTGCATGGCATGTTTCATCGCGGGTTTTCCCTATTCCTTACGCACGTACAGATGCTCTATCATCGGTCCAAGGTGATGAAGCGGACGGGGCATTGGAAGTTCCAGATGAGGACACTGACAAGGAGCAGGACAAGGAACAAGTTATGAAGCTCAGAATAGAGGGTATCCTTTTTCTTAAAGGGCTGTTGCATTAGCCCAATGTATTTTCCGAAATTGCCAAATGAATTAGTGTCATTGTTTGTGCATGTGCCATGTGTATCATTAGCGCTGCATCATCTGATCATCAGATGATCGAGGATGTGTCGCATCTTGCTTCAGTGATCGACGGACTTACTTTAATTTGGGCGATCGTGTAGTGTAGGGCCCGGTTCCTAGTATAAGGGAACAAAATGCACTTAAAAATTATTGGACCTACCAAACTAGTTCAGTCATTGTCAGTTGGCGACATTCTCAATAAACAGGTATGTCATAGATAGAGAGGGCAGGGTTTTGATTTTTTGAGGGAAATTTGGGAGAAAAATTACTATGACAGTGCGGCGACAACACGCGACCCGAAAATAAAGATCAGATGGTGATCACCGCGCGATGTACCGTGAGCACGCACGGCGCGCTGAATCGCAAGGCACAAACTGCGCAAGAAAATCGTGATTTCTACCCCAAGAATCTATCCAAGATTGCAAAATGGGTGTCATTAGAATTGAGAAAAGTCTGCTTTTAATTGTAAAGGTGATTTTGAGCAATAAAAACATTTTTGACTCTAATTTGATCAAAAGCAAACATGGGCCCTATATTGCAGGATCGCCTTAATCTGGTGGTTGGTGTCTTCATGATGTTGCTAAATGGTCGTATCAACTGAAATTTAATGTCTATCATATCTATATTTGACCTAGACCCGTTAACGTGGTGTCCATAACATTAAGTATGCCACGCTCCCGCATTGTGTAGAAACGCTCAACACACATGATTGTACGGGTACCCGGACGGCTCCGCTCCTACCATTTCTTGCGTACATGACTCAGAGTACCAACGATGTAAGTGACCTCGGAAAATCAAAAGTTGTGCTCGTATGTTTCTTGTTGTGTTGAGGCCATTTTTCCCCTTAAGTTTTTTGGGACTTCGAAATTTTACCATGACGAATCTTCGTCTGGCTCTGTTCTAATTTTGTGTTAAAGAGATGGGAACCAGACCTATTACAATTTCGTACTTTATTTCCCTTTGAAAAAACTCATCTAGAACCACTAATCAGAAAAAGAAGATGAATACTCTGCACTTAAATGTAGGATTCGATTTAAAACAATATGCCTAAAAGAAGACTATTCTTTTTTTTGGACGCAAAAGTAAAGTTTCAAAATCGTGGGTCATGCTGGGACTCGAACTCAAGCGGCGTTGCTTGCGAGGCAGGCACACTATCCACTAAGCCACGTATTCGCTAGAAGAGGAATGGTAATTTAAAATCTTGCATGGTGTAGGCCTACTCGTGATCTGCTGGCTTAAAAATGGAAAAAATGCGAGACCAGTTCACAGCTTAATAAACACTTTCTTTGCAAAACTGTAGTCGCCCAACTCCAAAAAGTTGAACTTGAAAGATTCATGAGACTCTTGCAATTATACTTTCAACAAAAATATTTCTTGTACTGTTTCTGAACATGAGTAACATTTATCAATAATGCCATGTTATTTTTTTACTGGCTATCCTGGCTACATGTACCTTCCAGCACAGAAACCTGCCTCCTCCCCCCTCCCCCATCAGTAAAAATCCTGCATACGCCACTGGTAGGCTGGTCTTGTGTCAAGAAGTTCACTTGCCGTAAGAGGGCGTTATCAAAACGAATCACGATCATTCACGAATGGCTATCACAGCAATGTCTTGAGAATCTTGTAAGTGGGGGAAATTAGTGCGCATGCGCTACTTGTGCAGACAATCAGGGATGCTGGCTTTTTTGGGCTAAAACTCTAAGCAACTTATTTTTTACTAGACTTTAGACCCCATTCAGGAATAGTGATGGTACAATGATCACTCAGTACAACTTGTCCTCGGTACTCGTCCTCGAGTACTACTCAAGTACTTCTTTTAGAGTACTTATACTTGTACTCGAATGTCAAAATATTTGTACTTGAAATGACGGTTCTCGTACACGGATAGCAAAGTACTCGTACTCGACATGTCAAAATTGTACTCGATCATCTCCGAACTCGTACTCGAATAGCAGTACTCGGAAAAAAATGGTATAGCTTAACTTACCCAACCTTATTTTATTATCGATACTTGCAGTTGGAAATGGTTGATTGGCTTGCAGAGAAATAAAAGTTCTCTGATTTTTCTCTGTGCACGTCCAGACAAACACATTATTTTAACAGCTAGCCGTGAGTGGGACTGTATATCAGTCAGACTGGGCCTTGGCCAAGAACGCACAATGAACCATTTGCTGTATGGCCATATTCGGAAATAGAAGTACTCATACTCGGAATACAAGTACTCATATGCGGAGACCTGAACTGGTACTCGGAAGTACAAGTATGCGTACTCGTACTCGGTAACCTAAGTACTCGGCAGTACTCAGTACTCGGGGAAAAAAGTACTTGACTACAACACTGCAAGTTGTGTGTTGGCCCTGTGCAAGTACAGCATGATGTAGCACAATCAACTTTCATCTGAATCTGAATGCGCACAAACCAATAACATCTTCCTATGGGTACCATACCATGTCAATGGTGTTCAAATATGTGTGGTATCTCGGTCACTATTTATGGAGTGTTTGTGTATGGAGTCCATAGCAGTTTTAGGTCTCTATACATGTAGCTCATGGGAAAACAAATGAGACCTGCAACACCAATCTGTGCAAACCTTTTCTTACTTTGGTTTAGGTTCACATTTCAACACAGCATTGAAAGTAGTGCTGGAAATACTTTTTGGTTGGCGACATGTTTCCACCATCAGTGTGCAACACTCATCAGGGGTTCCACCTTGTACCTCAGTGGCAGATCCAGGGGGTGCAGAGGGGGCGCTGCCCCCCCCCCCCCCCCCCCCAGCAGTAACCTCTCTGGATCCGCCCTTGTACCAAGAATGTTTTTCCAATATTTTTGAATTTTCAAGGGTGGCTTAGCAGTGATTTCTCTTTGCTGTATATTTCCAAATTGGTACAACAACTTTTGTCTCCCTCCATTCTTTTTGGAACATGGTCAGCCATGTGGTCATCCATTCCTGCAGCCTGGATCCTTGGGCTGGCTGTCACTGCCTTCCTAACGTCATTGTCTGGATAGCTCAGCAGGAACTGAGACAAGTTGTTTCTACCTTGTTTAACTGGTTTCAAGAGCCTTTTGAAATACTCCTGCCATCTGCTGAGAGCATTTTCTTGACGCTATCTTCATAGTTGAGGGGTTACCATCCTTGTCATGTACAACCTTAGTCTTGTAGCTTGCACAATCTTGAAGAATTCTCATTCATTTCCATTTTATATTCTGCTTGGATCTATTCTATTTAAATATCCAAGTTTAATTTTCTTTTCTTTTTGCAGAGAGCAGCAGAGCAACATACTATATATGCTGTTGGAATGATGACTTACTTTTAATTGCAGGGTATTCAAGTTTTACAGTATTCTAACTGATTCAATCTACACCTGCATGTTGTGTCTTGAAATCTCCAGGACAGCCGGAGTCAAGGTAGATGAAACGTTCTTTATCACCACTTCAGTTTATATTGCCCTTTTTATTGGTAATCAATTTTGTATTTATTTCAACCTTTGACACACTTTCACTTTCACAGCCAAAACCCTGAACTGAACTCAAATTTGCTGAAAACGATCACCAAATTCAGTTGTTTGTTTATTTATTTACTTATTTTAGCATCACTAAACTACTGAGTGACTTGCCACCAAAGTAGACTGAGTGACCAGCCACCATGTGCAGACGGTCAAAAAGTCATGCTGTGCAAATGTTACGAATTCATCTGGGCCCATTTCATGGCTCTGCTTACCGTTGGTGAAAAATCCCTGCTTACTGTAGCAGAGAATTCTGTGCTTATGGTAAGCATATGAGCTCTGTGCGCTAACAAAAGAGGGCGCCCTTTTACCTAACAACGACGTCCCATGGGCGGGACATTTAGCTGTTTGACGCACACCGTTCCTTGTGTGTGACACACGTACACCAGGGGATTTGTACTATGTACACGCAGTGGTACGGCCGCGTGTCGCGGCAAAATTGCAGTCAGGCAAGATGGCGTCGGTCGGTCACCCCCAACTGTACTTCCTTTGCCGGTGAGGGGGTACTTGTGAACAGAGTGGATTTCGTGAGTTGGCGAGGAATTTTGGCTTCTGCACATGCGTACAATTTTGTAACTAAGGATTCTGTGCTTACAGGGTTAGCACAGAATTTATTCCGCCAGCACTGTTAGCACAAAATGGTGATCGAAAGCACAGAATTCTGTGGTTAGAGAAGCCATGAAATTGGGACCTAAATAGTTAATACTTGAAATGAATGTAACAAAAGGAAACAAATTACACACTGAAATATTTAGTTTTTAATAGTTTCAAACGGTGTTTGCCTGACATTTTGTTCCTGTCATTCTCGAACAGGCTGGTTTCCAGTCAGGCTGTCATTTTTTTCCAGAGGGAACCAGTCTACCAGTACTGCTGCACAACAACTTTGAAAAGAAAACATACTGACCATATATTGGGGAGGGGGAGTAAGAAATACAAGCAGCATTACTTTTATTGGTGTATTTGATGTCCTAAGGTTGCTGAGAAGTGTGTTAGGTACGACAGAATGGACCATATGAATGTGTTTTCCATATACGCAACTCAACTTTCATGTCACTTTTTAACTTGAGTGTAAAATATGGCAATTTTATTCACGCTGGTAAGCTTTGGCAGTAAGGCATGGTCTGGTTGTAATCTGGCACATGACTGGGTCTTTTAGAGGGCCTATAACTGGTCTACAATGCTTGATGACAATTAACAGATGTCGGTAAGTCAGTCGCAAATCCCTTGTACATTCCAATTTTTACCACACGTGAACTGAACCATTGTACAAACAAATATTTACAATCAGTTCCATACATGGTGTTAATCATTATAATGCTATGGTTGTAGTGTCATATTTAGCAATAATTCTCCATTAATGAATGGAAGACGATTGGCTCTTAGTCTTGTTCAAAGAGTCAGCCCTATGTACCAATCAATCCAGAACAAAATTCATTGCGACTTTTGCCACTGTGGTCTGTTGATTTGCAAGCCAGAAAAACACTTTTTTGAAAAGTACCAACAGAGCCAGTTCAATGCTGCAGTCATGTACTGGTACATGTACAGAAATCAAGCAAGATTTTTGCCTAACTTCCATGCAACATTGATTTTTGCTGGTTCCAGCGAGGGCCAGTCTGTAGTCCTCTTTGTACCTCACTAACTCATTGGCCTCGCTGTCACTTGTGAGCTGGGCAGTGCTATTGTATAGGACTACCCCATTACGCCAGTGAAAGGGCTAAATCCAGCCCACTGTGTACACAGAATCGCAGATGCATGACAAATTTCCAGTGAATAGCCATTCTGAAACAAATAGAATTTGGTGGGCTCTGAGGCCAGCTTTACTAGGCCTGCCTTGTCTTTTTTTTTCTTCAGAATATTCCCAACTTCACCAAGTACTGGTGATTGAAAAGGAAAGAGATATGGCTTTGTGAAGAGACTTTGCTGTTAGCTTCAAAATTGGAATGTTTGCTGAAGATTTTGTTTTTGAATAGCCCAGTCTAACAAGAAGCATCACGTAACAAAAGGTCACCACATTACTATTCTGTTTCTGTAACGTAGCAATTACATGAACCTTTCCCAGCCACTTGTACAGGGTGAGTAAAAAAAAGCAGAACCCAAACCCCAGAAAATATATTTCCTATTTAAAAACATGTGTAGCACCAAAAATAATAATGACTGGAAAGCCAATTTCAGAAACTACTTTAAGATAAAAGATAAAAAAATTACTGAAATTGCTCAATCCATTCAAAGAATATCACCATTTAAACGCAATGACGTTAAAACCTGTTTCGTCCAAAAAAGCAATTTATTGTCTGTTCTGACTGTTTGGAACAACAAAGAAAATGACACAGAACACTTGTTTCAACAACTGTATTACACAATATCTTAACAACCCTGCTTAGGCAAACAATATTAAAAGATTTATAAAATCCACAATTTTCAAAAGACAGGCCTTCAAAAGGACTTTGTTGAATACTTTTTACTTTTAAACTGAGGTTTTATCACTGGTGATGTTTGGAGACAATGGTGACGACGATTCTTGAAATTGTATTTTTTGGACAAAAGAGGTTTTAGGGCCATTGTGTTCAAATGGTGATATACTTTGAACGGATTGAGCAATTTAAGTAATGTTTTCATCAAAAGTAGTTTATAAAATTGGCTTTCCATATATTTTTCTACATATTTTTTTTAAATATGAAATATATTTTTTGAGGTTTGGGTTCCATTTATTTTTTACTCACCCTGTACTTTCAAATTAACTAGGTAGATACAAATTACTGCAGAATGTTTGATAAATCAAGTCAAACAAGGAAGTTACCCCTAGTACATTGCTGGGCTTATCATCATAGAGTGTGAGCTCATACTGAGAGAGATCTCATTGTGACCAACTACGGCACAATCAATTGCTGACAGTGTTGTAGTGTACAAATCTTGAGTCACTTTGGTCGAGTCCGAGTCTCGAGTCATTTGGTTCAAGTCTGAGTCCGAGTCACAAGTCATTTCAGTCAAGTCGGAGTCCGTGCCACATTTGTATGAAATGGATGTGCATGGACATGACACGCATACATGTGTATGTAAGTGGAAATGATAATAACAATCATTATTATTTGCAACACCGCCTGGCGAATGGTGCCGTACAGTTCGTGTAAACCATTTAACCAAAATCAATCAATCAAGTCAAGGCCATATGGCAGCTGGAGCCCGTCCAACGATCTTGGTCCAGATGTCCTAGCGTAGCTCCTCAGGAGTGGCCAAGCCGGTGTCCCGTTTCAGCATGTCCACGAAGTAGAAATTTCTCCCACGTGAGGCAGGGCCCCATGTGGGCTCCCAGAGAATGATTGGGCTAGCGGCCAGCTCCAGGACGCAATGTCCTGCAAGCGTAGAGGTCTAAATTCCTCATGTGATCCTGGCACGAGATGTTCTGGGCCATGTGCAGCATCCTGGTGTAACACCCATCCAGAGACTTCTCCAGCTTAGTAGTGACAGTCCAGGTCTCAGCTCCTTACAGAAGTACTGCCTCTACTGTAGCCAAAATACTGAAATAAATAAAAAAATTTCAACCTCTAGGCACAGGATCGGCCAAGTATGCTGATTGGAGAGTTGCCAGCTTCATCTATAATCTGTTGTTTGGAAAGATTTGTATATTTTGTTCACTTCCAATTTAACAGATGTTTGGATACATCTTGTTGATTTCATTGATGTTCCACTTCCACCCACACATGGTCCTCTTTTGCAAGTGTCTTCCCTTAACTCACAGCCTCAGATGCAAATGTGTTTGGTATCTGCCCAACACAAGATGAATTCTACCTGGTGGTGTGTGAGCGGTGTAGTCAGGTCGTCAAACCACAGGCCCTGGAAAGGCATATGGGTAAGTCGGACAAGATAACAGTCATGACAGCAATCAAATACTGACATTAGTCCAGTATACAATTGTTGTCTGCTGTGGTGTAGATGTAGTCCATGGGGTTTTGTATGCCCGAGGGGTGCAAATGACACCCGAGGTGAAGCCAAGGGTGTTCAAGACTGTGCTGACACGAGGACGCGAGGGGTAACATCACCTACCTTGTGCCCGCTGTCTATTTAAGCTGTTTTGTACAACGAAGCGGGGATGAAAATATTCAAAAGTCTGAGAGAATGATGGAAGGTGACGTACCCGGGTAACATGAGGTATGTACTCGAGATGATGTGATCATCATTCGTGAAGTTTTGGGGTACGTCAAGTGAACAGTGAAGTACCTCACACCTCTTTAAGGCTGGATCCAAAATGTGCAGCAAAGTAGTCTCGGTTCAAAATGGACCATTTTTCTCCTTGACTTACGGAACACCATCCTGTGGCAAAGCTGCCTTTAGAGGGCGCCATCAACTCCATCCACTTACAGGACAAAATAAAATGTCCTGTGTAAGTGGCAGCTTAGGTAGGTAAAACATGGAGCTATGGTAAAAGGACCCGAGATAATAAGGACCATTACAATTAATATGAGTACTGAAGAAGTATGTGGCTCAGAAGATGTTGCTTTTGAAATCACTATTTTACATGGTTGCATGTATTTCATCGGGCACATGTTTGGCAAAGTGCAACTCGCATTAAAATAGTGAGATGTATGTCGGGTTATTTAACCACACAAAATGGAGATATATGCAGCTAGTTTTTTTTCAAGCCCCGTGTGTATCCCTTATGCTCGTCATTTCAAATGGTCCCTACCATGAGCATTCCTCTTACTCCTGCATACCAAATGCCATACGTTTAACAGTATGTTTTGTCTCATGTGTCATTTATCCAGCTGCACTTATCAGGCATGGTTGCAAATCCATAAATTGTTGGGAAAAAATATACTTTCTTCCGCCCAAGGGTACTGTTTTAGTTTTTAGGTCATTTGGTTGCATCCTGCTGCCCATTTGCTTGTCCAAATTGCCTTGTGTCATTTAGCCGTAGGTTGTAAAGCCAAGGCAAGTTCAATAAGTTGATTGTATTGATACTGCCCTGTTCCCATAGTTTTGTTTGTTGCCGCAAGGTTTAGATGTCATGCACTTTATGGGCGTAAGTTTTGTTCTTAGCATTCCTTAGGTGTATGCACACATATACCAGGCTTACAAAATCCAGTTTCGTTTTCGAATGAGTTTGGTGCTTAAGTATTAGGGTATACTGTAATAATGTGGCAAATACTCCTCTTTCAAACCATGGATGTGTTACAATGTGCCAGAAACTTGTAGTCTAGAGTCAAGACGTTGTTGTAAAGTAGTTACCCGATCACCTGCAGTACTTCTACGTCGATAATTGACAGTGCGTCCAGTTGGATATCTCGTCAATTTGCTTGGCGTGCACGGTGTGGACCAGTGTAGAGAGGGCATTATCACAACGAATCAGTGTCATCCATGGACCGCTATCACAACAACATCTTTCTTGGGAATCTTGTAAAATATCCATCTGATAACGATACATTGCTACACTTCAGTAAACTTCAATGAAGTATCTTGTGAATATTAATGTTCTATGGGGTTCTATAGAAATTTCCATTTCAATTATTTGTAGTTCTTACTGAAGGTACTCAGATAAGTATAACGAACTTGCTGCAGTGATACAAATGAACCTGTTAGTCATGTGCCAAACTGCCTTGCCTCTTAGTATTACTCCTTGTGTAGTGTTATTGATTCATCACTGAATAAACACAATGTGATACAATGTACTACAGGTCCTTATGGCTAAACTAAAGTGTGACCGTTTCCCCTGGCATCATCGCAGGTTTGGATAAAACTGAAGTAGCTGCTTCACGTGGGCTGTGATGATAACCTGTCTTCAGTTTTAAGGGCAATTCCATCAGAAAGTGAAAAGATGAAATTTTTCGAAATCTAGAAACACCACAACATCAAATGTTGTATCAAATTAGAGGGGGCCTTTCATTTTGAGTGGTGGGCAAATGAGATGGAAATATGGTAAATTGCATTATTTTTGCACTTTACCAAATACAATGTATGGATGTTATGTAGTCATGTTGGCACCTTGTTTTTACACGCAAAATGCATGTTTTATTGTGAGATTTGTTTTTGAGGCAGGAATTCATATCTTATGCCAAAAAGTTTTTGTGTGAGATTATTAGTTTCTAGTGAGCATTTCCTCAAAACAGCAACACTGCACCATGCATCAATGATTTTATACTAAAGATTTATTGCCAAATGTTTTTAAGACAACTCACGTTGCTAGCAAATGTTTAATTCACCATCAATTTGCAAGTGACATTAACGGTATATATGTTGATCTGTGTGTACATGATTGAATGTCCATGGTAAAGCAAGATCAATTTATTAGCCTCATACCAGTACCTAGGATGCTGGATCTGATGAACAATGTACTGGATCTACTGTGTCAACTTAGAATTAGTTCGTCTACATCTATGTAAATGATTACATGTGCACCTGTTCTTGTACATTATTGGCCACTGGACCTTGTAAGTCATATTTTATAATCTTGTCATAAATTGCCACTCCACCATCCTGGGGTTTATGCAGTCAAGCTGTCCCTCTTCCCAACACAAGAGGGAGCTATACATTACCATCATCTCCTTGCCTTGTCCAAGTACAAGTAGGCCTGCATGCTGCGTTACGTGTACAATATGAGTACAGCCAAATCCATTATGGCTTCTGGAGAACTATGCCATCTGTCTCAATTCTGGTGCATACACAAAGTTTCGTATTTAGTCAACTGTAAACCGTCATCTAAGGTAAATGTTCTTGTAGATGCCAGCCTTTTGTTTTCTGTGTGCTGAACACTTTCTATGTAGAACCTGTAACAAAATTCATATTCTATTTTACCAGGTACGTGAACATGTGTGCAATGTGTACATGTACCGTGAAATATCATGATTTGTTTATCCAATTTAAGTTTGTAGCAAAACCATCTGTCCAATGGATTTAAAGTACATTAGTGCACTTACGGTACGCAGCAATGCTTGTAGAATGTATTGTTTATCATTGTGTAATTGTTTTTCAAGCTCATGTACATGTAAAGTTCATGAACATGTACATGTACTTGACTTGTTGACTGTACATGTACCGGTAGGTACGATGTACATGTACATGTACTTGTAATGTACACACGTACATGTGGAGTTTCCTGTTCATCCACCAAGCCCATAATTTCTCCTGACATTTGGAATATCACAGATAGCACAGTATCCCTGAAAACCACTCTTCATCAGTCTTTTCCATGTTTTGTACATTAATTTTAACAAGCAGACCTACATGTATACATTGTCTCCACGCAATTAGACATGCATTAGTTTAGGTCACAAAATCTGCATTTTTTCCTGATAAATAGTCCAGATCATTCGTCATTAGGTGTTACTGTATACATGTAGTTGGCTGATTGTAATTAGGATTTATTGATGACTGAGATAAAAGCAGCCGTCCTTGGTGAACTTAGGATTGTAATTTTGGCAATGTAAAACCTCAAAGTTCCTCCTGGTCCTCTGCCTGAGGATGTCTTCATTTTGGCCGTGTAGAGTTCTTCCATATGAGAATTCCAAGCAAAAGTGGACATGGCTGAATAGAGGTAAAGTTATGAAATCTTGAGCACCACAACTGTAGTTACTGTAGTATTTTGTTGTTAAACTTGTTTAACCAGTCTAAATGAAAACAATGAAAACGTTAATACTACAAATGATAATTACTCAAAGCAAAAGGCACAAAGTATCTGGATATTGAAAATTATTCACAGCCACTGGGCAATAAAATAGCCACAATTTAAATGTACATGTATACGGTTGGCCTACGTGTATGTATGTAATGAAACAAATGTCAAAATCAAAAAGTTTCACTTTGCGTACAAGGTACATTGTATTAGAGTCCACGACAACACCAATCCTTGTGAAACGTGTAGAAAGAATGTTTGATTGATGGTCCTTCATATAAGGTGGAGAACATACATGTAATATGATGATATCAGGCCTTGCACATTTCAAGGTATAATCCAAATCTAACTTTTGTATGGAGAAAAGTTAGGAATGAGACTATCAATTGGAACTTTAATGTGGTTTAGGTAAGCCTACAATGGCAAAGTTGATTCATATTATTATTGTAAACGGATCATGCAATGATTAAAGCAAAAGTGAGTGTGCTGACTGAACAATTTATTGATATTCTACAAGAACTCAGAATTCACTTCAAACAAAAACATTAACTCTGCATATACTCGGAGCTTAACTTTTAATCGAAACAATTATTTTTTTGGTAATTATGCAAAACCTAAGTTGAGTCCACGCCAATAAAGTAGGGGTGTTTGAATGTGCTAAAAAATATCTGACACTGTGTAATTAAGTGGAATCAGTTCATTTAAATGATTAAAATGACCCTCAATCAATTTATTTGGCCAAAAATAAGATTTTTACTAAAACGTGATTTAAATCAGGGATTTTTATTAAACAAATCAATTGATGTAAATCGCAATTTAAATCAGTGATTTAAATCAGCCAACCCTGCTATAAGTTAGGGTGTGGTGACTGAAAATGAACAGTTTTACCAAATAATTGTTATCATTGTGGAATTGCCCAATCCAGGTTGATACAAGAAACTCACAGCTTTGTTTTTGAAGTAATTGAATTGCTAACTTACCTGTGCAAAAAATTACTCCTCCAACATGTTTAAATTGTTTAAAATGTTGTGCGTATATATGCCAATTTTCATGAAATCGATCGTAAGTTTATTGCGCAGCTGCACAACAAATTCATTGTGTAAATTCCAGTTCACTTACAACCCAAGCTGTCACTTTGCATTTGATAAATTGGCATTTGTTTACATTTGTCTTTAATACAATTTATTTTTTCCCCACGGCATGTACTTTTTGTATAAATCTACAAACACATTCAATGCATACGT